GCTGACATCCATATGGTAGATTGGAAACAAGTACGGTAATTTAATAATACATGGCAGATTTCATCCCATTGCATTAGATGTAATAATATATCCATGCAATCTTGTTGAAATCAGCATTCTTGTTTTAATAGGAATACATTTCTGTTAATCCAGAAGCTCCAATCCTATTACATGCAATGTAACATATCCATATTATATTTTGACTGTAACAACGATTTGTTTCATCCAGCAGTTTTACATGGCACTATTCACATCCGTCAGAATTGCAAAACTATCAGAAAAAAATAATTGGTAGCGTGAGCTATTATATATAGGCATCACAGATTGTGCACTACCCCAATGCATGATATATATATATATATATATATATATATATATATATATATATATATATATATATATATATATATATATATATATATATATATATATATATACCGGGTGTCCCAAAAAAAAGTACTCCTGTTTGATTCGTAATAACTTCTAAACAAGTAAAACTTTTAAAGCGAAATAACTTGCATCAAATAGAGAAAGGACTAACTTAGATTTTGATATATAACAGTTGTATTTCACTTAAAAATTCACGGAGATATTAATCTTTAAAATTGGGAGCATATTTGTGGATGTGTCTGAAATATGGAAAAAACGGCGTATCAAATATTAATCAAGATTTGCCCGACTGAAACATGAACTATTACCAGTAAATAAATGACACTTGACAAATCGCTTATTATGAAACTAAGTATTATTATATCTACAAAATGCAAGCAAGATTTATTCGTCCGAAATTCGCGTGTGTTCCTAGCACGAATTCGTTTCCTTATTTCATGAGACCACTGCATCGCGAAGGATAGTCATGGATCGTTCGTATAGCTCTGAATTAGGGCATGCTGTCACAATGGAATTGTGAAGCTCTTCTAACTTCTGCAACGTTCTGAAATCTTGTTAAGAACACCCAAACTCTTTTGCATTTTCTTAATCTTGGCAAGTTCAGAGTAAACTGAGAATTATATGAAACACAATCAAACCATATAACTCCATAAGACATAACAATTAAGCAACTCCCCAGAGACATGCAACATTTTTGGAACAAAACGTAACAAAATAGTAGCGTTGATACGGTGATGTGTATTTGCAAAAAGCAATATTATTTCCTTCAATAAAGAATAATATTAATCCTGCTCTAACCGAGAAATAATCAACCCATTAAAAACATAAAAAAATTAGGCTATTTAATTTAAGAAAAAGTTAATCGCCTGCCTTCCATGGTCAGTCTTTCATGTACTTTTAAGTTTGTAAAGACCTAATATTAAATACTTGCATAATTTCGAACGTTCATATTTCAGGAAACACTGAGCTAGCTATAAAACTTACATGTAAGATGTCTAAATCTACGCCATATCCCTTACAAACCCTAACGATAATTCGCTGAAATACAAGTTAGCCTGATATGTCATTAAGCAAACAAACGCTGGAGTTAATATTTGATATGCCGATTTTCGCTAATTTTAGACACATCCCAAAATATGCTTCCGATTTTGAAAATTAATACCTCCGTGAATTTTTAAGTAAAATACAACTGTAATATATCAAAATCTAAGTTAGTCCTTCCTCTATTTAATGCAAGTTATTTCTCTTTAAAAGCTTTACTTGTTTAGAAGTTATTACGAATCAAACAGGAGTACTTTTTTGGGACACCCGGTATATATATATATATATATATATATATATATATATATATATATATATATATATATATATATATATATATATATATATATATATATATGCAGATCAGTGATACTTTTTGCCACAGTGGGCAGATCAGTATTACTTTATGTGTGTAGAGTAGAAGTATCTGCTATCAAATATCAACTTTTTAGACGATCAAAAATCAAATATCTCCTTTTAACTTAACATTAAACATTTAATTTAACATATTTCTTGTCTCTCCAACATAGGATTCGCGCGGCTAGACCCAGGACTTTGGGATATGGCTATTACAAAATATTGTTTTGACCGCTCCCCTCATTTAACAAACGTTCCTGTTTAAAAAAAGGTCATCAAGTTTAGATTAGTGTCAGATTAAGGTTAGATTAGGGTTAGATTATGAGATTAGATTAGAGGTCAGAGGATAGGCTTAGAATTTCTGTTTCCACTAGATAGATGATTATCATAGACAATTCCCATTATATTTATAGACTAATGGGGATGTAGACTAGGCATGGAGATGCAAATAGATCACCACAGCTAGAAAGAGCATACTAAAATTTGTAAAATTACAATGTTTGGTTGCGAAATGATGTAAAATTAATGAGGAGTTTGCAAAATAAAGTTTGCAAAATTTGCAAGTTTGCGCAATTTAGCTGATGCTCACGCTGCTTAGGACCAATTCTAAACAATATTAAACAGAACGAATCTAGTATTTAACTACGTTACAAATCTTATAGACGCTGTAATTGTGGGACGTATTTTATTGTATTTCATTGCGCATGCGCGTGAATTTTTCTGTGTTTTTCGATATGATATCGCTGAACTCTGTTGGTTTTGTATGAATGTTTATTGTGATGTCCTTTGAACGTTTGTGATCAGGAAGTGACGGCCGTCAAGAAGCGAAGAACATCTACATGTTTCAAATTATTTTTTAGAATATTGCGATGGTATTTTACCAACCGCGACTCCGCGAGGCCAGTGTGAATGCCTGAGCAGGCGTCTTGTTAAGAATATTCTTCCAAATGAAAAATCGCCTAAAAATATCACTTTTAATTACAAAATTATCAATTTCCCAAATAACTTTGCTTTCTTTTTTATTTAAAAAATTCAATCAGGGACGTAGCGAAGGTGTGCTAGTTGGGGGGGTGCAATGCAGTAATTTACCTGATTTTACACTTTGGTAAAAATTTACCTGAAATTATAACCCACCCTATCTTTGCGGACTGCAATGTTGTGGTGCATTTCTCCCCTGCACAGTTATTAACCCACATCTAATTTTACAACATTTTTTTCTTGCTTTTTCAATCAATATAATATGTTTGGGTTATTTTTGTTCTGCTAAATTAAAGAGTACCGGGTGGCGCAAAAAAAAGTACAACTGTTTGATTACTTGTAACTCAGAAACAATAAGCAGTAGAACCATAAATCGAGTTTAATTGCATCCAGCGATATCTAACTTAAATTTTGGTATATTTGACAGGCATATTCGTCCAAGATTAACTGAGATATAAGAGTTTAAACTTTTGTTAACAATTTTGAAACGGTCACAAATTAGCTAAAAATCAGTTTAATAGGCCGTTTTTAGCTAATTTGTGACCGTTTCAAATTTGCTAACAAAAGTTTAAACACTCATATCTCAGTCAATCTTGGACGAAAATGCCTGTCGAATATACCAAAATTTAAGTTAGACATCGCTGGATGCAATGAAACTCGATTTTGGGTTTTACTGCTTATGGTCTTTGAGCTATATGTAATCAAACAGTTATACTTTTTTTTGCGCCACCCGGTATAAGCCACACGAGAAGAACACGAGCATATACAAACCGAGTACTCCGAATAGCACTCTCCACTCATTTTATCAATTAGGTAGTTAAATCTAAAATACCATAATCACATTGATTAGTTACCTCTCGGCCTGCCAATAACTATAGTCAATTTTAACAAGTTTTTGTCGAAGCAGTCCATCCGCCTTTTTTATGTAGGGAAAAGGAACGACAATTGTGAATTGCAAGGGTGGGTTGTAGCGAAGTAGTTGTAGTTCGCTACTGTAGCGAACTACAATTTTTAAGTAGCCAGTAGTTTTTGACTACTTTTTTAAAACAGTAGTTGTAGTTATAGCGAACTACATTTTGCCTAAAAGTAGCCAAGTAGTTGACTACTTTTCAAACAGTGAATCGCTATTCGCTACTTTTTAAAATTGTTAGTAACTTGACAGAATAGCATGCATATGATATTGAGACACGATTTGTTTAAAATCAATACTCAATAGTCAATTTGCACTCCTGAACACTGTATAGTGCTTACAAAAATGTTGCTTTGTGTTTACTGTTGCTACTCGTAAGTCGATTTGTTATAGATTGCATTACAGCCTGAGTAAGTAGATGCTCCAAATATAGTAAAACTAAAAAAATATAGTGTAGCGAAATAGTGAAATAGTTCGCTACATTTTTTAAGCAGTAGCTGTAGTCAGTAGCGAACTACCTTTGTTCAAAAGTAGCAGTAGTTGTAGCTGACTACATATTTTTGAAGTAGCTGTAGTTAAAGCGAACTACAAAAATTTTGTAGTCAACCCACCCATGGTGAATTGATGTAATTTATATAATAAAGATAATTTTTAGCTGAACTAGAACTGCGTTTCCCTAAACAATGAACAATAATGTTACATAGTAGTTATTTGTTAACTAATGTTTTTAACCTTCAATAGTAAGTTATTGTTTTCAAGCAATCGCCAATCGGCGGTTTTTCAAGATTGACCATTTTTTCGCGATCACAGTAACATCAAAGACATCAGTGATATTCTTTTCAGCGGCAAGGATCATGCAATCATTCAAACGTTTTCCAGATATGTTATTGCGTGAATAACTTTTTACAATCTTCAGTAAACTGAATGATCTCTCATTTTTCACAACGCCAACGGCATGGGCGGCTGTCAGAAATAGTTTATAAAACTTTGAAGCCAACTTGAAAAGACCATGCTTTTTGGCCACTTTATAAGAGCAATGTTCGCAGCGATCGTACATGACATGGGTTTTGCCTGAAGACCTTGTGACTGACTTTCTTCTTCCATTCGTCGTGTTCCGGCTTCAGCGCATTTTTAAAGAAAACGGACAATTCGCTGTGTAATGCTGGGCTTTGTTCCTGATGTTTCTGGATGCAAATACCTTTAGGAACGGATTAAAAGTGTCCTTAAGACCAATTTGTTTCTCCATTAATTCCAATAATCCTCGTTTTTGTTTGCCCAAAAATCACAAAAAGTCACATACTTAGGTTAACATCAAGTCTCAAGACGTAGTTGTTCACGTTGTTCACTGTGTAATAAATAATGCATAAAGATTATACGTGTATAATATAGAGAACAGTAAGGCTAGGACAATGTCCTCGTAATGGCTCATTCAACCTAAACTATTCAACAATGTTGCAAATCTACGAGACAAATCTTTAGATATTAGAGGAATATTGTGTATATATCGGCCATTTGTGTAGAATTATTAACGAACTACTATATTTATTATCCTCTATTATTTGCCTATTTTCGTTATGGATTTTCAAGATTTTTTACCTGATTTATTAATGCCAGTTTTTCACGGATTTACCTGAAATTTTCAAATCGTCTTAGTTGGGGGGGTGTCACACCCCCCCACACCCCCCCGGTCGCTACGTCCCTGAATTCAATATAATAAAAAAGGGAATCAATATTAAAGATACACTGAAATTATATGCTGTCTTGTTTTATAGTTGTTTGATATACGCAAAGGCCGTCGGGTTTTAAAGCAATTATAAAATCAATATTTAAAACAAACTTACTTTCGCTAACGTCGGCTCCCTTCTTTTAGCCGATTCTTTCGCCCTTTCTTTGCAAAAATGGGAGCAAAAATGAAATATATTTGCAAGAAATTTATCAATCATCAAATTAAGAAATGTTTGGGGCGACCCCAATTTTTTGATACTTTCCTACTCATTTTCAATCTCTCGCCTTTATCGTATCACATAAAATATTTCACCTTTTTAGTTAATCCTATAATCGTAGTTTCCATAGTTTATTACGTATATGCAGTTCACCATAGTAAATAGTCGGAGTAAATAACAGAAGAAGTATTAGTATTTTTGGTTTGAATTTCACATTTTATTCGGAAGCTACCAGACGACATTTTAAAAGGAAATTTTTTGCTCTGTTTTGTTTTGCACTGAAATAATCGATATTAATAGTTTACATTGTAAAATATGCGGCAATAGAGGAAATCAAAGTATTACTGCAACATCTTTTGTCAGTGAATCCTATTTTTGTGGTGATTTGTGGGCCTAAACAGCCGCTGCAAAATTGTCTTTTGAAGGCTTCTTTCATGTTGTTTATGTTTTATTAAATAAACCAAGTGTAAGCACGCATATCTTCTTCTCCCGCTGAAAACCCGAGCAGTTTTCGCGCTCTCTCCTCCGCAGAGCTTCCTTAATAAAGTATTTACAAATAATTTACATGAATTTCCTGAATAAAAGTGGGCGCGCGCGGAGTGATGGGAAGATTGAAATGAAGCTGAGAAGGCTCTTTCAGATAATGCAAAAAAGTATAGTTCAGTGTTAATCAAACCTTTTTGACATTTTTTTATTCGATCTTTACTCGATCTTCCCATCATTCCTTGCGCGCTCTCTTTTCCCTCACTAGAAACTTCATGTAAGCCTCTGCGGAGGAGAGAGGTTTTCGCGCATGCTCAGACAATTTTCCCACCTGTTGTTATTTCCTACAAATTTAGCTTTATTGCCAGTGGAAACGGTGAATTACTATGTAGTGCAATAATTATTAAACTATGATTGAAATTATAATTATTGAAATAGATTGCTATTTCCGTTGTATTAAATTTCAAAAGTATTAATGCAAATTCTGTTTGATACTTATATTTCGTGTTATATTTACAAAATGCACTTGCAGTTTTGAAGTTTTGCACACAATATAATCAGTGCGAGCACAATGGCTCCGTTTCAATTTGAGCACATAAAAATTGAGTATTTTGATAGCGCTTTACCTGCCTCAATCTATTTTTCTAATGCGCTCAATTATGTAAATTTTCGGCGAACAATCAATATTTTCTTTGCGTTTCCTCGTCGGGAAAACTCGGTATTTGACGTATTTTATACGAATCTGCCACGTACATGCCATATATGGCATGTAACAAAAACAGCAGTCATGGGAAGGTCACGATTTCAAGAGGGCCTGCGGAATCGTGTAAAATGAATAAATGTTGTTCTGAACCAGCTTCGCGGTTAAAGAAGGCAGTTTTATTCGTGCAACGTTGGTGTGGACAACAAACCTTATCGTTATAAAATGCTTCCTTCCACGTCCTAAGAGTCGCCGGTTTAATTTACAAGTTTCACGCCGCTTTTTTATATCTGTTTATATTCAAGATTATGTATAAATTTACTTGCTGACGTTTTTTAACAAGATTCCGCAGGCCCTGGCCAGATTGTGTGTGACCTTCCCATGACGCAACGAGGGCCTGCGGAGGCCAGGCAGAGGAAATCAGGCTCTGCTCTAAGGGGGTTATGGCAAAACGCTGATACGGACGGACGGATTACCTATTTTTCTTTAAAATATGTTTTAAACATCAAACGCGGATATGGTGTAAAATATACTTTTCGGCTCTTCAAAAGGCATATCCGCGTTTTACCCAATCGGGCTCTTCAAAAGGCATATCCGCGTTTTACCCAATCGGATAAAACGCGGATATGGTGTAAAATACACATTTCGGCTCTTTAAAAGGCATATCCGCGTTTTACCCGATTTACATATTTTAGAGAAAAATAGGTCATCCGTCCGTCCGTATCAGCGTTTTACCCTAACCCTGCTCTAAGGGAAGGCCTTTCGACTTGTAGTGTTTGTATACATCGTACTTGACCTTTTATACTGTCGGTATTCATGATAAATATGATCTCCTCCAGACTAGTCCCTAGTCCTCTGTGCACGCACCTCATTAATACGCAGAAACTCGAAATAGGCGTACTAAGAGGCCTAGGGACTAGTTGTATCCATATCAATCGGAAGCTTTCGTACATATTTGAGGGTCTTAATGGGGGTCTATGGGTGTCAGTTGTCAGCTAAAATTTAAGCCAGTTGTCAGTTGTCAGTGCGATATATTGCAAGCTGTCAGTAGTCAGTTACTGCAAAAAAGCTAACTCATGGTTTTTTCATTATTTCTCAGTTGTCAGTTAGGACATTTTGTCAGTTGTCAGTCAAAAATTCAGGCAAATGTCAGTAGTCAGTTAACCCCATTCAGACCCTCATATTTACCACAGAATTGTTAGTTGTTTTCAATTATTTCAGTTTAAAAAGTGGCTACGCCCACCCTTAACCTGCGAACGGGCATGTTCGGGGAACGAGATTGCTGTAAAACGATTAGAATATACCCTCGTGTTGCTTAGCGACATAACATGAGCCAACTAACCTTTCCCACGCTCGGTTTTTCCGCATTTTTTCTCGCTAAGTATGAGAGTGTACGCACCGCAAAAGGCGAATTTTTTCACTGTATAGTTGCGTGTATAATGGTAAATTTACAGTTACAACTTTGAAAAGTCGCTTTTCACATTGTTTACGATTATCTGGACAATCGTTGACAAACAGTTTCGGGCAGTAGGGCAACTGTCACCTTTTTAACCTTCCACGCCCCCTTATCAACGTTGTTTTAGGGTATTGTATCATAAATAGACAATACGTTCTCAATGAAAACTTGATGTTAATTATACAGCAACATATAGGCGTATGGGGCTGATGCTTGCCGGGGGAGTTATATTTTCTGATAAATCTGCCTGAATTTTCTCGATTTTGCTATCATTCGCCCATGCAAATTTCCTTGGCCGGTTTTCTAAAGTTTTTTTTGGTTGAGGGTGCGAAGTTGCCCCCTGCCCCTGTCTCGTACGTCTATGTTTAACAGCAACATTCCTTAGGGACCAGGGGATATATTTAGCTGTTTATGAATCTTCATTTGGGGTCATTGAATTTTTGACAATGCTTTCCAACTTGCCCGAACATATTTTGTTGATGATTGTAGATTCTCTGATCTGGGAAGACACCCCAAATATGGCGGATATTGGCACCTGTGAGAAAGGACGTGGCTGTCTTTGTGATTTTAAACGCCCACACGAATACGCTGTTGTTGCGTATTCAAACGTTTGTACTCTGTGGACCGTTCTGGAAAGTTAGCCCAAATTAGCGGAATCCGTGTGGACTAGTTAATGTAATTTTAATTACAATTTAATTAAAATTAAACAATATTAATCCGTAGATTTGGGAATGGTGTCTTAAATTGGGTGGATGATGTCTTAAATTGGCTACTGTATTAAATTGGCTACTTTATTTAGGTTGATTTCTCGCGAGAGAAATGTCTTTGTCTGCTTCACGTAAAAGCAAAATCCTCACATTTTGGTAAATGTTGTGTGCTTTCTAACTTTCAGACCAAGGGCCTTCGCTCGAAAAATCGAGGTTTTCATATCTTTTTCAGCTGGTTCGAAAAACGCCCAGAAAAATATTTCAGTTTGAGTTAATTTATTTTGTGTTTCCTGGTTAAATTTGTCCTGGCTATTTTATTAATCTTTGAACCAGGAATTTCCTTGTTGAATTTACCAGAAGATATTGATATAGAAGTTGAACTTCATTCGTGGTCTTTTGTTTGCAATCCGCACAACAACATTTAATTTCTGTTCCAATGGCGAGATCTTTACGACGTTTCTTATTTCCAGTTGTTTTTGATAAATATAAGCTTTAACTGTTTCAGATATTCATGAACTGTATAATTTGAATGACTATAAAAGTGAGAGATATAAATTTAATTTTCATCTATACTTAAGTAAGGTGCATGATAACAATGTTAGTACACAATAATGTAGCTGGTAATTTTTAGTCTGGTTCCAGAGAGGTTTGACGAATTCTGAGAAGTGTTAGAAACATCATAACTTCGTACTCTGCTTCTGGTTAGTATACGTTCACTTGTAAATCTGTGGTATTAATCTGCTAATAACAAACATAAAAATATTACTCGACTATGATTGGATGATTTCAGTGCAGTTAATCACAAACAGCAGTGCAAAAATCTGTAACAACGGTGCAAAAATTTGTAACAAACTGATCTGATTGGTGGAAAAATATTGTGATGATAAAATCAACCAATCAGTTTAAAGCAGTTTAGTTTAAAGAAGTAACAGTCACAGATTGCTTCAAAACAAAACAAACATGACGCCGCGCTACATAAAGTAAAAGTTGACTTCGCGTGGAAAAATTATATGGCTTTTATCTTTTATATATTTTTAAATGGAAAAGCTTTTACCTTAAACAAGACTAACAAAACGTACACTGTTGAGTGGAATTTTCAAGCTGTTAGCGTTGTATAATGTGATATAACAAAGCCAGGAAAACTTAATTGTCAGTGGAATATGTTCGCTATAAACATTTAAAACTGCAATTGTCTCAAACATTTTTATGTAAATTATTAAAAAGTAATAGCATGGTTTTCTCGTGAAATTTGGATAAACATGCACTCGTGAGTTTTTCAAAGACCTCAAATAGCACTCGTCCTTCGGACTCGTGCTATTTTGAGGTCTTTGAAAAACTCACGAGTGCATGTTATATCCAAATTGCACTCGAAACTATACTATTACCTACACAAATATAAGTAATTCGTGTATTCAGCTTTGGAACGTCCTGTTTCCGAGTAAGGACAATGAAAATAACTCAAGGCATTTTTCATCACCTTAACCGTGGGCATAAATTTGTTCCAGTGGGCTCTTTCCATTGCACCGCCCCTAAGGGAAAAAAAGGGTTTCCTGCCCCAGTGCATGGCGCGGGCCTTTGAAGACCAAACGTTATACATTTAAAGATAACAAATTGTATTTATTGCTAGCTTTCTTCCTATTTACTAATTTAATTAACAGCGTAAAATGTGTAAAATATATATGTAAAGTTTCCTAACTTAATTAATTTGTTACCTATACTGACAACTCAATATCAATATCAATCAGGCATTTAATACCAAACTCATGTACAATTATATATGCAATAATTTAACGGGCAGTTGCAAAGTGGGCATTTTAAGTTGACTAGATACCTTTGCAAGCAATTTAAACCACTAATACAGATTATGAAGCATTTTTGCTGTCTAAGTTCTTCGATTTGGTGCCGTTAAGTCCAGAACTCAATTTTAACGCCCGTATTCTAAAAGCTCACTCACACTCAATGAATGGAGGTTCAATCTAAGCTTCTCTTGAGTGCCAATGCTGTTTTTGAATAGCTGGAGGGTGAGCAGTCACATAGTAACGTATGGCACTACCCCTCCAGCTATTCAAAAGCAACATTGACGCTAAAGAGAAGCTCAGATTGAACCTCCACTCATTGAGTGTGAGTGAGCTTTTAGAATACAGGCGTAAGTATCATAAATTAGTGTGCTACTACGGTAACCACCCTAATAGAAAGCCTGTAGTGCAGGACTGTGGAAAACTGGCATCCGCATTTTGTGCCATACATTTGGATAAGGAAGAATTAGAACCTGCTATAGAGATCTGGGACCTAAGTTTTACCAAAAGGAACTGGAGAAATTCTAGATTGCAGCAGAGTACACTCTGTGCTAGCTGTTGTTCGGACATTTGATTCCTGATGGGCCCCCTGATGGAATGGTTACTCTATACATAACAGCAAGGAGAACAGTAGGACTCCCATTATGGTCAGTAAACTGTGAACTGGCGTCGATATTGAGGGATGTCCAAGGATGTCCAATAAACTGTTGAAAGAGATTCACGAATCAGGTTGTGCAAGACTACGTATAGGCTATTTGAACGAGCCATGCTATACATGAGAATCATATATATCCAGGGCATTTTTTAACTATATAACTACTGGGGCATTTACCCAGTAGGCCATTTGCTTGCCCCAGTAGTGAAGCATGATTTTCAGATGAACTGGGTGGGCCCTTTTGATCATTAGTAAAAAGTCAACCTTGTTGGGAAAGCTGCATCTGCCTGCTTTCTCATACCCTCTCACATTCTCGACATTCCCTCTTACAAAAGTCAGCACAGGCAGGGTCGACACTAAAAGGGGGTTGCACCCCCAATCGTCAAGTAGTAGGCAAATTATCTAATCCCAGTTGGATAGGAAGAAAAGAAACTAAAACATTTCATTGACACTGATCAAATTAAAATCTAATAATTGTAGCTAAAATTACGGAAAAATTAAACAAACAATGCTACGTTAACACAAACGAAAATTGTAATCGGTTCGGAAAAATGGTGATGTTGAGCCGTGAAATACCCCCCCCCCCCCTCCAGCTCGCTCGCCAACTATTTTGGGAAAAGAAATACCAATTAGCGTTTGAAATTAGTAGGCAATATTTCACTTACCCCCCCCCCCTATTTAAATAGCGCTAGCACTGCTCCTGAGCACAGGATGATTTTTATGTACCCGTAACTGTGTGGGGAAAAGGCCTTCATTGAGACTTAGCCCCAGTAGTTGTAATTTCTTAAAAAATGCCCTGATTATATCGGCAGTTTATTTAAATAACAAATGGAAGCAGTATGCATAATACTTACCATAGGCTTACGGGAGGGAAAATGTAGGGGGCGGACAAAATCTGCCCATTGTTGATGGAAATTTCATGCACAGGAAATACAAAAATTTTGCGTGGTAAACTTCCCACTGTAATTTGTGCCATAAACTTCCCGGAGAATATGTATAGGTTATTTTGAGGCAACGAGGGGATATGTGATTTATTCACCAAGGCGCGCAGCGCCGAGGTGAATAAACACATATCCCCGAGGTGCCTCAAAATAACGTACTTATTTTTCACACTGCGAGGTCGCGTTAAAGAGTCAGAAAAGAAATCATTCTTAATGCCATTTTGCCTTCGTGATGTTTTTTTTTCTCATTTTTTGTGCTGCAAAGACATTGCAGGTGAATATTAGAGGAGATTATTAATTGCAGGTGAATATTAGAGGGGATTATCAAACGGAAATTGATTAGAGGGGAATATTGAATATATTCCCCGACAAGAACAAAGGAAACCGAGCAGGGTGAAAAATAAAGTTTGGTAACGTTAGAAATCTCTTCCTTTTTCAACAATTTTAATGCTCGTACGTGTCCCTTTTCGTTCATCATTTGCCCGATTTTTAAGTAGAACCTGCCAGAATTACTTGAGAACAAGGCTTTTACAAGTGATTTATAAGAAGGGTAATTAAGTTACATATACATGGCAATTTTACGTGGGATATTTGAGAACTCTCATCCATGAACTAAAATATCACGCCTGCCAGAAGCGTTATCCAGAGATTGTGCCTCATGGTTTCTTGGCCTTGAATTAATACGAATCTTAAGATTCGTGACCACTGAACTCGTCACGATACTGCATGGCCGTTTCGTATGTGGACGGATCCGACGAATGGAATCATCGCTCTTTCCGTACGACTGGAAACTATTTGAGGATACTGGAGAATCTGATGCATGTATGCGGTAAACATTGAATCCCAGTTAGATTGGTGACAACTATATTGAAAACTGCAGGTATTGAACTATGACCTCACTTATCCATTGAGTCCCCCGCCTCCCGGTCAGGTCAGTACTTGAATGACCATTAAAACTAATTAACTTAGCTAGGAAGTTCATACCAAGTCTTTCTTACAATCAACGGGATATTATGTCGTGGGCATAATTTGCATTTCAATGAAAGGAATTAAATGTTTACATTTTTATTTCTTAGCTCTCCTTTAATTTCTTATTTACGATTTTCCTCTTGATAAATCTAATCTATATACACTGTTTTCACATATCCATTCAACTGCAAGTAAATAGATTTGTATAACTACGCAAAAATAGATCTGCAAATACTGTATACTGATTTACAGAAGAAGTAAAAGTTGGCAATTAATATAAATTTAATGTCTACCTACATTCACAGTAGGGTGACAACAATTATACCATCAATTTGTATACAAATTACATAGTTCAATACTTTCTTGCATCAAAGAATCTCTTTTTGGTGAGCCTATGTATAGATCGAGACATAAACATTAGAATATTAAACCTCGGTTAAATTGACTTGGAAAGCTCCGCTGTTCTTAAACAAATGTGAGTTACTAGTTTTCTTTATTTTTATATTATAATTTAGCTAACGTCAGCATCAGTAGAAAGTCAACTAAATTTAAGTTATATTATGGTGGTCACGTCATATAGCCTAGTTGGGTTCGATTGTGAGAATAGATTTACAGGATATGGGTTAAAAATGATTTTTGCCTGTACAGTAATGATGACTGTTGTAAAAATGCTTATCTTCATACTTAATTTGAGTGACGAATTTATATCCATACTATACCTGTAGAGTGATGTCTCGTTGCCTTGTAGATTTTCAATCAACGGACACCTTGTTCTGTTTTTTTTTAGTGTCCCGTATTAGAGAAGTTCGTAATGACTATGTATCTTGTTTAAATATTGTGGAAAATTTCTTCCCGCGGCTATACATGTAGCTAATTCAAAAAAGGTTGCCCTTCGAGATTTTAAACCTATAAAACTTAAGGTTTAAGGTTTATTTAGTATGTGACAAACCTCAAAAAAAGGATTCCTTGTATTTTTTGAAGGAGTTGTACGCGTTTAGCGCTGAAACCGGCAAATAATTTCAGATGCATTGGAAACAAAAATGAGACAGGTTATACATGCAGTTGCATAGCAAATTTGAACAACCAGTGGGAACAACTTATCATTGACATCATCGTTTATCAATTGATTCGATAACATATATCACAAACAAAGAAATCCTTTCAATCAAGTTTCCCAACTAACTATAAACTAACTAAGTTTTCATCTGCCACAAACAAGAGCTTAGATTATAAATCTGCCGATTAAAAGTTATTTGAAAAAGGAGAATTAAATTAATATTTTAAAGAATTTCGAAAATACGTCAGTGAATACGGTTTTTAAGGCGCAACGGTGATGGCGGCTGTGTATGAGCCTAATTATTGAAGAATTTCCGGGGAGTGGGAATTTGACTTTCTTAACCGCCATGTATATATGGCGGGGAATTTGACAATTTACTGAATCATGAAAACCGCGAGGTTATTAACATGTTTTATGGTAGTGTGTATATGACAAGGGTTGGGTATTTGAATCTAAATCTCGAATTCGCAAGAATTCGCGTGTTTTTTGGTACAATAGAGACCTTACGATTTTAGGACGGCAACGCGACCGCGACGCCAAAACAAATTCCTTCAAATAAATGGTAGTAAAAATAGTTCGTGGTATATTATCAATCGTATATGAAATTAATACAGTTTTAGAAGTTGAAGACATGGGTTTTATGGTTGGTAAGACTTCTGCTAAACCCAGTTTGAAATTGTACTTGTTGCGGCTTGAAATGCAGCCGTTGTATCAATTTAGACGTGAAAATCTGTGATTTGGCGTTGTAAACAGAGCGAGGACAATGTCTAAATTATTCATATATTGTAATTACTCATTTATTTTCTATGATCTATTGTATTGGTAGCCGTTGCCGTCGCGTTGCCGTCCTAAAATCGTAAGGTCTCTAATGCCTGCACATTGGCCTGCGACATGGACTGGCACAAGAGGTGGGAAAATTGTCGTCGCGGACCAAATTTATCGCTGACCAAAATTTTGCACTTTTCTCGCTCTTGTTTCGTATTTACAAAGATTTGCGCTCGGACAATGATAAAATATAGGCCTTCAGACGTCCTTTGAATATATTTTACCGAGCAAAAAATGAAAACAAAGCCCGTCACTTTTGGTGTGTTTAGAGGCGGTTGCGCGTATATTTAATAGTAATTTTACACTACGCGCGCGTCATCGGCTCAGGTAAATAGGCTGTAAAGCCCATTTACGCATGCGTATGGCACCGGACACCGCCATCCAAAATCAAACCCCGTGAAATTTGCTGCATTTTGGTATAAAGTGTGATGTATTTATTTGTGAAATAAGTCCGTCAAAATGCGTGTGAAGCTAGGTTATATTTTGCTGTTAGTATATCAGACTTTCTTCGATAGCTACGGCGCTTAGCTGAAGCAGTAAGACCGAACACTGGAGAAGTATCTTCGACTGAAGCTCTGTCTTCGTTCGTACATCATATATTATAAGCAAACTAGAAAATACATGCATGCAGAAACCCTCGCCTTGCTGACAAAACCGTTGTATTTTCCGAACATGAAGTATCTAAAGTAGTTGTCATGGTAACACGATAATTTTTTAAGAATATTCTTACAAATGAAAATCGCCTAAAAATATCACTTTTAATTACAAAATTATCAATTTCCCAACATATATATTATGTTAGGTATGTAACTATACGTAATTCAAGAGTCAATTTAAGGTAAAATTCAACCACAAACAATTCACAAAACGTTTTAATTAAAGTGTTCTTTATAAAACTAAACTGCCTTTAACTATTAAATGGCTTTATCGATAAACTTTGAGTTTGCAATAAAATGATTTCAAATTCTCGCTTGCAATAAAAATTCGCTTGCATTAAAAATTCAATATAATAAAAAAGGGAATCAATATTAAAGATACACTAAAATTATATGCTGTCTTGTTTAGTTGTTTCATATACGCATCAATATTTAAAACAAATTTACCTTCGTTAATGTCGGCTCCCTTCTTTCAGCTGATTCTTTCGCCCTTTCTTTCTTGAAATTTACAAAATTTTGCAGATATACGAGCAAAAATGAACAATATTTGCAAGAAATTTATCAATCATCAACTCATCAAATCAAGAATTGTTTGCTATTTCGCTGTCGTCATGCAGTCGTTATAATGCAAACTTTAAATTGGACCAATCAGTGTCCGTTATTCATGACAGTCCGCCATATTTTTGAGATCAGTGAGGATGACCACCCATCGTTGGTGACCGACGCCCGCGCTCATTGATGAACTTTAGACTTCGCTAATGCTTTCGTTTCCCCGGGTGTAAATAGCCGGGGGGAATTAGTACCCTCGCACGGCGCTTCGCGCCGCCGGCTCGGGGATAAGAATATATTCATTATTTTACAAGTTGACTTGCGGAATTGCGGCAGATTTTAGTATTTTTTTCTGGTATTCAAGCATAGTCGAATTATACATATTAGGCAGCTTGTATATATTTAGATTTTAGAAATCAAGAAGTGGCTTCTCAAACGAATCAATACTTTTACTTTACGCGCGCTTTTGTCTGTCTGCCATATTTAATAGAGAATACCCGCATAATTGCAGTGCGAGGCATTGGATACTAGCTTACTCAATGAAGATTTTCTTAAACTTTTCCGTCTCAAAATGGAAAAAGATATAAGAAAAGCAGATGTTAATGTAGCGAGATATCAGTGAGATAGTAGACCTTTCCTGCATGTCATTGGAATAAAATTCTCAAAGTTGGTGAATAAATTTGTAGAAGTAGATTTATGCATGATGCATGGACAGTACTGGAAAAAACCGTTGGTACGTATTATGTTAACGTCAAGAAAAAGAAGAGACGAATTGCTTTCTAGCTAGCTAGTTCGTGTGTAAATTGGATGTTTGTATCGGTGTTTGGAATTTAGATAGGAGAGGAAAAGTTTAAGAAAACTTTTAAGAAAACCTTGAAAACCTTCTGAGATTATAGAAGAGTTTAAAATACTCTCTTCAGCGTTATCAGCATATTTCTGTACGTGTGGTGTTCCGTCCTTCTTTTCACCTCTCGAGTTTCTTTCTTTTCAAAGACCGAATTCCCTATGGTCTGTATGTTGGTCAAATTCGTCGACACATATGCACGCTTATCTCTAAACATTGTAGGTGTTTCCGTGTTTCGTCTGTGACTGGAAAGGAACGTTCTGTTTCTACAATGTTAATTGTTCTCGCATATAATCACTTTTATTACTAAATATCACATTTCTGCGTCTGATTTCAAAATTCTTTTTTCGAGCACTTCGGAAAGATCTAAAGATGCACTTAATATTCGTGAGAGCCTTTTAATATCCAAAATTAATCCATTACTAAATACTAACATTAGGTCAACTCTTCTAGACCTATTTACACAACCAACATGTGTAAATACTTAATAGGTAATTAACTGTTACTAACAACTGGCACGTTGTTTCTTCCTCTCTCTTCTCACTCGCTTATTTAAATTTGTAACCGTTTTAGTAATTTTTAAATATTAAATATATATATAGCATACTCTGAAGATGTTGTGATGAAACGTCAGCAAATAAATTTTATTCTTTATTGTTATGTCTTGTTTGAAAGTCATTTGCTGGGCTTTAATATTTTTATCTTTATAAAGATATTTAAAAATATTATCCTATCTTATCTTGTTAATCCAGGTCGGTGACATGATACAGTACACAATAGGCAATTCCAGCTTTTAGTTTATGCGTGCAGGGGACAATGGGAAGTAAGGTATCACATTGCTGATTATGCAGCAAAAATAGAAATGGTGCATGGCCATGTAAACACGGAATGATAGCTTATACTCATAAAATTGAAACATTTCGGTTGCTTCGGTAGTTTTTATTGAAATTTTTCAGCATAATTAGCACTATGATACCTTACTTCCCATCATCCCCTGCAGGCATAAACTAAAAGCTGGAATTGCCTATTAATAAGAGGAAGATAGTAATTGCCTTTTCCTGTAGAACACAGTTATATAATACAATCCCTAGTTTTGCGCAAGCCATGCCGAATGACCAAGAATTGAACCGTGTGAAACACCACAATTAATTAACTAATCGTTTGGAAGATAAAAGCCACTAACACAACATGCAGCATTTTTCAATTACATCATGCAAACATATGATTGAAACAAATGAAGCATGGCTTGGTTAAATTCCGTATTTGCATAGCTTATGAATAAATATATCATGGTCTACCGTCAGTACCGTGTCAAATGCTTTCGCAAGAGGTCGCGAAATGTCACATCATTTAAATTTCCTTAATCCATTATTTCGAGCAAGATAAAAACGTTATTGCTCTTGAAAATTCCCTTAGTAAAAGGTCCAAAAGTAACTTACTGTGTTATAATATGGATGATATTATTAATGTGTATGTATCTAACAAGGTTTCGTAACGCCCACAAAATTGCCTTTCAGAATTCAGGACGTTGTAATACCCCTGGTTAAATCCTAAATCAAATATAAGTGATTAATTTCCCTAGTGCTTCATATTACGTGCATAACATGCTCAAAATGGAAAAAAGCCCTGGGTGTATTCATATATAAAAGCCACTGATGAGGGCTGTCATGGTGGATGGTAACTAGGCACGATTATAGTAGTTATAGTCTTAATCCTAACTACCTTAAGCAAGATTTACAAAAGATTATAAATTTTTGTTGCAATCAATGGTAATCACCCTTCTTAAATCAAGAAATCCTCCCAAAACAAGACAGTATTTAACCCATTTATTCTGTCTCGCAGATCTAACAATGACTCCCAACCTGGTAATTTGGAGTTTTCTTGTCTCTCTTGCATTCACACCCGCTCCTGTTTTTCCTGCCACGTTTACCACGATAAGAGTCCCTCTTTCCATTGCTCCCATCGTGAGCATTCCTCGACCGGATTCTTTAGATGAAGAAGTGATCAATAATTCTGAACTCTATGCCAGAGCTACAATTTATGACAATTTTAACGCATCAGTTATACATGACCTTGACGGAGTTCTCAATACATCAATATCTAGTGTAATAAGCAATATTTTGTTGTTGAAGGAACGAGGTTTATTGCAAGTTGATATGTTAACTGCTTTCAACTGTACTACATGGTGTCTGGATCTACCGATAAGTGAAATCGCGCGAGTCACTGGAAAAACGATGGAGAATTTGAAAGGAAATCCTGATCCTGTCACAGTGCTGGAGATGCATGATGCAATTATTGAAACACTGGAAGATGTTTACTGCTTTGATATGGTTTTAATTGAAAAAAGTCTCAATATGTTCTCTAAATTTCTTTTGGAAAGCCAATGGGCATTATTTGCAGCACAAATAGTTATACAAGCAGTTCAATGTAGGGCTAATATTCTTGGTGTTAATGCGACAGAATTGGCTGAGCTTCTTCGTACAGACCTCGCTACATTATATGGCTACACACTTGATAATTTAAACAAAACGTTCTTCCAGAACTTTTTACAACTTCAAGTTCGTAAGAATCTATTTGAAACAAGGACACTTGATGATGCTTATGCCATCGCAGAATTAACTGAGGCCCAGGGCGAAGGTAAAACAATGTTGTTTTTTGCTGGTGCACGTACTTCTTCGATTAATTTCAATCTTCGTGATCTGGAAATTCTGTATGATTGGCAGAAGCCTCAACTGTTTGCTATTGAAAATATACCATTGTCAAGCTACTTGTCTCAGTGCTCTGTCAAAACATCAAACTCGTTGCTTGCTGTATCTAAACTGTTGTTTGGGCAAGGAGCAACAGAGCCGACCTGCAACGTTGCTTACGTTTTATCAAGATCTCTGAACGAAGTTGAAGCTAAGTTTAATGCTCTGACCGCAGTTGAAACCCAAAATTCTCTATACATCTTTATGACTGCTACTAGCATCTCAAGTTGGTTCGTTATGGATGATATTCTTCAGTTGGTTATAAACGAAGGTATCTGGGTAGAAATACCATCGGCAAGTCATGTTGCATCTGCAGCAAGTCAAAACACATCATTCATAAAAACCTGCTCTCTGCCTGAAGTAATTGCATCGTTAAAGAACTCAAATGTAACAGGAACACTTGGACCATTACTGGAAATCAATAACCCTACGTTTCGAAATCTGTTACTTACGACGTATGGGTATAGTTATAATGAATTGATCAGTCTAACAAGGGCACCTTTATCACAACTATCTAACTTGTCTGTGGTTGAACTTCATGCTATAATACTGGGAGCATTAGTTGACAGATATTCTATTTCTAACTTGTCTCTATTACTTGATGCACCTGGTGTAGTTGACATGCACGTACTTTCAACTCTTCCGTCTTTTGAATGGTCAAGGGCTGTTATTGCCGTTATCCAAGCTTCGTTTGCTCATGCAGCAGATGCTTTATCGTTGAACTTGGCCGCTGGTAGTCGTATTGTAGTGACTAACCAGGCCGACGGGAATCCAACAATTCTGGTCAATCCTTCGCGTGTCTATTTCTCGCCAAGAGTAAACACAAGCACACTAGCGACGTGTCTGCTTGGACGAAATGAGACAGATATTTATGCGATGCCATTGCCAGAGTATCACACACTATTTATCATAAACATCATACCTATCGTCGAGGGGAAGATAATCATCGAAACCACGGCTTTGGAAGACCTGCTGGCAGAAAATAACTTAGTTCTCCGACAAATCTGGAATAGAACTGTGGCAGAGGTCGTTTCACAATACACAGGTTTAACAGCGCAGCAATTGAGATGTCTCTATGGTTGGAATCAATTCTTCCTTGACTTCATTAATGAAATAACCTGGGGAAATGTTAGTGCGTTCCGACTTTGTGGCGCGTATGAGAAATTAGCACTTCATCGAATCTTGGTTCAGCTTTTAACAGCACCAACGGTGAATTGCTGTAAGTAAAACAATATTATTTTATATGTTTTACCAGTATATTTACTTTGAAAAATTGTCTAAACTAGGAAAAAATCGTGATCACTTGATGCATGTCTTTGAAAGTTAGCAATGTACGTGAACGTCCATTACTGCCACTGTATCATTTTGCTTATTTTCTATTGACTTGTTTGTTTGTTTGTTTGTCTGTCTGTCTGTCTGTCTGTCTGTCTGTCTGTCTGTCTGTCTGTCTGTCTGTCTGTCTGTCTGTCTGTCTGTCTGTCTGTCTGTCTGTCTGTCCGTCCGTCCGTCCGTCTGTCCGTCCGTCCGTCCGTCCGTCCGTCCGTCCGTCCGTCCGTCCGTCCGTCCGTCCGTCCGTCTGTCTGTTTGTTTGTTTGTTTGTTTGTTTGTTTGTTTGTTTGTTTGTTTGTTTGTTTGTTTGTTTGTTTGTTTGTTTGTTTGTTTGTTTGTTTGGTTGTTTGTTTGTTTGTTTGTTTGTTTGTTTGTTTGTTTGTTTGTTTGTTTGTTTGTTTGTTTGTTTGTTTGTTTGTTTGTTTGTTTGTTTGTTTGTTTGTTTGTTTGTTTTGTTTGTTTGTTTGTTTGTTTGTTTGTTTGTTTGTTTGTTTGTTTGTTTGTTTGTTTGTTTGTTTGTTTGTTTGTTTGTTTGTTTGTTTGTTTGTTTGTTTGTTTGTTTGTTTGTTTGTTTGTTTGTTTGTTTGTTTGTTTGTTTGTTTGTTTGTTTGTTTGTTTGTTTGTTTGTTTGTTTGTTTGTTTGTTAGTTTGGTGTTCATTTATATGCACGAGCGATATATACTCACTATAAATTTGTACATTATTAGAAGTAATTTCGCATAATTATACAACGACCTCGTACTATAGTCATAAACATATATATTGATGTTTTCTAGTTACAACTATCTCTTTATCATCAAGTTCTTATGGTGTCGGAGAATCAGACGGAATCGTTACTATTTTTGTTCAGTTGGTTTCTGTTCTTGATCCAAAAGTTGAAGATAACATTCAAGTTAGGTAAGCAAGACGGTATGTTTAAAGATGAAGTGATGCAAAATGTTATCTAGCATTTGGGTCGATCCGTCCGTAGTTGGACATCGAGCCGCGAGTCCCTCGCGACTGTCACTGCCTCTTCCCAAAATATATGTGTCTCTGTTCCAGGTTGACCCCAATTGTTCTTCTCTACGTGATAGGTAGCCTCCCTCGTTTTCTTTTTCCGTTGCTCGGTTTCCAATTAAGTGCGCTTTTGGTATTAGCACATCCTCGATCCGTAACACATGACCAACCCAAACAAGTTGTCTTTTTTCATGATCTTGGACAGTGGTCTTTGCCTCGACCTTTTTCTCACTTCGTCATTAGTTATTCAAACCTCCTATGTTATTTTCAGTATTCGTCTCAAACAATTGTGGTGGAATGCCTCGAGTTTTGAAAGATCATTGTTATAGAAAATTGAAATTGTTATAGTTTGCCATACTAATATAGTCAGTTTGGAGAACTTGTACTAGCAAAACAGACATGATGAACTGACTAAAAATAGATCCGAATCGATCCAACAATCACTGTAAATATATATTAAAGTTCTTAATTTATTAATCTGATTAAATTAATAAAATCGTTTAATTTTTAGTTTATCCACTTCTTCCATATCCGCCACTGGTGGTACAGACTTTCAACAAATACCGAATACCATTGTAACATTCCAAGCTGGAGAAACTGGTCAGAAAACAGTAACTATCAACATTCTTGACGATAAAATAGCAGAAAATGATGAACAATTTCTTGTATTGATTACGAGTTCAGATTCTGATACGATAATACTAACATCCACAGCAACAATTACTATTCTGGATAACGACTGTAAGTGGTATTTTTATTTATTCCAGGCCGTAACTACTGGATGTGGGTGGTGGAACAACCCCCCAAAGAAAGTCAAGGAGGGGGTCCAGTTTCCCCAGAGGGGGCCTCTCGAAATGCTGGAATTGCGGAACGTTTTAAATATTAAGGAATATTGAATATTTTAACCCCCAATTATCCCCAAATAGGTTGGAACGTTTTATTTTTGCAAGAAAACGTCGCCTCCCCCTCCCCCATTGCCAACATTTTCCGGAAAAATGTTTTGAGGAGGCCCCGGAAGGAAGGGGCCGGGCCCAAATTTTCAGTTCACTCCCCAAACCAGATATCGTTCGGGACCCCCTGATTTATTCATTAACTAATCAGAGTTGACTAAATATTATACTTTCTCACTTAGTGTAACCCACCCATTGTTTAAGGCTTTGTCAAATATCCCTTAGGAAAATCTAATTATGTTAATTTGGATCGATGTTGAGATCTGTCCATTGCCATTGACTTGGCATCATTCCAGATACGTTTCCAGAGACATAGGCGTATGCGAGGAGAACAACTGGGGGGCTGAAAGAAATTAGTCAGACTTTTTGCATTTTGCCCGACCTATCAATAAACAATTCCCGTGTGAAATTCCCAACTCCTTCTCGACGGGGGGATTTTCGATTATTATCGCAAGAATCTAGATTTTAATTTTAAATTATATATCACTTGAATGAAATCACTTATATATATTTTTAATTTTCGACCATTATCTTAATTTAAATATTTCTTGCATTTTCCACTATTATATATCTTACATATTTCGTGCCTCTGCCCCCCCCCCCCACGCCTCGTACGCTTATGTTTGAGAGCAAATGCTATATCTAGGGATAATAGTCCTCATATAACCCCTCTAACGAGTTAGCAAGGTGGCAAATATTACGCCAGACCCTAAGAAAGGTTTCAAATATTAATCAGATTATCAGATAATAAATAATCATTCAGAAAAATGTTTAATAAGAAAAAATTTTTAAAAAAACAGTTGACAATTGTCGCAGTTTCGCACCCTTAAAGCCATAAAGGACATGACTCGAAAATTGACGTTGTTATTTTTTAGTCTAATTTGAAAGATAATTGAAAGAGTAATTTCTTTGATAGATTTGTGTTTTATTCATTCGTTTTGGAGATATTTCATTTTTTATAATATGCAAAGGACCAAACACGACTAAACACAATCAGTAGAAAACCTACATGGGTGTTGTTGTGGACAAATCTCATTCTCATCATTCATTTTGAGCGAATTTATTTGATAGTGACAAAATTATATAACATTTTAATTAAAGTAAGTCATTATGTACATGTGACGTAGAAAGTTCATTGTTACAACGTGTTTTCATGATTGCTACACAACTGTTGCAAACACATCTTGTTGACAAGATTTGAAATTCTAGTTACGTGTGTGGTTGACTTGATAGCCTTCTGTCAACAATCACATGAAAACACGTTTTATCGCTTTGTAGTTGTTTCCCTTTCATGGCAAGTTCCAGACAACTCGGTGGCAGAGAACCTTGGTCTGTTTACGTTTAGCCTTATTTTAAATGGTGAAATTGAAAAAAATATATCTGTTAGGTAAGACATCTGGAATTTTAATAGCACCTGAAAGTTTTTTTATTTTAGTTCTAAGATATAAGAATATATAACGATCGGTTAAAATATTATTATTAAGAATTTTAAGTTCAATTTGGATGAGCAAGTGGAAACCTGCCGCAAACTTTACAGAGAACATATGAACATATATGTAAAAAAAGGAATGATCATTGATCGAGAGCTAGGCTACAATAATTTATAAATTATACTGCAGTGTACCATGATAAATGTGGTAAAGGATATATAGCATAGGGTAAAAGCATTGAATTTATAGGATATATTAATTAAAATTAAATAATAATATAGTATACGCTCATAAAAATATTTAGTCGCTCGTTTAACCAAAACAGAGAGAAAACAGAGATATAATTACCATATATTAACTATTGAATGACATACATGTAAAACACGTGATCATTACAGGTCTTACGTGTTTGATAAGCACCTTTATTTTTTTAATTAAGTAATTATTTAATTGCCACACCGCACTACTTATTCAATCGTTACCAATGTTATCGTAAATTGCATTCAATACAGTGATATTGTGTTAAATTCTCCATACTAAAACATATGTCATCTTAACATTTTCTCTTTAGCATTGCTGTGAATGATCTTACGACGAATTCAACTGATTATTCATTACTAACAACGGCAGTTACGTTCACTCCTTGTAATGTTAGTAGCACCAAGTCAGTCCATCTCCTTATTACCAACGACCAAATTGTTGAGCCAGCAGAATCTCTCGCACTCACACCAAGTACAACTGATGCCTCAGTCAATACAACTAGTACAGTGATCTTAACTATTCAAGATGATGACAGTGAGTGTGTTTTCATGTAACATATGATACGAGGGCTGTTGTTCCGGCTATAGATTTTACTGTCATGCGTTACCCACATTAATAAAAATTGATTGGTTGACAGAGGAAGAAGATTAATCATAGATTCATCATGGTATACCAAAATATGATGGTTTGGAAACTAAACAGAAGCTATTGTGTGATGTTTTTACCCGAGTTTATGTTAATTTGGGCACGGTCACGGTGATTGCCGGCTCGTTGTATTTTAGGCTATAATTAAGTAATTGTCCAGTAGCGACAGCTGAGATGAAACGTGCGGAAAAAATAATGGCGGTTTTGTCAGTAAGGCGAGAGGGTTTCTGCATGCATGTATTTCTATTATTATTAGTGATTTGACACATTTGTACAAGAATTGAGGAGCGCAGGTGCATGATAACGGCTGAGTCTGCTACTATATGTGGTTTAGGGATAGGGTTGTTGGAAATATATTTGTGCGTGAAATATGAGGTTGAAGGATGTGTTAAAGCCAACGACATTGAAGCTGTTACTCTCATCAAGAACAGACTACGCTGGTTCGACCACATTGCGCGTATACCAGACAATCGTGAGGAATCGCATGTCATACAACTTTTATTTGATTGCTTTCAACTGTAAATCGTTAATTGTATTTTTTTTCTATTATAGAGGCACAGGTGGAACATGTAAACACAACTTACTCATTCCCAGAAGATATTGGTACTGCAGTACTTGGTGTAAGACTGGTGAACCTAGCTGGTCCACTACAGACTGATGTGAATGTCAGGTAAGATATGACTGTAATATAGTCACTTAGCTAGAGGGGGATGGGATGGCGTTCCCCCTTAATTTTTCAAATTTAAAGTTTCAGATGTTTTGGGTGTGATTAAGGTGGCTCGATACAGTTTTCGAAAATTCAAGTGTTTAACACTTTGACATGTTCAAACTAGGTATTTTTAGGATTTATTCAACAGATATTTTTTTTTTATATATTTTGATAACTTTACTTTCAAATTATATTAGTTTTAGTAACAGATAGTTCGTTGCTATGACGACATACGTGTACGAAATTCACTCCAAAATGGCCTATCGTCTCGTATAGTTGGAAAAGAAGCATGGTGACCCCTGATTTTTTTTCGTGCATTATTTTACTTGGACGAAAAGCTAACAATTAGCAAAATATAAAAAAATTCTGTAATGCCATTTTTTTGGAAAATGCGAAAATGTCATATTCTTCAATAACATTTTTTTGGCATTACAGAATTTTTTTATTTTTTGTATAATGAAAGTTTTTAGCGGTGCAATAGAGCATGCAAAATTTGAACATAGGTCACCAGACAAAATAAAGAGATATAGCGCATTGTTTTTCTAAAATGGAAAATTCTAGTGACGTCAGCAATTGTCATAAAACGCTATAGAACACACGCAATGGCGTGATATGGCGCAAGCAAACTGCTCACGTCAGGTCATTTTGGAAGTTCTTTCATTTTGTTAATCAATTTCCGCGACCCGCGCGTAAAAATGGTTACCTGGTTTTGAGTTCGCGATTCTTGAGCAGGGTTTTTGTGATAACTATATCGAGCCACCTTAAGTAAAGATGTTATGTGTTATAAACAATGATTCAAAATTACCGTTTCAATACTTGATAAAAATAGACCCCAAAATTCTACAAATAGCACTCCACTGACGCTAATTTAAAAAAAGCCATGAAAGCTCTGGCAGTCCTACAATAAAACCTGTTTTGAAAAGTCAGGAAGTTAACACTTGTAATATTCAGTTACATGCAGCAGTAACCGGAGGCCAGGATTTAAAATATTGGGCCGGTCAGCACTTAGGTACTTTTTAATCATTATTTTGTAGTTAAGTGTAGTAGTTACAGTATAGCTCTAAAACACGCAATTCAGTTTGATTGATGGACTTTCGCGCTAACTGCAGTATGGCCCCCGGGTATATCGAAAAAGTAGACCGGACTTTAAAATCGACAACTCTAAAAGTAGACAACTCTATAAATACAACTCTATATAACTTTTCCGAATATTGTGTATATCGGAATATTTATTTGAACATCAGGGCATTTCAGAGTCTTTGATTTCTCTATAATCACTACAATTATTCTTAAAATCGAATTTTTCGATTCCAGTCTAAAATCCACATTAAAAGTGGCGCACAAAAAGGAGGTTTAAAACGCAATTTAAAATCACAAGGTGCAAGTTTTGAAGATGATTTATGAACTATCAAAGTACTAGACAACTGACTTACATCCTAAACTTTAACTTTTTAGCTATTTTGGTTTTTCCCGCAGAAGTTAGTTTAATTTAACCGCGTACAGCTGATTTCAGAATGATTTTATGCATGATTTTACAGTTTAAGTTAAAGTTTAAAAAGCGTGTATGAGTTTTAGAGGTCGGGGAGCGAAGTTAACCTGCATCGTTCGAAATCCTTCCCCCTCCATTTTCCTGCGCAAATTATTATAATATTTTAATGCGGCTTTTAAATTAAGATTAATTTTGGAGAATTATAAGAAAACCCTAGACTATATCTATTTTCACGCAAATTTTTAACAAATCTCGCGATATTTTCGATTTATAATGATCTTTTTCAAAAAAACTAAAGAATCGCGCCGCGTTAATTGTCGAATCGCGCCCAGTGTGCCTTTAGACTACATTTTTATACACCCTGTATAACAACGGTGCCAACTTATGATCTGTTTTAATTTTATTTGATTTTAATTTTCAGTGTTGTAGTAATTGCAGTAGAGCAAGAACCAAAAGAACAATTTAACAATGAATTAACACAAGCCAGCTCACTGCTCACATTCTTTGCGGGTGATGTTAATAATAGCGTACGAAACATCTCAATACCAATAGTTGATGACAGTCTATTTGAAGTTGCTAAACAGTTTTTCGTCTTACTTACCCCTGGCTTTGATGATAAAGTTGAAGTACAACAACCAACTCAAGTTACAGTCACTATATTGGATAACGACCGTAAGTGGCGTGTTAAAACATATCGTAAATCCTTTATTTAACCGACTTGTACTTATCCACTAATGACGGTGGGTCTGCCTGCTCGCTATTCATAAATGTGCTAGGAGTTTGCTACAGGTTGTCCCGTCCTCTGCAAAACGGCTGGCTGTAGGAAGGTCTGAAATACCGAAGTAGTGCATACGTACATGACCAAAGTACGGCTGAAGTGTATTATATGGTACCGAGCTTACAGCAACCAGTCCGATCTCTAATTTCTTTATTAGAAAATTACAATCTTGATAACGCACTTATCAAAAGATTCTCCTCAGTAAGTCACGTATGTTGAAAGCTTTGGAGACGACGTACTTGCCGTTCCGGCCTTTCTCGCCCACGTGGGAGAGCCATACAACAGTATTGTCAGCACTCCTGAATAATCTACATGCAGTTCTTTCCATTTAAGCTAGGGTTACACGTGCGATTTTTTTCTCGCGTGGGCGCAACGGATCAAATTTCTGAAATTTGATTGCGTTTGGGCAAGAAAAGTGGCAACACGTGCAATGATTTTCTCGTCTGGTATGAGAAGTGCAACAATCGAAGCTAAAGTCATGATGTCTTGACAAAATTTAGCCCTCTTAATTTTATATATACTGCGAGCGGTCCCTCCTTTCCCTGGGTTTAGATTCCTGGGAGTGCGAAGTACGATCTAGCGTAAGTTGAAGTTCGACACAGCTGTTCCTCTGCTACTTTTGTTGACCTTCCTGGTTCTTTGACTGTCGTTAAAAGTGCTCTCTCTGTGTTTAAGTCATGTTGTTAGTATTCGTAGCATAATTATACATCAGATTTGCTTGATAGGTATATCGATTTCGACCAATGGGAATTTTGCGTTGTGTGGACATAATAGCGTATGTGTTGTCGGATGCCCCTCCTTTCTCCTGCGGGACTGCCGGAATAAATTTAGACCGACAAGTTTAAAAGTTTGATTATACTGTGAAGTGTGGACTGGTTGATAGAAACAAAATATTATGTTGTCAATATATGTAGACTGCATGCCTAATAAAATGAGTTTAAATTAAAAGTATAAAGATGTCAGATGCGAAACCAGGATTCATATTAAGAGTTTCAAACTGGCTCGTACAAATAAATATTTTTAACCAGTGGAAAACTCGTCCAAATAAATATTTTTAACCAGTGAACGTTTGAAACTCTTAAATTAAAAGTGTATGAATTTGAAGTTATTCCGGGACCTTATTTAAGCAACGACGTTTTAGAAATAAATTGATTTTGGGTTATTTTCGCCTTGTGTCGATAGTCTTATGTAAACTTGGGGATATTTACTAGTCCACTGGACTAGCCGCCCCAAAAACATTTTTCACCAGCCAGGACTTGTCAAGTAAATCGATTTTGTTTGGCTGGCTGACTAAATACAATGAATTGTAATTTGATATTGTCGCCAATTGTTGCCGAAAGCTAAACAGGGAGTTTAAGCTTCACGTTTGCGGGAACGGCAAACGGCATAGTTGCAATATCAATTGTTGGCAGAATGTTTGCTTAACTTCTTCACTTCATCTTCTTGTTCTTATCTCGAAAGAATCATCATACATTACAGTCTTAAAAAAGCAAGTCAGTGATTTCCCATTTATTACCTTGTAGCGTAAATTTTTCTTGCCCTAGCGTTTGCCATTTGATGTTTGAACGTGAAACTTAAACTCCTAGTAACTTTCAGTAGTGGTTGCCGATGGTATTTATGTTGCCGCGCAGACCATGATACACGTGCAATTTCTTCTCTCGCGCCGGCAACGCAATGAAATTTGACCCATATGCATTGCCGGCGCGAGAAAAAACCCGCATGTATAACCTAAGCTTTACAACCACACATATCAGAAGTTATCGCATACACCATGCCGTTCTGGTGATGATATAAGTCCACTACAAGGTCTATAAAACTTGTATTTTCACGTTTCAGCTGCCCAAATATCATTTACATCCAGTTCATACAATGTTACAGAAGGGCAGACAGCCGCTATGATGCTTGAAGTCACCAATGGTACATTAGGATCATCTGTCAATGTCAGGTAACTTCGTAAAAATTTCATATTCTAGCAAGGATGGCAACGTTTCCTTTATTTATACTTCTTTAACATTCTTTTATTGTAAAAGAAGCTTTGAATTTGAGAATAAAAATCGTCTTTGATACTCTTTCATTCCGCTTTTTACCAAATTGAGTTAATTACTCTACTTAATTAAATACTATTTTATTTATTTAATAATATACATATAAATGTTACTCGACGGTGATTGCATTGTTGATTCCAGTGCAATTAATCTCAAACAGTAGTGCAAGATAATGTAATAACAGTGCAAAAATCTGTAACAAGAGTGCAAAAATCTGTAATAAACTGATCTGATTGGTAGAAAAACCATAGGAATTAAAATTAACCAATCAGCGGCTAACCCAGTGGCTTAACACTAGTAACGGTTATAGATTGCTTCAAAACAAAACAAACATGGCGGCTTGCAAAATTTGGCTTTTATCTTTTATTATAAAATGTTAAACAAGACTGACAAAAGTGAAATAATGTAGTATAAGAAAACAAGAGAACTTTTTCAAATGTCAATGGACAGTTCCCTCCAAACATAAGTACTAGTTAAAGATGCTGTAAAGTCCGTAATGTAAACAAATACTTTGTTTACATTTTGAACTCAGTCACTACAGTTGTAAAATATGATTAGATACGTATTATACTGAATTTTTAACACTCTTCTGGTTCGCTATGCTTGTAAATAAATACAGATTAGAGATTCGATTCAAGAAAGTTCGGAAGGTGCGGAATATTAATAATAATTGCGATGGTTGGTTCCCATGCAACCATTGGAATGTAGGCCTGCGCAGAACGTATGCGCAGAACGGACTTCACAGCATCTTAAAAACTACAATTGCCTCGAACTTTTTATGTATACATTATTGAAACGTAATAGGATGGTTTCTCATGAAATTTGCATGGATCAGTAAAAGTGAGTTGTTTTTTTTTAGCGCTATGACCTCCAATAGCACTCGTCCTTCGGACTCATGTTATTTTGATGCTCTTTAAAAAAACTCACTCGTGCATGTTTAAATTGCACTCGAAACCATCCTATTACCTGCAGTAATATTTACTCAATGTTAATTAACAGCAATATTCTGGCTATCATTTGGATGATAACTTCAATATAAACAATAGTTACAATTATTCTACGTTAAGTAGAATCAATGTATGGCATACAGTTTATCTTATTTTTGGCTATAGGGGACGCTTCCTCCGCATGCGAAAGAGAAATATCATGCTTTAATTATATATACATCGTGCATCATTGAACTATGCATGCACTGGGCATCCACTTTTTTACCTCGAGAGACAAGAAATCAATTTATAAATTTCTATACTCTCTGTTTCGCTTATTTGAATTAAAGATTCGTCCTTGGAGTGTGACTATTAGCTCAACAAACGTTGGAATTAAACTGTTCGAAATATATTGTTGTTGTGCAAAAAGAAACAAACCAAAGTGAAAATGTAGCGTCCCGATGGAAGTATATAAACATGCAGGAAAGGTTCTTACTAATATTAACAAAATTGTATAATTAGCACGATACGAAAGATCCCCTTTCAGAAGTTTTACTCCTATTCTTTCCAACAACTTCAAATTTCCTTGCGTATACGGAAACAACTATTTATACTTTGTTTAGTTGTGCCAAATTATAACTACTGCATTTGATTTCAATTTTAGTGTTAATACACAAGATGGAAGTACTGCTGGAAAGAGTGACTTTACCACCACAATACCGTCAGTAACATTTCTGGCGGGAGAAACAGGTCCCAAGGTTGTCAGTGTGGTAGCTGTTGATGACGAAATCGTTGAACACAGTGAATATTTTACGGTTTCCTTGTCAAGCAATTCTGGGATATCACTTGGGCCACAGGCGTCTGTATTTATTAACGATAATGACGGTAAGATCACATAAATACCGTAAACCTCCGAATATTAGCCCCCCCCCCCTATATAAGCCACCCCCTCCGTGTACAAAGCCCACCATATTCACTAACGCTAGCTAACCACTGATCTAGTGTAGCTAACGTTCAGATCCCGAATATATGCTCTTCCCTGTACAAACAATGCAGCAATGGGGATTCCAACAACTTAGACGTGTTACGTTCGCGGGCGAGAACGAACAAAAAATGTGTGTTGTTATCTTGATCAGTTTACGCTCGTTGCTCTCCTTGACCAGACACAGCGACACGCGCTGGCAAAGGAGGCTTTCTTGTATTTGTAATAACTTTCTTCTAAGTCTTATAAACTTTTCGACGACAATAACTCAAACAATATCAATTTATTCTTCTTGAACAACAACAACTTCTAAACTTGTCTCTGATATTTTTCCAATACTTATTAATTCTTTCTCTTCAATAATCTTCTAACTACCTTTTCTTATTTAACTTAAGCTTTCGCTGTTTATATACTATCCGATAGATATTTATAGAATATTACATAAACTCTATTTTTAGATATTACGTATAAGATAAATATAGCAAAACCATGAGTCACCATAGTTACGCAATGTCTTAATTAAGAATATCATGACGTGACTGACTTCACGTCACAGACGAGTGACAATAATTACATTATACGGTATTATAATATGTTAACTAACATTGTTTTAATTGTTTTTGTTTGTGGAAACACCACGTAAATTTATTACTGCAAAGCTTTCGATCCGTAAGCCCGGATCTTCATCAGCGCTAATAATATGTGCATATTATTAGCACTGATGAAGATCCGGGCTTACGGATCGAAAGCTTTGCAGTAATAAATTTACGTGGTGTTTCCACAAACAAAAACAATTATATTTTATCGCCATGCAAACATTCAAAGAACTTATAACATTGTTTTATTATGTGTTATATACTGTATGTTTATATTTCTTGTATAATTATATATTTACGGTATAATTTACATGCCTGCATTATTGTCTCACGCACCAGAGTACTTGGAAATTAACACCGTAAACCTTCGAATAAGCTCGAATATAAGCCATGGACTCATATTAATAATTCTCATATTCTCTTGCAAGCATTATTTTTTGACGGACGTCGACTTATACATGGAAGGGGGGGGCTTACATACGCGGGGAGCTTACATACGGACGACATTTGTACCTGCCTCTCTCGATGATTCCAACATTCCTGCTGCAATTACCATGTATCGTTCACTGAAACCAATTTTTAAAACGTTAAAACATGTCTTTAGATGTTGATTTTATTGTTTTGAAATTTATGAATTCTTCTAAAACAATATTCAGTAATTTGAATATTAATAAATGGGGCAGGTGTCGTTGTGATTGTGTTCCTTTAATTAGAGAACGCTATACCTCGCACAGGCTTAATACGCATTTGGTTGGTTAATTGGGTAGATTAAATGCATCTGATTGGTTAGTTAATGGTAACGGTAGTAGTAGTGGAAAGTCAAAATCAGAACCGTTCTATTCAGTATTCCGAAGAAACAAGTTTTAATTAAGGTGGAAAAAAATGGAAAATTCACGATTTAGATGCGTATTTTTGCAATTGGACAACTATTACTCGTTGATAAACAAAAAGTATTACCTATATAAAACAACATCTAATATAAAGAGTTTGAATTTTGCACAAATGTTACACAACTGCCGTTGCTATGGCAACAATGACGTTTCAAGATGGCGGATATTTTTACTTTAAAGTAATCTAACTCGTAAACGACATCGGTGACCCCCAAATTTTATTTTAAAAAATGATTTCTCTTAGTACAATAAATTACTTTGACAATTTAAAAAAATTCTGTGGAGCCAAATTTTTTTAAATTACGTAAAGGTGATTATTCATAATAACTTTTTTTTGGCTCCACAGAACTTTTTTTTAAATGACAACATAATTGATTATACTAAGATATATCGTTTTTTAAAATAAAATTTGAGGATCGCCGATGTCGTTTACGAGTTAAATTACTTTAAAGCCAAAATATCCGCCATCTTGAAACGTCATTGTTGCCATAGTAACGGCAGTTGTGTAACTTTTGTGCAAAAATTGAAATCGTTTAGATGTTGTTTTATATAAGTAAAGTACCTTTTCTTTATCATCAAGTAATACTTGTCCAAAAATACTCATCTAAATCGTGAATTTTCCAATTTTTTTTTAAACTGTATTGAGCCACCTTTTAAAGCATAATTGTTGAAAGTTAAAACGTATGCATGAGTAAAAATCAATTAGCCTTTCCCACGCCGCCATTTTTGAGATACTTTTTTGCCAATCCTGCGAGCGTAACACCACGTAACGACGACATTTTGTAATTTGTGGGTGTATGATGGTAAATAGTTAGTTTGCTCTGAAATGTTGCTTTTTACATTGTTATAATCGTTTACGAAAAATTACAGTACCCCAAAAATGGCGGCGTGAGAAAGGCTAATTGAAGTACAAATTATATGCTGTTTAAAGTAATATTTTTATTCGTTTGAGCTTTCGTCATTTGTGATGATGTCGTAGATTGATCCGTAAATCCTATTTGGTTTACAACCTTGTTTGTTTTGTTAGTTGTGTACAAGATAGGTCAGTGATCTTCCGATCGACGGTTATGAGGTTGGAGCAAAAGCATTACCTTAGCAATTACCTGAGCACATGCACTTAACTGATTCGTACGCCTATAAATATCAAATGGAAAGTCCTGGTTAATTAATGACGATTTTTTATTCTCCAATCAATTCTATTTTTCTTCTTTACAGATGTGGTTGTTCAGTTTACTAACATTCTGTCATCAGTTACTGAGGGATCAAGGTTCGCAACTGTCCAACTTAGTGCTACTGGAGAGAGAGCAATTAATGTAACAGTAAAGTACGTACAAGTTACAATTCTTTTTGAACCATTATAAACACCGGTACTCATTCTAAAAGCACAAGTTCTGGCTGACTTTAGCTAACATTGACTATAATGGCGTTAAATGCATGCTAACTGCAGTATAGTTAGAAAACTGTCCTGTTAATTTCAGGGAGTTAATTTCCAGTATAGTTATTTTGAACCCAATTTTAATCCACATTTGGAGTTAATTTGGTTAAAAAAAATTCAATGGGATATCGAGTTAAATGGATGTGTATCCACTAAGCGTTGCATGGATATTAAATCAACCAGGATTTCCTTAGTCATATCAAAGCAACGTAAGTATACTCAATAAGTTAATTGAATCAAAGTAAATTAAAAGGTACGTATACCAATACAATACTCCAATCCATTTATACTGTTAACACTTTTTCCTATCCCTGGGCTGGGAAGTTTGACAGCAAGACGTTAGTGCATTTATCAGATTCTTTAAATATGCCTACTGGGCATACATTCATGCATGTTGACATTTAGGGCCATTTATACGGGACAAAATAAGACGCGACTTACATAAGACGCGACTTAAATAAGACGCGAGTTTGTCGTATAAAAGGTTCAAAATTCTTATGTAAGACGCGTCTTGGATAAGACGCGTCTTACATAAGAACAGGACATTTGGCTGTTCTTATTTGGGTCGCGTCTTAAATAAGAAATTTTGGGCAAAAATTCTAACTACACATGTCCGAAACTTGAAACAACGTAAAATTATTAGCCTTGCATATTAAAACAAAAACAACCGAAACAACATTATAGCTATAGAAAGTAAAAATAAGAATAAATCCGTAGAGAACCATTTATGCGATAACTCCGCTTATATAAGACGCGTCTTATGTAAGACGCGACTTATTTTGTCCCGTATAAATGGCCCTATTATTAAGTTACACTGGCGTTTTCTGTGCAAGGTATATATATATATTTGCTTTGAGAGAACTCTGTTGTGTTGTTTTCTTTAACATTGTACATATATTATAGCAACAAATATACACACGTACTGTTTGTATATATATATTAATATTTCGAAGTCACTTTTTAAAAAATTCTTAATTTGTGTTTATTAAATTAATTCACTTCAATTTGGCTGATATATATATGTTATTTACCGGCTGCGAAGTCCGGATGAGAAAAACTGTGCCCGAGGTCTTGAAAACAGTTTTTCTCATCCGGACCGACGCTGCCGGTAAATAACGTGTTTATTTTTTATCAGATGTAAAAATTAAATTGATTAAAATTCCAGGGATGCTTGCGAACTAATTTGAGATCAGTGCAGTTGTGTATTTTCAAAGCGAGGCGAGAAAATTGGCAAGAAAGACACAAAAAGACGTATAGTTTCAGTAAAAATGTACATGCTTTTTTCATGAATATGTTAGCAGAGAAGCTTTGGAATAAAAACTTTTATGCCTGGCGTTTTGGCTTTGGCTTTGACAAGTTGCTCCTGCCAACGACAGGTTCATGTTCAGATCCGATCAAAAACATGTAAAAATGAATCTGTTGTGATTTAATAGTAACGTTTTTATACTAAAAGGACAATGAAAAAGGTATGTTATTTTTATATTTTTGTATTTTTTCTTGTCGTTTCACGATAATATGCTTGAAAAAAGTGTTTTTAAACACAAACTTTTACTTTGTTTACAATATTTATATCAGTGAAAAATACATGACACAAATGGGTAGAGAATATATTCGTGTCTTATTTTTACTGTTGCTGTTAAACCTTCTTTTAAATGGGAAAACATTTATTTTACAATATCTGTTTAAGCTGTAATTTTTCGCTTTTAAGCGGCCGAATACATGAGCATTCAAAAAAGATATAGTTTTCTCGACGTAAGTTTTATACATGTCAAATACTTTCCGACTTTCAGTCCATTTCTATATCAAAATATTGTCAATTGTCGTGAACATCGTGCTTAGTATTAATTGATGCTATTCATTTTCGTATTCTGACTATCATTAGGCTATGTTTTTCAAACGTTTTTGGCAGATTTTTTCGTTTAAAAACTGTTTCACTCCTCAGTGTTTGCCGCGAAAACCAGAGCCACAGAATAGGAAGTTATACCAGAAGCGTAACTCAAGCAAACATTTGTCCGCGTTTTTACAAGCGATTCGTCATCAATCACGCCATCCTGGCTAGTACAACCGGCACTTTGTACCTAGCAAAACCTGATAAAAACTTCCGGTTGTACTAGCCAGGATGGCGTGAGCCAGTTAAAATTTTCGTGGACGTCAAACAATAAGGGAAACGACTAGAGTTACGCTTCTGGTATAACTTCCTATTCTGTGCCAGAGCGGGCAGTTGCATTTCACAGCGGGCAGTTGCGTTGCAGAGCGGGCCGGATGCAAAAAACCGGCCCGCTCTGAAAGGCTCCTCAGCCAATCAGATTGCTTCATTTTCACTGATAAAAAATAAATGAGGGTATTTCAACTGTATTTTTAGGCCTAAGGTAGGGAATTTAACCGCAGAATATCGAAAAAAATCTCCTGGGGTATGCGGGGGTGGGTTGGGGGTGGGCTGTTGGGTGACCATGATGGGATGTTAACAGTGTAAATTAATTGGCGTATAATTAATATTATAATGTACCTGCAGTATTAAATAGAGGAAAACGACGCTTCCATGTTTGCTGCGATGTCTTTCTCGGTTTTAAGCACACTAAAAGGCACAGTTCAGCCTTTTGAATAATGGTTTATGAGGCGCATTTTAGGCCTTTTAATTGAAAAAATCAATTAAGCATAATTCAAGATCTGGCTCAGCTTTTTTTAACATTTTAAAACATTTTTATTGTTAAAAACATTGAGTTTACTGATCTTGAATTATGCTAAATTGATTTTCCTGCTTAGTTTTTTCAATTATAAAAGGGCTGAAATTGCCTTAAAAAACCATAATTCAAAAGGCTGAACTGTGCCTTTAAGGCACTAATTATATATTTTTCACTGTGCTTATCATAAAATATGTCTTTTATTTGTATACTAAACAGATTTATGCAAGGGAGCGTTTGTATGTGGTTTTCTTTCCATTTAAATTTAGTGTCAGTACGCAAGCTGATTCTGCTTCACCGAAAGTTGATTACGTCACAAAAACAGAAAGTGTAACTTTTCAACCTAGCGAGATATTTAAAATTGTGGAATTTACTATCATTAATGATCAGAGAATTGAAGAAGGAGAATCATTTAAAGTTATTTTGAATGCAGTTTCAAGTCAAGTGACCCTGGGTGCTATTAATGAACATACGGTTCAAATTATTGACGATGACTGTAAGAATTACATTTATGATATGGTTTTTAAACACTACGTACTGTTGAGAGATTTAAGCGCAATTTTCAAAAGAGCTTTGATATAGTCTCTATATATAGCCTAGTGCACAACAAAATATTTTAGACAATTATCCAACTACTGCATGCATTTAGTTAGGGACCAAGGTCATTTTTTCAACCCCTTGCCCGGCCGGACACATACCTCTTTTTCTCTCTTCCTTTGCCTTGTGTCCATTAGCGTTAACGTCTTTTAAAATGTTCCTTCTAAGTTGCGACTGTGCAGTTTACAAGTTCAGTCTTCTCTGGAAATGAAACATTTGGTTCTGCTGATATCTGGGTTATGTTGACTGGAGATTTGGAAGATCCTACTTCAGTGAAGTACGTTGATTATTTTTAGTTTTGTTTGTTTCTAGCAGTTGAATAATCTACTGATGAAGAGACTAATTTCTTCAATTGAATTACATATTTTGCAGTATATTTTTCTTTTTAATATATACTAACACTATTTCCAAGTTAAAAATATTCTGCAAGACTATATAGCCTAGTATACAGCTATTTCAATTAAGGTTGTCCCCGAGCAAAGCGGAAAAGTCGAATGCAAGCGCGAAAGGCTGATGGGAATCCCTAATAAATGAGTGAAATTATTAGCGTTCCCAGCAGCCCTTCGCGCTCGTATTCGACTTTTCCGCTTTGCTCGGGGGACAACCTTAATTGAAATAGCTGTATATTTAACACTTAGTGATTGGAAATTTCAGGAAACAGTATGTTTTGTGGATCTGAAATTGCCAAATGTTTGCCAATGGAAAATTCCAATGAATAAACTTCAACATGAGCTCCACCTTTGAATTTACTATGTAAATTCTTAAACACGTCCGAATTTATCATTATGATAAATTCGCTGCACATTTTGAATTTATCAATAGAGTTAATCATAAACTGACCCCAAGCATTAGACAAGACTTTTTGTTATAAATATAATGTAACTAAAAGGGAGGTTGGTCGCGCGGGGGTTAGGAGATTCCCAAGATTCCCAAAGAAAAGGTTTCGAAAAGTTTTAAAAAGGGGTTAGGGGTTGGGGTTAATGTTAGGGTTAGATGCCGCAAATTTATCATTATGATGAATTAAAAATGTGTCGCGAATTTATCATAATGATAAATTCGAACGTGTTTAAGAATTTACTCATATTGAGTAAATTCAAAGGTGGAGCTCATGCTGATAAACTTGTACTTTCCATATACAAAGTGCCAAAGACAGCGAAAAGCGAAGCAGAAATGAGAAAATTCAATTTTTGTTCTCCATAGGGATTAACGGAGCGATTTTAATTATTCACTGGTGAATAAAAGTATTGTCCGACTACTTTCCGATGACTTTCATGTGATACGCACTGATCTGATAGTATAGGTGATAGCATGATACGTCGTCTCGTCTAGTGAGAAGCAAGAGTATATGAACATTGGCACTTGCTAAATAATTATAATAATAATAATGATAATAATAATTACATTTTAATAATAATAATAATAATTAAATAATAATAATAATACTTGACATTTTACTTATATAGTTAACACAATCATGCGTGCCGGTTTCTATCCTTATATCAAGTATAAAAATATTAATGAATATAGTAAACATATTTCTTATTGTGTTCTATGTATTTCAAGTTTATTTCTCAGAAAACATCTATATGATTGTTTTAGTGTTTCTACACAACAAGACACGGCGGCGGCAGGAGTTGACTATACAAGTTTGACCAATTCTGTTCTGACGTTTACACCTGGAGGAACAACATTACAGCACATAACAGTTAATATAATAGATGATGACTTGATTGAAGGAACTGAATGGTTTACTGCTAGCCTATCAACTACCAGTCCACTGACAAAAATTGGAAATATTAATGAGACGATTGTACGAATTACTGATAATGATGGTACGCAACTAGAAACATGTTGACTGGTATATATTTTAATTGAAGCAATGCTATAAGTACTATACGCGCTATCCACTGGATGCAGTGACTTTTTCAACCTGCATAAAAATTAATGCTCTTTCAGAGAAGTTAATTTGCATGGTCGTCAATCCTGGGGGGGGGGGATGGGGGGGGGACGTGTCCACCCCTGTTTTTGGAGTGGGGGGGGGACGAATATCTAATTATCCCCCCCCCCTTTTTGACATGTTTAAAGAAATTTCTTGGTTATCTAAAAACCTAATGTATGGTATGCTGTTCATCAAAAATTGTGATTGAAAGGAAGACATTTAATAAGAAGAAGTACAACGTATGATCTTTCTGTACCCGCTCGGAGCAAGTACTGATATCTCATATGTAAAATTGTAAATACTTAAAAATAATTGCGTTTTAACTGTCTCGTCTAATCCTACAAGGTTATTACAGTTAGCTTAATATTATGTAATATTTAATGAAAAGAAGCAGTGGCGGACACTAGGGGAGGGGGCGAGGGGAGGGGGCGAGGGGGGGGCTAGCCCCCTGAATAATTTTGAAAGACTGTAAAAATCTTGTACCAAATAACACAAATCACAGTATATAACGTAATTGTCATATTAAATAATAACTATTTGATAAAACTTAAGCTAAAACAGTAAGCAATATACCAAACAATATAATAATATACGTTTCTGTACTGTACATGACACAACATACGCATTTTATACATTATTTTTGCCGGGTACTAGGAGGTCAACTTTTTGCAACAGGCGCTTCTTTAAATGCCATTGTCGATTTCTTGTTGTTTTTGAAGCTTATACTAGTCTTTAGCAGCAAACTTTTCTGCTGCACCATATTATTTGAATGCGTATTAAACTATTATGCCAAAAAACAATGGATAATTCAATTAATATTCCAATTTTAATTGTGTTAACAAAAACAAAAACGTGCGCAGCGAATAAATTTCACTCACTTAGCGAATAAATTTTTACATGCAATTCCATTCAGCAATGTTAATAATCATGTAAATATTTTCTCTGAAATGTTGTTTTTCTATGCTTTGCATGCATGTGATTTATAATTGAATGCCGACCATTAAAACAGTGTTTTGAAAACCTAGTTTTTTGTGTTCTCTGAATGCTGCAAATGCCATTTCCGGGATCCGAATTTTAAAATTTTCCCGTGCTTTCGGCACGAGCCCCCCCCCCCCCAATATTTCGTAAAGTGTCCGCCATTGAAGAGAAGTTATATGTAAATTTCCAGGTGCTAATAAATATTGATTAACTGAGTTTCCCTTACATAGATGATTATCATTAAAATAAGGCAAATTGTTAATTTAATAGATTATTAGCATTATAAATAAGAGTGAGGAAATGTTCATCGACAGTAACGTCTGGTCACAGGCTAGGACATGTTGGTTTCTCACATAGTTAACATACTCACATTTCTCACGTGGATTTAAGATCATGCACATTGTAGTATGATTTTATAAGTGCCTCCAAAACGCTGGGAATGCCGTACCAAAATTTTAAAAAACATTTCGAGTAGCATGCCTCCGGACCTTCATAGTTTGGAGTCCGTCCCTCCACTTTTTGGGATAGATTGACGCCCTTGTTAATTTGTACTCAAAACACATGCAGAACTATCTGTGTTATCATGAAAAGTCAAAAGTCAACGCCAAAACTTTATTATATCATTCACAAATTGCATGTATTTTTGACCTACATGAATACAGTCGACGTATCCATTTGTAGATTAATTGTTAAGAATAGTACGAGCCCTCTCGCACCAAAATTGTACAAACCTAGGCGTATGGGCCGGGGGGCATGGGGGGCGTGTGCCGTGCGTCATTCGGGAAAAACATGAAAAATTCTGAAAAATTATGTTATGTCCGGAAAATTTTTTCTATGTGTGCGAAAATTATGGGATATAAGGGAAAATCATTTGGTATGTCCGAAGAATTTTTTGTATATTTGCGAAATTTACGGGATATTAGGGAAAATTTTTAGGTATGTCAGGGAAAATTTTTTTGGTGACCTCCCCCCCTTTCACCAAATTTTGGGGAGAAATATTAATTGGCGAATGTCGGGTAAACTAATACTGTGCCTCAAACAAGATTAGGCCCGTACGCCCATGTGTACAAATATATTGTTTTCACTACCATCTTTTTTCATTCTGTGACTATTAATATATATTTGGCTATTTTGCGTTTAACTTTAAATTACAAAAGTGTGTTGTGATATTTAGCAAAACATTTAAATTTTTCTTTTGTCGAATATTGTTATTTAGTGGCTTCACTGGGATTTAGCAATGTACTAGATTTCCAAGTCAACGAAGGAAACGTTGTTCTTCTTACTGTTCAACTCACTGGAGTTGCCCAAGGGCCGACGTCTGTGATGTAAGTCATGCAAAATATATTTTCAATGTTTGCGAGTGCTAATTGTTGTTATGGAGATGGATAGTTTTTTGTTAGTTGCTGCATATATTCAGTACGTTCTTAGCTTATAATTCTTATTCCCCAATTTTACATATAGGGCTACAGTGACTATCTCACTTGAAAGTGCCAGCAATAAAGATGTCAATGTTACATCGTCAATTGACTTAAACTTTAGTTCTTTTAATGCTGAGGAATCTATTGCCATAAGCACCGTGGAAGATTTATTAATTGAAAGTGACGAGGTGTTTCGTGTTAATATATCGACATCAAGTTCAAATGTGGAAATTAATGGTGGGATTACAACTGTTACAATCCTGGATAATGACAGTAAGTGCATGTGTTCTACATGGTCTTAACTAAAACTGCCTGACGTATGTTTAGTAGTATTCATGTTTTCAGTTGTTTATATTAGCAATAGGCTACAGTACTTTTAATTAATAGTTATAAGAAATGGGAAACGAGTCGCGCGCGTTTATGGCTTGATGATGCACGAAGGGAAATAATGTAGGCCGTTTGCTGTGACATCGAAAAGTGCCTAGAAAACGATTTTCATTAAGCATGTCTTGGAACTGAAATATTTTTATGGGAACTAACACGTTCGAACACGCTGATTTCAAATCCGAAAACTTCCCGCACCGTAGAACCGCAGTTTTCTCACAAACTGCGATTTTATCTTCACTAATTTCACGACAAATTTTTTCATTGTTCAACGACACGGATGGATGAAGACACACGATTGCATAACTCAAAATGACTAATTCTTATGAACCAGTCTCTACATTGAACAAAAGACCGTTTTGCTTGGATTATTTTGAGTTATGTGATTTTAAACGCGTTGGACGTAAACAAAAAATCCTCAGTTCTGGCTGTATCTCTATGTTAAGTAGTTGGGATGTCTGGGATGAGAAATAATTCCTTACATACGAGCAAAATGTTTTATCAACGATCAATGTAAAACGGTAATCTTATGGAATGGGTCAGCATTTGCATTTCCAACACAGTTTCTGAGATGTAATTCAAGAGGTACCTTATCATTGCATTTGAACTATTATATCAGTTGGTGTTATTCTCGACGAATATTATTGGAAAGAGGGCTGCCATATATGTTAAAATCACCAAATAAGCAGCTTATACACACATTTCTCCACTTCGTCGTAAGTTTACAGAGCAGATTTTATACTTTGGTATAAAATCACAGTTGGCACTGATCTTTGTCTTTGATGTGAACATTTATTCTTCACGCCGGTTTAAGTACTGTTTAATAAACGAGGAGGAGTGTTTTATTAGGTTTAAAGCCACGAGCGCGCAGCGCGAGTGGCTTTAGACCTAATAAAACACGACCCGAGAGTTTATTAAACTGCTTCAAACACGACTACAAATTCAATAGAAATACTGCCTTATTAGTATTCTTTAGATAAAAAATACTAATGAGGGCACGACTACAATAGAATACTGCCTTGTTAGTATTCTTTATATAAAGGATACTAATTAGGAGTGTTTTATCAGGTTTAAAGCCACTGCACGTGACATATTATGGTTGACATGATTTGCCAATAAGCTTATGAATTATTAATGAGTGTTTGAAGATTATTTCAAAAACTCATTAATAATTCATGAAGCAATTATCCAATCTTGAGTAAGAAATTAGTCACGTGCATACGTCTTTATACCAGCTAAAGAACACTTTAACAAAAGACCATTGTTATGCAAACTATATAAAGATTTTTATATAAAGATTTTTATATAAAGATTTGACTTATTATGCAAACGTTTTTGAAGCCATTTAAAAAACTCGCAGGTCGTGTTTTATTAGATCTAAAGCTACTCGCACTGCGCGCTCGTGGCTTTAAACCTAATAAAATACTCCTGCTCGTTTTTTAAATAGTACCTTAAGATTGATCCTGTCGTAAGTCTTCTACCAGCAACCAATCGACAATATTTCATTTTAGCGTTGTCTTTGCCGTTACGTTCGCTTCGCATTACTTTTGTTTTAAATACCTTGATCGCGTTAAAATAGTTATTTTTCAGGCCAGTGACATAGCCAAAAGACTTAGCATTAACTTCGTTGTGATTTTACAGAGATATCGCTAGAACTGAGGATTTTAGAAGGCGTTATCTGTACCTTCTCAAAGTTGTAGACAAGATATGTTGTTTACGTCCAACACGCATATCATTGATCCAAACCCCCATGTCTCCCATAACATGCAAATTACAGTGCAGTTGCTTGAGTCAGAGTGCATGCCAGTCTTAATATGAGCAATATAACTTCCATCTGAATCTCCAGTCCAGAAGCTTACATAACTCAAAAAATTTCGAGCAAAACGGTCTTTTGTTCAATGTAGAGACTGGTTCATAGGAATTAGTAATTTTGAGTTATGCAATCGTGTGTCTTCATCCATCCGTGTCGTTGAACAATGAAAAAATTTGTCGTGAAATTAGTGAAGTAATATATGAACAACGAGAGCGAGTGTTTCACCGGGATATCCAAACACGAGAAAACAATGTATGAGAACATGAGCGCGAAGCGCGAGTGTTTTCATACATTGTTTTCGAGTGTTTGGATATCCCGGTGAGACACGAGCTCGAGTTGTTTATATGGCTTCTCAAATGAATCGAGACCTAACAGAATGTTTTCGTTTGCTGATTTGAATAGAATTCTTAACCAAGCATAACGTAATTAGGAATTCTATTCAAGTAATTTTGCATGCGTAATTAAGATATTTGATGAAAACACTAGTGACTTTCATCAAGTATCCAAATGGTATCTTGTGATCAAATAGGAGATTATCATTGGCTGAATTACTCATGAATTATTAATGAGTTTGAGAAGATAAAATCGCAGTTTGTGAGAAAACTGCGGGTCTACGGTGCGGGAAGTTTGAACCGAAATTAGTATAGGCCACACTAGGTGGCGTGACAAGGGGCGGGGACTTTTATAAACAAGATTGACATTTTGAAGTATAAAGAGCAATTAGTTGATAGACAGAGAATATAAAAACAACATTGGGACTGTGAGACATATCGTGATTCGTGAGACTGTGAGAAATTGAATATATTTTAGTTTTAAGTTTTGTAAGTTTTATTTTGGATTTTGGATTAAATAATAGTATACTACGTGAGTAATGAGTTCGGTATACTAGTGGAACTACTGCCGTGACCAGGATTCGAGAGGAAAAAAGCGACGAAAATCAAACACACAAAGCGGCGAAATACGAAGTAAACACTGTTGATTTATCATTATGAGCGACGAAGAGGCGAGCGAGATTACAAACGCAGGTGAGCAAAAACTCGAAGGAGATATATAGAAAGAGATTTCTAAGTTGAAGTATTTCTTAGAAGAAACAAATGAAATTATTCAAGCGAAAGATTACGGTGAAATGGAAGCTATAAACAATCGCGCTGGGAAAATAATTGTCAAAATATCGGAGCTAATTTCACAAACAGAAGAGTTGAAAATCGATAACGGCAAAACACCGCGTTCAGTTAGACAGTGGAAAAAGGAAACAAGAGCTAAATATTCAGCGCTGATCGAAGACAAAGAGAAAATAGCACAACAACTAAAGGAAAAACAAGAAAAGGCTTATGACGAAGCTGAATTACGACGGCTAGAATTGAAAGATGAACAATTTCAACAAGAAGAACAACGACGAGCTGAAATTCGCGAAGCACAAGAGGAACGCGAACGACAATTATGGCAAGAAAGGCACGAAGCTGAATTACGCATGACTCAGAGAAAGATTGAAATAGGAAAGACCGCTCGTTCATCTGCAGCAAAATTACCAAAGTTAAAAATAACACGTGAGAACATGTTTTTGACACTTGTTCACGAAAAGGCGAGTACAGCCGAAGAAAAATACGGGTTTTTATTGGAAATGGTGAGCCCAAAGGTGAGGGAAAAGATTGCTAATTTGAAACCAGGTGAAACGGTTACAAGATTGCATGGGAGAGATTAAAAAGCGAGTATGGTCACCCCAAACATGTTATCAACGCCCATATGGATGCCATAATTAACTTAACTCCAGTAAGAGGACATAATTATGAAAAAGTTCAAGATTTCTACGAGAAATTAAGCAAGAATTTCGATGCACTTCAAACTCTGGGAGAAAGTGAAAAACTTTCTGGATTTGTTATGACCACAATCAACAAGTTGCCCCACATAAAACCCGACTTGGTTCGAGCGGACGATGACTGGGAAGAATGGTCCATGGAAGTACTAATAAAGAATTTGCAAAAGTGTCTTCGACGGAATAAAGTGGATGATGCGAGCAATCAGAAAGAAACCAGAGACAAGAAACCAGAAGGACACTGGTATCAAAAGTCATCAGGACCCCCAAAACCTCACTGTGTTTTTTGCGCGAACAATGAACACTGGAGTGATCAATGCAAAACAGTGAAACGATTGGCCGACCGAAAGAAATTCTTCGCTGAGAAGAATCTGTGTTTTAACTGTGGTCACACAGGGGAAATCAATGCCGAAGTCGTGGTTGCCTGAAGTGTAATGCCAAACATCACACAAGCCTGTGTGATAAGAATGAAGACAACCAAGAGAACAAGACATCATTAACTGGATTTACCACATTAACCGAGAAGAAATCGCTTCCAGCCATTATACCTGTCAACATAAAAGGACAGACCCTGTGGGCATACCTCGACACTGGCTCGAGTTGAAACTTTATTTCACGCGAGGCTGTGAAGAAACTCGATTTGAATCCAACACATCATGAATCCCTCGAGATTGTAACCGTGAATGGTACCTCTACTCAATCCATGGCTATTTTCCAAACAACCATAACTTCTCTTGATGGGAAAGTACAGGAAGAAATCGAACTGACTGGTTCCAGACTTCAAGATTTTACCACAGTTAAGAGACCAGATATGAATGAACTCAAGATGAAGTACACCCATACTCAAGACAAAAGATTTTATATGACCGCCAAAGGGGAACATCCAATTCATCTCATACCCGGTGATGGCACATACACCAGGATCCGAACTGAGAAAGTTTACAAAGGAAATCCCAGAGATCCCCTTGTGGAGGAGACAACATTCGGATGGGTCATACATGGTGGTGAGGATTATTCGAGCGATGCATGTATGTTCACTAGAGAAATTTACGATTACGAACAGTTATATAGTCTTGATGTTCTCGGAGTTGAAGACCGTGGTGAAAATGATCAAATGCAAGTGCTTGCTGAGTTTCAAGAGAACATAACCAGACAAGAAGATGGCAGATACCAAGTTAGCATACCATGGATTCCAGGGAGTAAGTTGACAACTACAAACGAACAGCCAAGCAGAAGACGACTGTTCAACGTGAACAAAAAGTTAGCGAAAGATAAAAACCTGAAGCAAGAATATGAGAAGATTATCGATGATCAACTAGCGAGCGGTGTGATTGAGAAAGCCCCAGACGAGCCATCAGGAGAGCGAGTGTACTACATGCCACATAAGCCAGTCGTAAGGCAAGACGCAGCGACAACGAAAGTGAGAATGGTCTTTGATGCAAGCTCCAAACCCCATCCACTAGCATCCAGTATTAACAATTGTATGTTTACTGGGCCTCCCCTCCAACCGTTATTGTGGGATATTATGGTGAGAGCAAGAATGTCGTCAAATCTGCTTCTTGCAGACATTCAAAAAGCCTTTTTACAGATAGCAATCAAAGAAGAAGACAGAGATGCCTTCAGATTTCTCTTCGAGCGCGACGAAAAAGAGGAACATTTTCGGTTCGCCAGAGTTCCATTCGGGGTTGAAGCCAGCCCATTCTTACTCGGTGCTACATTAGAATACCACTACGACCAGCAATCACCAGAATTAGAGGAAACCGTGACTGCCCTTAGAGAAAGTACGTATGTGGACAATATCATGCAAACGGGAAATAACATGGAGAAGTTGGAGAAGTTTAAGAAAGAAAGTGAAGTTGTTCTTGAGAGTGCAAAATTACCGATTCACAAGTGGGAGTCGAACATCGCGACATTAGAGGATGAGAACATGTCAAATCCTAGCAAAATTCTTGGTCATGTTTGGGACAAGCGTGAAGACACTCTAGAAATACAAGTACCAGCAGTACCTGAGACAGAACCAGTTACGAAACGAAGCATCTTGAGTCAGCTTGGTAAAGTGTATGACCCATTGGGAATAATATCACCCACGATGGCCGAAGGAAAACACATTTACAGAGAGGCTTGTGAAGAGAAAAAGGGATGGAATGCCGAGGTTTTACCAGAATTGAAGATGCAGTGGCACAAATGGAACAAACAACTAAAGAACGTGAAAGTACCGAGGAGCTTAACAGGAAAATCGAAGGAAACGAAGGCTATCGAGCTCCATGTGTTTGCCGACGCAAGCAATCTCGCATGTTCTGCAGTAACCATAGCACTAGTTGAACATTCATCTCGAACGATCAAAGGGTTGCTGACATCGAAGTCCCGGATTTCAAAAAGAAACACTTCCAAACCCAGATTGGAACTCGTAGGAGCTCACATGGCTGCGAACATGGCGAAGAATTTACGTAACGCTCTTCACCGGCAACCAATCAAGACCATTGTGATCTGGTTAGATAGCATGGTAGTGCTTTACTGGTTGACCAATCCAGGGAAACTATGGAAGACGTTTGTCTCCAATCGAATCAAGAAGATAGCTGAGATAACTAACGAGCTTGGTATCATTTGGAAATATTGTCCGTCAAATAAGAATCTTGCTGATCTAGGGAGCAGAGGAGCAACCATGGAAAAATTGCAAAACGGAAGCTGGTTTAACGGTCCAGATTGGTTATTAGAGAAAGAACAATGGCCAGAGCAACCCAATTTGAAAGTAACTACATCTGTCAGTCAAGAATGAAACCAATTAAAGAGCAAGCACTGTTTACGAAAGATCGAGAGCCAGACGAATGGGACGCTTTGTTAGAAAGAAATACATACTGGCGTACATTGCGAGTAACATCATGGGCATTAAGATTTCTAAACAACTGTTTGGCAAGAGTTCGTCGAAACCAAAAGCGATCGGGGCCTCTTGTAAGCGAAGAAATTACAGTTGGAAGAAACGCTTGGGTAAGGAGAGTACAACAAGGTGTCAACCCTGAATTACAAGCGCCAGGTTGGAGAATCGTCGAAGACGAAGTAACGAAAGTTCTCAAGTGTAAAGGAAGAGTAAGTGGATACGAGCCAATATACCTTGAAAAGCTAATAGCCCACACCCACAGCAAGATCAAACATTTCGGTGTCGCAAATACCATGGCTGCTTTGAGAGAACAGTGGTGGATACCACAACTTAGATCAAAGGTGAAAAAATTAATCAACAATTGCAATATCTGCAAGTTGTATTCCACGAAGCCGTATGGGTCACCGTTGACGAGCAACATGCCCAGCTTTAGAACAGAAGCTAGCGAACCATTCGAAGTCACCGGTGTCGATTACGCTGGGCCGTTAAGACACAAAATCAGTAAGAGAGAAGAGGGAAAGTGCTACGTATTAATCTTCACGTGTGCAGCATCTCGAGCGATCCACCTGGAACTAACCAAGAGCCAAGAAGCAGAGGAATTCCAACGAAAGCTCAACTCATTCATCGCTCGAAGAGGAAGACCTCGATTAATGATATCGGACAACGCAGCTGCGACATTTAAAACGACAGCCAAACTAATCAAAGCCATTAGAAAGAGTGAGAAATTGCACGATTTCCTAGCAGCACAAGGTATACACTGGAGATTCAACCTTGCTAAGTCCCCTTGGTGAGGAGGGATTTATGAAAAATTGATTCGGGAAGTAAAGAAAACCCTTTATAAGACCCTCGGAAGATCGCACCTTTCATTCGAGAATTTGGAAATGGTCCTCATGGACATTGAAATTAATATGAACAATCGTCCATTAACCATGTCGAAAGCGAAAGTGGAGAGGAAGAAGTACTAACGCCAAACGTTCTCATCCGAGGGAGAAACACTTACCTTCTTGATGACATAGAGAATGACGTAGACGAGCTTACGAAGATGCAAAAGAGAATCGCCAAAGCAAAGAACAACGCTTGGAAAAGATGGCAACGAGAATACGTACACAGTTTAAAGGAAAGCCAACGAGTAAACGGAAAGCCAGTTAACGCGCCTGAAGTCGGTGAAGTAGTTTTAGTCGTGGGAGAAGAAAAGAACAGGAGCGAATGGAAGAAGGGAAAGGTAGTGCGACAAGTCAAAGGTAAGGACGGAGTGGTGCGTGGTGTGGTACTTTTACACAAGGGACACACTATCGAAAGACCGTTACAGTTGGTGTGTCCACTCGAAATTCGATGCACAACGCAAATAGAACAAAGAAAGAACGAAGAAAAGCAGACGGTTGAAAATGAAAGGAAGAAACGGGGAGCAGCAATTGAAGCAAGTAAGAAAATACGCGAGCTAGCAGAAAACGAGGATGCAGACTAAGCAGGGAACAGTAAATGAGAACAGTTCACATTGTGTTGACTTATAAAAATTAAGACTGAATTTTTAGGGGAGTAGTGAACTGAAATTAGTATAGGCCACATTAGGTGGCATGACAAGGGGCGGGGACTTTTATAAACAAGATTGACATTTTGAAGTAAGAGCAATTAGTTGATAGACAGAATAATATAAAAACAACATTGGGACTGTGAGACATATCGTGATTCGTGAGACTGTGAGAAATTTAATATATTTTAGGTTTAAGTTTTGTAAGTTTTATTTTGGATTTTTGATTAAATAATAGTATACTACGTGAGTAATGAGTTCGGTATAAGTTTTCGGATTTGAACTCAGCGTGTTCGAAAGTGTTAGTTCCCATAAAAATATTTCAGTTCCAAGACTTAATGAAAGTGAACGATAACGAAACGCAGCAAACGGCCTAAAAGGCTTGAAAAAACTTGTTGAGAAAAAATTTCTTCAGGTCTAGCTGTTTCGAAGAGTTTCTTTTTTTAAAGAAAAATCAAAACATTTTTTGAATTTGTTACAAAACAATCCCAAACATTCTTGCTTCTCATCACTGAAACGATTTCTTAAGAATGTTTTTCTGCAAGACGGGCTATTGTTCTTGACACGTTATAACCAGTTTTAAATTTGCCCAACCTATAGGGGTCAAGAATCCCCAGTATTGACTAACGTGGAAATGTTTGATTGGTTGTACTAAACGTAAGGTAATTTGTAAAATGCCGAGGTTAACTTCCTGTTGTTATTATGTTTTTAGAGGCAGTCATTGGATTCTCACCTTCAAACTACGTTTTTCAAGAATCTTCACAATATGCTAATTTGTCAGTCGTGCTGTTCACAACCGCTCCCCTTCAACGAAATGTTGGATTCAGGTTTTTTGTTAATTTGTTTTGATTTTTTCTAAACGCTCGTTATGATATCGAAAGCCTTAAGCTACTTTCTAAACACTCGTTATAATATCGAAAGCTTTATGCTACATATATATAATATCGAAAGCCTTATGCTACTATATATCGTCGAAAGCCTTATGCTACTTTGACCACTGTGCACATCTGATTACTATATATACCTCTATATAACTTTTACTCTTTTATTACATATACATTTACCATTTATATAATACTTGTACATAGATATATGTGTGCTAAATTAAATTCTTCTATCATAAACAAACGACCTTTTTAATTAATGCCCCAATTGTTTGTCCGTCCAATATTATGTATAGCTAATGAAATTTTATGGTGTCTTTGTTTTCAAGCACTGGTGCCAAAATTATTTCAAGTTTTAAAGTGTTGATCTTATTAATGTGCAGTGGGCTTCTCGATTTGATGATATTGATATCTATAGTCAAATTGAGTCAGAAATTTTTGTTTTTATTAAAAAAACAACTCATGCAATTCAGTCGTTGTGTACATTTATAAATAGACTGATGTTATTTCTGAGTATATTGATTCTTGAATTCTCAATCGATTGTACTCATGAGGAGTTGTCTAGAGTTGTAAACTAAGGTCTGCTAATGTTGTCATGCATAGCCCTCATAAATAACTCACGGCAATTTTTGTTTCTTATTAATTAAGCTATTCAACAATAAACTATACAGCAAAATCCTCAGTAGACTATGACGAGATTACCGGTGGACAACTTCATGATCCGTTTAATATCGGTGATGGAAACGGGACCGTTCGTTGGATCTCCATTGGAATAATTGATGACGACATTTTTGAAAACCTGGAAACCTTCCAAGTACGATTGACTTCCACCACGGGTGATATTATCTCTTCCAAAACTGCTAATATCACTATAAATGACAACGACGGTACGTGAAGAAAGTTTAATACCAATATCATTTTTGAAGGCTGTATAAATTTCTTTTCCTTTTTTCATTTTAACATTTTGACGTCCTTTTGCTCATTCAGGTAACTTCTTACGCTGATTAATAGAATCCTTGAAACAAAGTCAACGTTAAATTAATATCTTAAATCAAAACCTTGCGTTTAATTAAAACATCTTTTAAAGAATTCAGACAATTTTTTCTTATATAGTCCCATCTATTCGCTTGGTTGAGACAACACAGGAAGTGGTTGAAGGTGATGTTCAAATCTCAGTCCGAGCAATTCTGCTTGGGAATATCGATAGAGAAGTTACTGCCAGGTAACTGTCGTTTCACTTACTCGCCTTGCAAGAATCCAATATAATACACAATATTATAAGTATATAGTATGTGAGAAAATTCCGATGCGCCGTTTGTTCATAAGCCGATTAACTTAACCCTAGGTTAACCTAAAATTTAAAGCAAACTTCCCAACAACTTCGTTATAAACTTCCGAAATCTTGTCTGGACCAATAAGAGTTTCTTCTGTGAAGTTTTAAAACAGATGGATGTACAGAAATACATAAACTAAAACAGTAGGTTAAATTTTAACCCAGGATTAGTGCTAATCCAGGTTTGAACAACCGGACCCTGTTGAATATCTCCTTAATCTCCAACGCAATTTGGAAAACTACTGTAAAGTACTTGCAAATTAAGCATGCTCCTTTTCACTTTATTTCTAGGCTTACATCATCTGATGTAACTGCAACTGCGAATTCTGATTATCAACCGATTAATCAAGACATTACGTTTGCTGTCGGAGATGCATTTGAAGAAGTTGTAATTACCATCAATGAGGATACTTTGGTTGAAGGAACTGAGTCGTTTGAAGTGACATTATCCAGTAATGATGCAGACGTCGTAGCTCCAACGCTTACTTTTAACATCACTGATAATGATGGTGAGTTGAAGTAGTTCATTTTGTATGGTTTTATGTATTTTCCCCATGGTATATATTAAATTCAGTGTTGGTGTTCTTGCATGGTGTCGATGTTTTGTTGTGGTGTAAACAATTTTGTTCTAGTTGGTGTTGGTGTTGTTGTTGGTGATGCTGGTGGTAGTGTTGTTTGTGGTGATGCTGGTGGTGTTCATTGTTATGGCGGTTGAGTTGTTGGTGATGATTGTGGTGTTGATTATGATGGTGGCGTTGGTGGTGATGATGATAAAATAGTGTTTTTAATGATGATGGTGGTGGAGTTGGTGCATGATAATAACGTGGTGTCGTTGGTGCTGCTGCCGCCAACGTTGTTGTTGATGATGGTTGCGGTGTTGATGGTCGTATTGGCTATGATGATGGTTGTGGTGTGATGGTGTTGTTGGTGCAAGTGCTATAATTGAATTATGGTTGTATTTATGTTAGAGTTAGTGTAATTGATCGTGTTCGTGTTATAAATATTTAGGAAGATGTAGGATGTAATTAGCCTTTCTCGCGATGACGAATATCCGCCATTTTTGGTGACATCTAATTCTGATGCAGACAATTAAAACAACGTGAAAAGCAATTTTTCAAAACAAACTAACCATTTACAAAGCAAATTTACCATCATTCGTCCAAAAACTTATAAAACGTCGCTGTTATGTGGACTTATTTCGCAGACTTCGGCTGAAAATCCACCCAAAAATGGCCTTGTGAGAAAGGCTAATTCAGGTGTTTATGTTGAGAGTTAGTGCTCATGTTGGTGATAGTGTTTTTGTTCGAAAATTTAAAAACTTACAATCCCGGAAAGTGCATTTTCAGCTATTTCCCAATTTTGTTTACTTAATTCTATGATATGCAAGTCGCGTGATCTGAAATGTCTATTTTATTCTTGTGACGAAAAAAGTAAAATTTATGATATTATCACTATATAGCTAATTTGTGCTCTACACATATGGTCAGGAGATAGATTCCATTAGAATTAGCATTATCCTCTCCCTTTTTCCCGAATACAATTCTTACCCGGCATGGTCTCTTGCCACACAGGAATTGATCAGAAGTCTCCGAGCTAGGAAACAGACTATGGTTCAGGTGTTTTTTAACGCCCATCCCCATGTGCGTAAGCTGAGTGTGACTGTTTAGACATGGTGGCTATAGTACTGGATTTCAATTTCAAGAGCAGAACGACTGTAACTTGACTCTACAGGTAAACCAAGAGGGGTTGCCAGTTGAGTTGCCGACGGCCCAACATAAGCAGGTGGTATTGGTTTACATGGTTATCAGTAGCAGGTTGACCATGGCCTGTCGACCTCGGGTAATCTAAGTATTACAATGTTTTGATAATTTTCGTTCCACTCTCTGAATATATTAATTCTAGGTTCTAGTGTTTCTAACGAACGTTTCTCTATATACTCATTGTTTTAGACGCGTTGATATCTCTTGGGCAAAGCAATTATCAAGGCAATGAGGATTCGTCAGTGGTTGAAGTTTCTATCAATCTCGTTGGTACGTTGGAGACAACGGTACAAGCAATGTGAGTTTACATTTATAGTTTTGGTTGGTAACATGTACACGGTATATGCCCCCATGAAGGCACTACTCTTTGCGCTCTGCACAACGGATCCATTCCCGTCCGTACCGATGTATTATAAACGATGCTTACTTTAACATTTTACCCATTTTGCTCGTCAAGCGATACCATACCTAAGTTTATGAAATCTTTATCACTGTTTTCGTGAGTTCTACTAATTCAGCATTTATCACAACAAATGATATCACTGCCGCACGTTTTTAGTTTTTTTACTGTCCATCACTGCACAAATGGGTTATCACTGCATACTAAACTACAAAGGTATAAGCGATACTCAACTTACCTGATACAGTTCAAGACACTGCTTATATATACAGCTAATTTAATTAAGGTTGTGCTTCCGAAAAACGTAAACCTTAAACTCTGGGGGCGCTAGGGTGGGTAATTGCTTATTTAGACTCGTAAACTTTGAAATTTGGCTTTGCAAGAATACCTATATGACATATAGAAGACTCACGACAGAAACATACTTGCTGTAAAGGCAATTTTCTGAGTTTAAGGGCCTAATAGGTGAAAACCCATCATCTTTTGTGTGCTCAGAGTTTAACGTTTAAGGTTTTGGAAGGACAATCTTAATTGAATCAGCTGTATAATTAACGATGAAAAATTAGCATGCATAAGATGCTTAAATTAATGATAAGGTTATGACGAAGTTATCCTAATCACTTGGAAATAGATTTCCTTATCGACTTTGTTTTTTCTTCTTTTTGCTATATTCACTAAAAAGCAGCCACGTACGTAAAAAACTCCAAAGGAAAACTTGCTATATATTTATTTTTATAGTTTGGTTCTTTCACCACAAACAGCTGTTTTGGGAGACTACGCCGAATTAGATGAGCCACTCGTAACTTTCGATTCGGGTTTATCGACCACACAATGGCGCAATATAACAATTATTGACGACGACGTTGTCGAGAATTTAGAATCCTTCAGCATTAATCTGAAAGCTGTTAGCAAAAATGTGCAGATAAAACCTAATTCAAGTGCGATAATCTCCATAACTGACAATGATGGTAAGTAGAGAAATATGTACAGAGTAAAGGCTTGGAAAAACATTTTGCGGCCAAGCATTTCCTACAGACATGTTTCCAAAGAGTGGGTAAACCAGAATTATTTTTGCAAGAAAAATACCACTTCACATATTTTTAATTCGTTAGAAGTCAATCCGAAACATCTCTCTTCCGAAATTTTTTAAATGTTTCCCCCAACAAAATTTCGTTTTCGAAGGGCCTAAAAACAGACGTATATTTAGTGTTTAAATAAATGAATTCTTAAGAATGTTGTTGTGCAGGTGGTAGTGCGGCTGTTCATAAAACGTTGGCGCAGTTTTAAATGTGTCCAACCTGCACCCATCCCTCACAACTATTTTGATATCTGACGCTGTGAAAGACGTTTGACTATAGGTTATATATGTACCAGCTAGTGTAAAGTGTGAACAATATAATTATACACGGTTAATTTAGCTAATCGTTGCAAAACACAGGCAAACAATGTTCTGTTCCCTAACTGTAAACATGCATTTCCTACCTTACAAGCTTTTCATATTTTTATCCTCTATCTAAATTCTTTCCCCCTCCTCCCGTAATTAAACAATGTTAAGAAAAAATTTGAACTACATGACCATCTGCCTTTATAGCCATACTTACAACATATTGTTTTGGGGGCAGGTATAGAATTGCACTGTTATCTCAATAATTTTTACGCGTGACCTTATAGGCCCGATCCAATAGAGTACCTGCTCGCTGGAGCAACTTTATAACCTGTACAAAAAACTAACACGTTAGCCGCCTAAGATATTGTCGTTGTTGATTTTCAATATATAGTTGATAACGAATGCTTACAAGATCGATGTCACGCAAATGCCACTTGTGAAAACAGAGATGATGCAGGCTTTAGTTGTTACTGCAAAGATGGTTTTACTGGGAATGGACAGTTATGCAATGGTACTGTAATATAACAGGATGAAAGTAGACATAGTATACTATATACAAGTGCGTTGCCTTGGAACATGTGAAAAACAGCATGTTGGCGGCTTAAACAAAGCATCAAATCATAACAGACGCAAACGACGGCGTTTGCAGCGTCCATGCTTCCTGTATTTCATGCGCTTGCATGCCAGACTGGTCATTGGAGATGGATTATTTTGTCCTGGTTTCAATTGTATTTATATTCAGTCATTTGGTCAATCTGGTCAAATAAACAAATTACATATAATTTTAAAAATCTTAATCAAACTATTATCAAACTGCCTTTGGAACATCGTTTCGATTTTTCTTCAATTCAATTGTATGCGATTCTGATTGACAGCATGTTGCTGATATTAATTGGCATAATTAATTTATTAATTAACCGTATTATTAATTATGTTTTTGATGTTACTCTTTCGTTAGTTAGCCTGACCACGGTGGGAATATAACCCGCGACCTTTGGGATACCAGTTCACTGCTCTGCCAACTGAGCTACGAGGCCAGGTCTGTTCGAGTGTGTTGTATTTCCGAACTAAGTCTAGTACCTTCGATACCAATGTGTTCTATGATGTAGACTTTGTTTCCGAAATATCACATACGTACTCGAACCGACCTGACCGCGTATAGCTCAGTTGGCAGAGCATTGAACTAGTATCCCAAAGATCGTGGGTTCGATTCCCACCGTGGTCAGGCTAACTTTTTCAGCCTGCCCGGTGTGGATATACTCAGAGTAACATTAAAAACATTATATTCACCTGAGTACATTACATCACAACACACTAAAAAACTATTATTATTAATTAGTTCATTAATTCGGCTGTATTTATCAGCCACCCATGATTAATTTATCTATTAAAGAATAATAATATAAATATTTATAAATTCTTCTTTAGACATCATTGAATGCGAGCAGAGTCCGTTCCCGTGCGCTATTGGTCGTGCTACTTGTGAAAATCAAATTGGCTCTTACACGTGTACTTGCAACATTGGATACACTGGAAACGGATTGGTTTGTAACAGTAAGTAGCGGAAAAGTTTGTTATGCTTATTTATACTTACAAATACTATTTATAAATTATGAATCAAATTCGAAAGAGATGAATATTTATTTACATTGCTTCCACAAAAACATACAAATAGGAGAGAACTTTTTGAGATAAAAAAAATACAAGAGGTTTACGCTGACGTACAACGTCCATTTAATCGGCATTATATGTAATCTGATAAATATTTCGCCCTGACTTGCGTAAACTTTATAGCGTCGATTTTCTCGACTGAAACGAAGCTTAGCGCCAAAATGGTAGCGTATTTGTATTTTAAGTAACAGTACATTAAGCATTCGCGTCCGATCTGTAACCAATTGCATATTTTATTGAATAGGCTATCGAATTGATCTCCCTGATTTTTCGTACAGGGCCGTGGGAAGCTCTTTTTGATGGGGGGGAGGGCTATGGGGTATGGGGAGGCTGAAAGCGAGGGCCGAAGGGCCGAGGAAATTTTAAAATTTAGAGTCTCTGAAATGCCATTTCCTGGACTTTGGGGAAGATTTGACAGAATTCTGATGGTCAGAAAACAGCGTTTTTGTCCACCAAAACGTCCAGCTCACTTGATATGTTTCGCTTATCGTTGTCCCCAATACGATGTTACTTCGTGGATGAACAGGTTTGAACACCAAATATCTACTGCATATCTTGAAGGTTGCCAACTTTCAATACTGGGTGATTTTAACATTGACCTGTTGGTTGACAATACCTCTACAAAGTCATGGCTCAAGCTCGCTGAGAACCTCCAACTACACCAGCATATTAATGAACCCACAAGAGTGTCTTTAAATTCAGCTACCTTAGTTGATCATGTTTTCACATCGTTGAGCACGAAAGTAAGAGCTGTTAAGGTTCCTAAAATAGGCCTTAGTGATCATTACCCAACGTGCGTTGTGTTTAAAGATGGTTTCGGTACGAAACATTGTCATACTAGGATCAAATATCGGTCATTCAAAAATTTTGATGAAAAACAATTTCTAGAAGACCGAAGTCAATGCAAATGGAGCTCATTAAACGAAGAAAATGAAATTGACACTAATCTTGCCATTTGGTTCAACCTTTTCGTTGGAATCATTGATAAACATTTACTTGTAAAAACAAAACGAGTAAAACGAATGAAGCAACCTGACTGGATAACGCAGGACATTTTACATTGTATACGTGAGAGAGACCATCACAAATCAGTTGGGAATTTTACAGAATACAAGAACCTGCGTAACAAGTGTGTTTCCTTAGTACGTGAAGACCCGAAGAAGAAGAAGAAGTCTTGCATAAAAAATAGTAATGGCGATTCCACAAAACTTTGGAAACATATTCACGAGCTCGTACCAGGTGATTCGAAATCAGCACCAACAGCAATAAAAGACAGTCATCCTAGCCTGCGAACAGGCTCACTGGGAGAAAGGTGAGCCTGCACGGAACCATGCGTTTTATTCAATCATCCCCTTTTCGCATCTGCTAAACGCTAACCAATCAGCGTCGACTGCGATAAATAAACTGTCAACTGTCAAATTGACGCAAGGCGTGTACATTGTGCAACATGAACAATAATACAAAGCATTAGCGGGCCGCACAAAATATTACTCGTAAAAATATAGAATTCTTCAAATATTAAATAGATATCAATACACATACAAATATAAAGCCGAATAAACTACCATTGGCTTTGAATGTACAGTAATACTTGTACTATGTGCGACTGAAAGAACAATGTTCTGAATATTTTGAAGCTATTACTATTAAAAATACGGTCAGATAGATTGGGATTTGGAATACCGAATACGTTTAAAATTTTACTAACTGTGGTCTAAATAAATGATAAATGAGCATGTATTTATGAATTTCTTTGAAATCACGAGTGTGCCAATAGTGGAAGCCGTATCGACGACGAAATTGTCAGCAGTTAATATACAGTAAATAGTACAACGTTTAATGTACGATATATATTTATCTAAATAACATGCCAGCGAGGATCAACAATTTAATTATTGGTACATATTTGGGTATCTTTTGTATGCCTTCGCTTGCTGACTTGCTCACTAATGAGAATAATCCGTGAAGCCACGACGACCTCAAAATGTACTATACTATAGTCTGATGTCAATCCGAAGACGAAGTTCAGAATACTGTTATAGTTTCGTATATTGGATTTAAGCGATAGATTCAAGTCATTTATGATAGACTTTTTTGCTGTGATGCTTTGCTATTGCTTTTGGTTTCCATTTCTAGTTTTATTTGTTCGATAGTCTTATAATATATAATATTAAAATAAATAAAGTTCAAATTCTTCAAAATGCTGTTGTTGACATTTGCTATTTTTAGTAATTTTGTCAACGAGTGTAAGCCAATCAGAAGCCTGCGTTTCTATACGAACGCCACTACCAAGAAAACCTATAGTTCCGTGCAGGCCCTCAATTCTTCGCGCCGCCCGCAACCCAGGGCCTGTTCGCAGGCTACAGTCATCCCCGAGCCGACGGCGCGAAGCGCCGTTCGAGGGTACTAATTCCCCCCGGCTATTTACACCCGGGGAAACGAAAGCATTAGCGAAGTCTAAAGTTCATGAATGAGCGCGGCGTGGCTCACCAACGGTGTTTCGGTGGGTGGTCATCCTCACTGATCTCAAAAATATGGCGGACTGTCATGAATAGTGGACACTGATTGGTCCAATTTAAAGTTTGCATTATAGCGACTGTATGACGACAGCGAAATAGCAAACATTTCTTGATTTGATGATTGATAAATTTCTTGCAAATATATTTCATTTTTGCTCGCATTTTTGCAAGATTTTGTAAATTTCAAAAGCTTCTCAGAAAGTAAGGGCGAAAGAATCGGCTAAAAGAAGGAGCCGACGTTAACGAAGGTAAGTTTGTTTTAAATATTGATTTTAATTGCTTTAAAACCCGACGACCTTTGCGTATATGAAACAACTATAAAACAAGACAGCATATAATTTCAGTGTATATCTTTAATATTGATTCCCTTTTTTATTTATATTGAATTTTTTAAATAAAAAAGAAAGCAAAGTTATTTGCATGCTAGAATTTGAAATCATTTTATAGCAAACACAAAGTTTATCGATAAAGCCATTTAATTAAAGGCAGTTTAGTTTTATATTAAAGAACACTTTAAAACGTTTTGCGAAGCGTTTGTGGTTGAATTTTACGTTAAGTTGAAGCTTATATTACGTATAATAACATACCTAACATATAAATGTTGGGAAATTGATAATTTTGCAATTAAAAGTGATATTTTTAGGCAATTTTTCATTTGTAAGAATATTCTTAAAAAGTTATCGTGTTACCATGACAACTACTTTAGATACTTCATGTTCGGAAAATGCAATGGTTTTGTCAGCAAGGCGAGGGTTTCTGCATGCATGTATTTCCTAGTTTAACAAATATTTTTCTACCGTAGTTCAACAATACCTACCAATTAACAAATTAGGAACAATACGTCATCACTAGCTCCTATATCATTTGGTGTACCGCAAGGAAGTATCCTAGGAACTCTTCTATTTATTTTGTTCGTTAACGACCTCCCTTTGCATAGTAACCAGAACCTAGATCTTTATACCGATGATTCCACCTTACACTCCTCCGGTAATTCTATCAAGTAACTGAATAACACGCTCTCATCAGCCATGCAAGACATTGAGCAATGGAGAATACATCCAAGCGGATGGTGGTTAATTGCAAGAAGACTAAACCAATGGTGATTTGCACGTTCCAAAAGTCGGCATATGAATTCTGTACCAAACACAAAAACACCCTCCTTGAGAATGTTAAGCCTGAAAAGTTGTTGGGTGTGAAAATTGACAATCATCTATCTTAGAAAGCTCATATCGATGATTTGGCTTCAAGTCTTTGCAAACTTATTGCACTCTTCCGCCGAATAAAGATTTATCTACCACTTCAAACAAGGATTCTTTTCTATACAACTTTCTTTCAATCAAGGGTTGATTACTGCTGCACTGTTTGGGGACAATCGCCACACACATCAAGAATATACAAACTACAAAATCTTATATTAAGACTAATTTATGATAAATCTAAACTTTCTCCTTCCAAACCGCTTTTCGAACAATCAAACATCTTACCTATAAAGTATAGAGTTATGTATAGGATAGTTTGCTTGGTGTATAAATCACTAAATAGCATGACTCCTGACTATTTTATGTATGTAATGTGAATGTGAATTGTCCTGTACAGATATTTAGTTAGTTTTAGAGGTCCAGTGGAAGATTAGCTTTTGCTAAACTGGCATATTTCTTGTAAATTAACCTTCTTTAAAGAAAATTTAATAATAATAATAACACTCGAATAATTTTACTACTAAATGGGCGAAGGCGTATTTAATAAAGTATATATATTGGATAAGTTGCAGGAAAGTATGGGTAATATCTTCATTCTTTGCAGTTTGTCATGCATGATAATGTAGCCGCATAAAATTAATAAAGTTTAATATTGATAAAGGTCTGCATGATTTTGAAAAAAGATTTATTATTAGGCAAATTATTGAAGGGCGAAAGGCAAGCATAATACTTTAATTAATAGTTTGATATTTATATTTTTATCGAATAACACAGTTGGAACAGATTTTTAAATCTCACATCCATGCAGAAATTTTGTAGTCTTGCATGGTTTATATTTCATGTGTTTGAATCGGAGGATTTCGACTTCTTTAATTGTTTAGATGTTGATGAATGTCTCCAAAGTTCTTGTAGCACTAACGCAACATGTCAGGACACGATTGGCTCTTTCCTATGTGATTGTAGCGCTGGATTCTTCGGTGATGGACTTTTTTGTGCAGGTATATATATTATATAGACGGACGGCCAAAACCTGAAAATGTGCAACAATATTTGTTTGATGGCATTTTCTGTTACAAGCTGCCAACTGACATTTTCATGGAGTATATGCATTAATGAAGAAGACTGTTGATTGACTGTTGAACAATATATGTTGACATCTCTGATTTTGGCTTTATGGAAGAAAATTTTAAAATCTTAAAATTTGGCATAGGCCCTATGATAAAAAATGCATCATTTTAAGTTGACTTCACTTTTAACAAAAATAAACTATACCATCAGAAATTTCGCAAAAACGTATATGTAAGACCTTTAATAAAGCGAGTAGTATGATTTTCGTATCCGATTTTGAGCTTTTAAAATGAAGAAAATGCGTTAATTGATGCTAATAAATATAATATTAGTCACAATACTATTTTGCCAACTTTAATAATAATCCTTTAACTCAAAATCGACTTGGAAATTCAATACACTACTCGTTTTAATTAATTGTCTTATATATTAATATACATTTTTTTGATATTTCTAATGGTATGGTTTATTTATGTGAAAAGGTTTGCATTTTAGTCAATATGGTTATTTATTATACTTTATTAGGCAAAATTTTAAAATTCTCAAATTTTAAGCCAGTTGGCAGCTTGTAACAAAAAATGCATCAGAGTATACCTTTGAGAATGTTGGCCGGTCATTTAAAGGGGCAATGTCACCGATTTTTGACCAAAAATGCCTTTTACTCAACAACTGAACTACTAAAGTTAAAAATAAACATTGTAAATGGATTAAGTTATGATATATGAGTCATATTAAACAACTTTGAAATTCCACGCAACATGCAACATGACATTTTCATAAAAATTGACTAAAACTTGAAAAAGTGTCTGCCAACAATTAATCAAGATCGATGCCATTTACAATCCATCTCAATCCTGGCGTAATCTTGCCCATCCAGACTTCTGTACATGTTTTTTGTGTCTGTTATTGCTTTATTTTGTGCTTACACTCATTCTTTTTCAGTTTTGGGCAAAATTTGCGAGAATTAGTATTGCTCAAAAATCGGTGACATTGCCCCTTTAATAGTGTTTTAACTTTAGATAGATCTGATTGACATGCACCGCGCTTTTAAACCTGCACTCATTTTCTATTATCTTTGCCATCAAGATCTTATTATTTATGTTTTGTATGATATTATATTCAGATATTGATGAATGTAAACAAACAAGTCCGTGTCATTCACAAGCCACGTGCGAGAACAATATAGGATCGTTCAGATGTACCTGTAACCAAGGTTATACCGGGGATGGTCAAAACTGTTCTGGTAGGTTCCATTGTAGCCATTAATTTATACAATATAATTGAAAATAGTTTTATGCCTCAGGTTGAATTAATAAATTAATATAATATTATGACTATATATGTGGAAATTGATGCATTGCCTGGTCTCTGTTTACTGCATGGGCAACAACAAATTTGGTATAAATTTTGGTATAGCAAACGCGTTTTCACAATCTCTGATTGGTTATACAGTATATCTGGGCGGTGAATCTGCATAACATTATATTAACCGACGGAGTCAGCAATACTGTTGCGGAAAAAAATTATTGAAAAACATTTCATGAAAACTGCTAAAGATAATCTACAATTGGGTGTTCAGTAGTTTGAGTCTTTCAAAAATAATTATTATTCTGTGTAATTATAGAGTATTTTGTTTTAAGGTGCAAAAACTGCGGCTCGAAACTTTGCGATGTTTACTGAAAAATTATCAAATATATTTTAAAAACGCATTAATAATTCATGAAGAAAACACAAAAGAAATGAATGTTTAATCAATGTTTGTAGGCCTAAATCGGATAAAGATTTGTCCTGATTTACATAAACTTCAGCTTTGATTTTCTCGGCTTATATAGACAATGTTTATTCTTAAAATTACTTCGCCAATGAACTGACTCATAAGAAGGGTCTTTTTTAAGCACGTTAAAACATTCGCATTCGATCTTTATTTGATATACAAACTCTCGCCTTCGGCTCGAGTTTGTATATCAGATAAAGATCGGCTGCTCATGTTTTAACTAGTTTCTTGTTTTGTACGTATATAGTAACATATTTTGGAAACCAGAAATGAAAGATTCTGAATTGGTATCACTAAACTCTAAAATTTAATCATTTCGAGCATTTGATTTTCTTTGAGTAATTAGGAAGAAAGCGAGATTAAACATGTTGTCACCTCCGGAGTTTTTTATCATGCAGTTTGATTTTACATAAATTCATATGTAGGCCTAGAACAATTATTCCCCAAATAATGCGCTGAACATTGTCGATATTCATGAATAGCTACATTGGCGTCTTAGCATTCGGCGATAGTTTTTAAGTATACTGTTTGTATATTTGCCGGCTAATATATCTATGCTTACAAAAACAAACCCGCATCCGTACGCGTTTTATTGTTGGTTGTTTGCAGATATTAACGAATGTCCAAGAGGCCCATGTGGCAATAATGCAAATTGTACAAACAGTCCTGGATCATACATTTGTCTGTGTAACACTGGCTTTCAAAGAAGTGGATTTATTTGTATTGGTGAGTAATTCAAATTCAAAAGTTTGATTATTGACAGAACACAGACGTGGGGCCGTACGGCCCGTAGGCAGAGGAAGAGTGCATGGTGCAATGGCTTGTGTGCTCCTGTCTGGAAATTCAGACTAGTACTAACATTATTTATAATTCTTGTGTTTATAATATGAAATTTATTTCTACTATGTTTTAACGTTTTGACTTTTGAGTTGTTCATAATTATTATGAATGTTATAGTCCTATATCAAATGATATTTCGTAATGATAATAATGGTCGACTCCCCATTCCCCAAATACAATGCGGTAATGATTTTTTATGCTCTTGAATGAAAACGTGACTAAGCTAGCTTCTGTGAGAAAGGAAGACAATTATTTTTTCTAATCGAGTATGATTAATCTTATATCATGACATTTGATTGAAATAACCTATTTAGCGTGACGTTGGAATGATGGGGTGAGAGGGGGTGGTGGTGCAGTGTATAAGAAATAAGAAATGTTTCATTTCGTTAGATCAGACGTACTTTATCACGTTAACGCATGCCGAATGATGAAGTTAACAAATCAAGAATGATTGAATCGGAAAGCTTAATTATGCATGAGGACAGAATTACATACGCCCTATTTTTAGAAAGTGGGAGAGGACCTGTTTTGAAAAGAAAATAACATGATTACAATCAGCGATCGTAACTATCTATTTCATGATACTCTCAAATGTTTATTAGAGATATTGATCCGGAAGTGTAAAGGAAAATAAATTATAAATCACAGAAATAATGTTGTATTTAATCATTTTCAGATGTTAATGAATGTACTGTTAATGTAACTAGACCTTGCAACTCTCTGGCCAACTGTATCAATACAGTTGGTTCTTATCAATGTGGTTGTCACGCAGGCTATTCGGGAGATGGATTTCAGTGTGATGGTAAATGAACTATTATATAATATACTGTATCGATAACTCCTTTATCTTGATACGGTGTGGACTTGTGTGCCATAAAACATTAACAGTTGCAGTCTGAATTGGAAGATTGTTTCTACATTTTACAATGCCTTATTAATTAAGAGCGACTGTCCGTAAAAATCGAGCAAACAGTGGCAATAGATGAAAAATAGATTTCGTTCATATTTTGCTCAAATTTAGGTAATACCTAGTTATAAATGGTGCTTGGGTTAGATATTCAATATTTGGTCGATAAACGTACAAATATCAGAAATCAAGAATTTGTCTCCGGAAGGCTATAATTAGCCGCAGACAAAGCCGTTGCCATGGTCAATTTCATCACTTCGCGACAGATTCAAAACTGCCCGTAGATAGTTTTGATGGTTTAATGACTATAATTCAAGTATTAAAGAACAATTTTATCAATATAGAATGGCCCAGGAGGCTTTAACTGGCCTGACAGACGTTGTTGAAATTGGCTATTTTTAGTCAAATCTTACAATTGCATTTTGTCACTGGATTTGAAGGGGAAATTTACTATGTGCGATAATCGTGAATTTGTTTATATTTCATCCACGGAATGGTATAGCATGAGTACACGTTATGTATAAAAACTAGCTTGGGTTAATGCCTTGGAGCCTCACGCGAGACTTTTAAAAAAGCTCATTTTGGTGATTTCCAGTGGAATGTAACACAATTAAATCATTAGGCCCATACGTCTATACCAGAGTCACGAAGCTCAAATTGTTCAAAACTTTGAATTTTGTGTTTCGATATCAATGTATATGCTTTGTATACTTTATAAAAAATCGTTTAGAAGGATTTTCAATATATTTTAGTGAAATGCCTACTTACAACAAAAGCACAACAAATCATCATATCATTACTAGACTGTAACGTTGCCATTTATAGCAATTTGCGTGTTGTTACTGAATATATATTTAATATGTCTGCAGTCTGTAAGCTTTTGAAGTCTTATAATTTCTCATTTTTGTTTATTGCTTTCTCTGCATATGTAAACAAATAAAATTAAAGCTAGATAAATACAATAAAAGTACATAAGTTGGAACATGTATATGTTCACACTTTACGCAAGACATTTTTCTGGACTCTCCTGTTACGAAACTAACAAACAGGTGACGAGTTTTACTATAGTGCGAGGCATGGAAAAAAGTGCGAAGCATGCGAGGTAGAAGTGCGAGGCATGAAAAAAAGTGCGAGGCATGAAAAAAAGTGCGAGGCATGAAAAAAAGTGCGAGTCAGGCAGATGTGCCAGTGGGAGGCAGACACAATGACTGACTCCAAAATTTGACGATATTTAACATATTGAACATACTGAACTTGACGCTGGACAAACGGACAAATGTGAACGACATTCTAGTTTTAATATTAAAAAGTTCTGTCTGTACATTATAGTTTTAAATAACTACAGCACTCCAGTCAAAACGTCAAAAAGTAAACATTAACCTAGACAATAGCTCAACAAGTGACAAGCTTCACTAAAAGTTATGGAATATTAACTATTTTGCGTTGTTCATCTGTCAATTGAAAAACTACGTTCATACAAACTCGATAAGGTTTTATAAACGAATTTCTGGGTAATTTGGAAATGCATTTAAACCAAGGGAAAGCAATGGCCCAAGGGCAGTAGAAAAAAAGGCCCGTCAGGACTCGCGGGATTGCCTCACATGCCTCGCAGCCTTCCTCGCATCAGTCGCATGCCTCGTATGCTTCGCGGGCTTGCCATTGCCTCGCTGCCTCGCAGTTTGTGTGCACCCACAGGTGACCTTCTTCTACATATGCGACAACTTGAAGAAAAAGATATATGTACATGAGCAAAATAAAAACTGTCAAAAACTCAAAATGGTTGTCAAAAACTCAAAATGGAAGCGACAAGGAGCAACTTCGATGTTTTTCCATCATTTACAAAGGATCTGCTTTAATAGCTACTGTTTTAATATTGTAGTTTACTTTTTTGTTTTTACTTAATCCCCCCCCCCCATCAATATAAAACGTAAACTTAAAAATAACACTGCTTGTTGTTTATAGACAGTCATATAATTCTATTTTATATATATATATATATATATATATATATATATATATATATATATATATATATATATATATATATATATATATATATATATATATATATATATATACGAGCAGTGAGGCAGCTATAAATTTTATACAGTTGTTATTCAGTTGACAGCTATAGTTTTTCATGATAAAGCGCTCAACATTGGCGTTGATTTTATTTCCCAGAATCCACTAACAAACATTTTAATTAAAATTATTTATATATTCATAGGTATATAGATTTGCTTTGTAAATATATATCGTAACATGGTCTGAAACAGACTACCTGACTGTCGCCTGAACTACCGCAAAATAAGCTTTTTTAAGAGTCTTGCGTGCATACCTAATTTTAGTGTGCAGTGATAACCAATTTGTGCAGTGATAAAAGTAAAATGTGCAGTGATAAATTGTAAAATGTGCAGTGATAAAATTTGCTGTAATAAGTTATTAATTAAAAGAAAATGAGGCAATGAGCAGAAAAACAGAACTAAAAATTCGTCTTGACACTTGACGACAGTATTAATCAAAACATTTTGAATGAGAATAATTTGAAAATTATCTAACGTCCGCACTAATGAACAAATTCTCTCACCAGAAATCATTTTATATGAGCTTGGAAAATGGAGTGAATGATACTTAACCTTTTGTAATTTGTGAATAATCTCCAGAATTCTATACGATTGAATGTTTCCGCACATTGCAGGAAATGCCCTTTTAGAAAGCCTAGATTAGAAACTGATTTTCTGTGGGTATACGCCCCTTGAACTCGGTCAAGAGATTTGTCACGCCTAAGCCATATTTCATTTGCCAAAGCAAAAATATTTCTTTTCTACAATCATGTGATTGTGAAACTATGCTGTCATAGATGATCGTAACTGCAGGTTCTGTCAAGGCCGCCCAGAGTGGTGGCAGTTAAATATACATAAATATAGGAAACTGTCAATTCTACATTTTCAGAATGCAGAATTTGGCCATTTCTGGGACCTGAGATATCAAAATTTTCCCGGGGAGAATGCCCCCGGATCCCTCTAGTCATAGTGTTAGAAGATGGAATCACAAGCGGCCCCTACTCAAATTTTGCCCTAGGCCCCCAAATTAATTTCCCTAGGCGACCATGGGTGCTGTGCAGTGTATGTTGGTCTTGGCATTTTTTAATAATCAATTGTAGTCTGTTTTGTGGTTACACATTATTATAAGGGTGTGTTCAGATATTTTCAGGGCGTGTTTCTGCTCGGCTAAACTTTGCACAAAAATGTGCAGTGATAAAAAATTCTTAAAATTAGGTATGCTTGCGTGAGGCCCCACGGCAATAACACAAGCCAGTTTTTATATACAACATGTATCCATGCTATAGCATTCCGTGGACGAAATATAAAAAAATTCACGATTATCGCACATAGTAAATTAACCTTTCAACTTATGTACTTTTATTGTATTTACCTAGCTTTAATTCTATTAGTTTACATATGCAGAGAAAGCATTAAACAAAAATGAGAAATTATAAGACTTCAAAAGCTTACAGACTGCAGACATACAGTATTAAATATCAGTAACAACACGCGAATTGCTATAAATAGTAACGTTACAGTCTAGTAATGATATGATGATTTGTTGTGCTTTTGTTGTAAGTAGGCCTATCACTAAAATATATTGAAAATCCTTTTAAACGATTCTTTATAATGTATACAAAGCATATACATTGATATCGAAACACAAAATTCAAAGTTTTGAACAATTTGAGCTTCGTGACTCTGGTATAGACGTATGGGCTTAATGATTTAATTGTGTTACATTCCACTGAAAATCACCAAAATAAGCTTTTTTAAAAGTTTCGCGTGAGGCTCCGAGGCAATAACCCAAGCTAGTTTTTATATATAACATGTACTCATGCTATACCATTCCGTGGATGAAATATAAACAAATTCACGATTATCGCACATAGTAAATTTCCCCTTCAAATCCAGTGACAAAATGCAATTCTCAAATTTGACTAAAAATAGTCAATTTCAACAACGTCTGTCAGGCCAGCTAAAGCCTCCTGGGCCATTCCATATTGATAAAATTGTTCTTTAATACTTGAATTATAGTCATTATACCATCAAAACTATCTATGGGCAGTTTTGAATCCGTCGCGAAGTGATGAAACTGACCATGGCAGCGGCTTTGTCTGCGGCTAATTATAGCCTCCTGGAGACAAATTCTTGATTTCTGATATTTGTACGTTTATCGACCAAATATTGAAAATCTAACCCAAACACCATTTATAACTAGGTATTACCTTAATTTGAGCAAAATATGAACGAAATCTATTTTTCGTGTATTGCCGCAGAATTCAAATTTTGCTCGATTTTTACGGACAGTCGCTCTTAAGCAAATATATATTAATTTATGTCTGTCATCTTGCGCGAGTGAACTATACTATTTCCTGACATGTCGCACTATAGATGTTGCATTTTCGCAGCTCGTTACTGGGCACTTGTTTTGCCGTATTAATTAAAATTGAAAGAGCCAAACGCGAGTTTGGGATATTTTGAGCTAGGGGTTACAATTACCCCTAGCCATTTTATTCTTGAAATTACTTACTATTTATTAACTTTGACAGAAATAATTAACTATAACTTTTACATATGTATCAACATTGTTTTGCCCAGTAAGGTGAGAGCAAAAATTACGCCAAAGCATCTTCGCGCAGCGACGATGCACCCCACCCAAGGAAAATGCAACATCCATGTGTAACGCCGGAAAATAGAAAAACGATAAACCACCGCCCTTGCAAATGGTTTGTTAACTCTAAGCATCGAGGCCTTACTTCAACTTGTTCGAGTAAAAGAAATAAAAAACCTTTCACAAACAATCGCCCGTGCAAACTGTTTGCGGTCACCTGATATGCCCCACAATTTATGTGGTCTAACCCCTAACGATCGCCCGTGCAAACCGCGGGAGATTAGACGCACACAATATCGATAGTTATAAGTACTAATATAATTAAATCTTTACCATATACTCAGTGTCAATTGACTGGGAAAACGAATGCAAGACGTCATACTCACTTGGTGACCTCGTGCATTGATTAACCTCGATAAATATAGATAGAACGTATGTAAGGCACTGTGAAAGAGATTGCCGCCCGTGCAAGCAAGTCTAACAAGTTGGAGCACGACCCAGACACTCCCCGCTAGTGCCAGGCCGCACGGATGTGCCATACATAAGTACTATATATATATCTATGTATGAATTTCTCAGTTATTTAGCAGACATTGATGAAACTCGAATATACTTATGGAATGCATTAGATTTCCATCGACCGATGATACGAATTTGCGAATCGGACATCCCCTGACTTGCCGCGTACGAGGCTGCACCAATACGAAAGCTATGCCCTTTGTAGCGAGCTGGGTCCAGACCACACAGTCGTATTGCTTCAGACAGCTGTAAAGCAAATGCCTCGCGAGCTGATGCTATTCCGCCGCGCGTGATAAAGATTGCACCCTTGGTGTCGCCCCGTAGGGCGAGATAGTCAAGGAGTAATTGAATAGGACAACAAGTACTTTGCCGGTTAATTATCAATGTAAATGGACGTTGGTTGTAATTATGCTTGAAATCGCGAAAGGTTAATTTGATACCAACCACTCGGTTATTCAAGTCACAACTGAAAGCGAGATTGTGTAACTGTAATGGCTGGCAACCGGTATTCTTTGTTGTAGTAATTTCCCCAATCCTTAAGAATGCAAAGAATGCCAATGAGCACATCGCTTTGAATTGACATATTTGGTAATTAGAACCATTAATGCGAGGTGACACCTCTAGTAAGCTTCTCAGGATGGGTAATGTTATTGGCAAACGACTATCTAGCCGTGCACCATTTTTGCCATAGCCTTTTAACATTTGCATGATATAGAATACTCGCGTGGGATCTGGTAATCCTGACAGTTTGTGCGAATAACTTAAAGCTGATATGTATGTATTAACCGTCGACGATGCATAATTTCGCTCGAATAAATATGCGATAAACAGCGCCATAGTAGCAGGCATTATCGGCAAGCTGAAGCCTGCTGTCTGAAACGACGTACTGTGGAATTGAGTAAACAGTTTCCAAGCTCTAGTGTAAGTAGGAATTGACGAGGGCTGTAAGCTAGATGTTGTCAAATGCGTAATTATATCGCCCAGCTTCGAGGCTGCAAGAGCAGGGGTATGTCCGTAGGCAACGGATTCATGTTCGCTGGTGCCAGTTGTTTGAAAGTTTGAACCTGCAATCGAGATAAGCTATCAGCTAACTTGTTATGAGTACCCGGAATATGTTTGGCCTTGAACGCAATGTTGTGTTCTAAAGGCCTGATTCCACGGGCGCTTTTCCTCGGCGAAATGCGAAATATTTCGCCTGTTTCTCTTGAATTGCGACCACTCGAATAAATTATTTCTACTTGATTGCTCACAATTCAAAAGAAACAAGCGAAATATTTCGCATTTCGCCGAGAAAAAGCGCCCGTGGAATCAGGCCTTAAGCAGACTAGGACCAACTTACGAACAAAAACCATTAAAATTTTATCCCGGCATGATTGTTTGTTAATAACATGAACTAGTGCTTCGTTATCGGTAAAAAATAAAATAGAATGATTTCGCATTTTGTTGCCCCATAGGCATAAACTGAGGACGATAGGATAGAATTCCAAAATAGCGATGTTACGATGCAACCAATGAACAGGCCATCGCCCATAGCACCAAGCATTGCCAAAAATCGCGCCGAAACCAATAGAGCCGGCCGCATCGGTAAATAACTTTAATTTAATCGAATTTTCCCAAATTTCGTTTCAAAAAAAATAAACTCCATTAAACGAAGATAAAAATGCTAACCAAACCCGTAAGTCGGCCTTAGCCTCAGAACGCAATCGTATAAAATGATGTGGATTTGTCACACCTTGCGTGAGATCATAAAAACGCCTGAGAAAGGCAGTACCGGGTGTTATAACGCTCGTCGCGAAATTTAGGAGCCCAATCAAAGATTGTAGCTCTCGCAGCTGTACTTTTTTGCGTTTCAAAAATGCTTCGATAGTTTCTACGCATTTAGCAATTTTATCTCTCGGTAGACGCGCTTCGGACTTAATAGAGTCCAACTCTATACCAGCAAAGGTTAGAGTAGTGGACGGGCCAAACGTTTTGTCTGGTGCTATAGGGATGCCAAGTTGGTTGCATAAACAAATAAAACGACTTAAATTCAATTGACACTGAATATATGTAGCAGAAACAAAAAGAAAATCATCTAATAAGTGGAGCAGCTCGTCGACTTCGAGCTTATGTCGAGCAATCCATTCAATAGCTGTGCTAAAAATCTCAAATGTCTTACACGAACTGGAACAACCCATTGGCATGCAGCGGTCGTAATAATATAGTCCCCGCCATTTCATCCCTAACAAAGGGTAGTCATTTGGTTGAATCGGTATGATTCTAAATGCACTTTTGATATCAGTTTTGGCCAAATAACAGCCCGGTCCCGCGCGTTTGAAAAGTCTTACAGCATCGGCGACCGTAGCATATTGAACATGTGTGTTCTCTGAAGCTATTCCATCATTTATCAAAATTCCTTTCGGAAAGGACAAGTGATGAATCAGCCTAAAATCACCTGGAATTTTCTTTGGAATTAGGCCAAGCAGTGAAACACAAAAAGAGTGAATGGAGGAGACGTGAACGAACCAGCTATTCGGTTTGCAGCCAACTCTTGTTCCAGTTTCCTGTCTACATGTGTAGGATTCTGTAAAGCCGAAGGTAAATTTTTGGGTATAAAAAATTGTCGATGCCCTTCGAAATGTAAGGGAAAACCTGATGAAAATCCGGAAATAATATATTTAACAATATCTGGCTGATAACCAGAAAGATACTTAACTAGAGGTTTGAGCTTGACTGGTGTTGGGAGACTTGGCTGGACGGACAGCACTGGCGTTTGATTTACTGGTTGAGCCACGAAAATTACACTGACTCACACGATGCGTACCTTTGTTGCATTTAAAGCAAGTATGCTTGAAACCGCAACTGCCAGTTGCACAAAACTGACCGCGATGAAATTTGAAACAAAATCCTGAAGGCACTGAAGGGCCTACAGGTTTTGAAATTCCGCTCATTTGTTTATTTGGCGGCGGCGCTCTAACTGGGTATTGCGAACGCAACCACAGTTCACCGTGTATCGAACCCCAAGGGACCAGGCTCGCCTGCGTGCGTCGTAAATATCTAAAGTTTTCGTCGTAATAACGCCAGTTCTGACCGCGCACAGCCAAGTCCCGAATAGTTTGCCCATATTTCATGAGAGCGAGGGCCTCATGTGGGTTTTTTTGCGTGTAAACGCCAACAAAAATATGAAAAGCCTGTTGCCAAACCTCGATGGACGTGATTTTTTTAGTTCGCGACATTGGTTCGAGACATTGGTATTTTTCCTGCCCCGGATTGCTCAACAACGATCCAAACTCAACGAACTCCTCATTCCAAATTTTTTCTTTAATTTTTGAGGAAATCTGAGAGTCAATCGGCAAACTCGCCGAAAGAAAAATGTTGCTAGGAGTACTAACGCTAGGAGGAATTACATTAGTAGGCAATAACTGAGGCGCACCTGCTATCCTAGAGTGAGCCGCAGCTATCGCTCCCTCCACCAGAGTCGTGGCTGAACTTGCAGGCAATGGTGGCGCAGACAAACGACGCTCCTCTGCTGGTTCTGGCGTAGCTGGTTCGGGTGACCTCCGCTGCAACGGTAGACACTATTGATTGTACCAGTTCGGGATCGAGTTGCTGAACCGTGGTAGGAGGCACATTGGACGGCGGTATACCACTGGAATCATCTTCGGCTGCCACAACTACAGTCGAACGGGACGCCAACGTCGAGTTCCTAGTCGATTGCCGACGGCTGCGTTGTGCTGATGGACCTTCGTCTGCCGTTCGAAGGGCTCTCTTCCTCGCTTGTAACTTTTTAGGTGGCATTCTAAACGAGAAAGCTTAAAGAGAGTAGCATAAATTTAAAGGAGGGCAAGCGCCAAAACGGTACTACACTTCTGCTAAAAAATAGTTTCTCATTGTCTAGGAAAATATGAGAATGGATAATAATTTTCACAGCGGCTGGCCTGGCTGACAGGTTGAGTCGCCGCACCACCAGCCGTGTGTAGCCAAAAGTTAAGACAACTCCTCAATCTGAGGATATAAGACAACTCCTCAAACAAGAGGGTATAAGACGAATCCTCAAGCTGAGGATACAAGACAAATCCTCTATCAGAGGATATAAGACAACTCCTCAAACAGAGGAAATAAGACAAATCCTCCATCAGAGGATATCAAACAAATCCTCCAACAAGAGGATATAATACAAATCCTCAATCAGAGGATATAAGACAAGTCCTCGCTCAGAGGATATAAGACTACTCCTCAAAAAGCGGATATAAGGCAGGTCCTCAATTAGAGGACATAGAATAGCGGAGGGTATAGGACACATATTACCAAAACCTAACAACCGTTGGAACAAACTGTTCGCTCCAAGGGAAAATACACAGTTCGCATAAACTACTCAATACTAACTTAAATAACAGACTTAACATAACCCTATCAATTATCATCTTGCCGTATTGCTCCTACGGCATGTTTTATCGCTCCGCGGTAACTCCTGTACAAGGTATATTGTCCCATGGGGTTAAAATGTACCCCGTCTGCTAAAAAGGGGGTTATGGATGGGTTGGAGAAACCTCTATGCGTCCAACAAATGGCTTGTTCTATGGGCTCGATCACTACCCGGGTGTACTGATTCAAAAGCTTGGCTCTCTCATTAAAATTAGAGCCCTTGTTTGTCGCACGTGGAGTGACTTGGCACAAAACCACGGCGCGCACGGAGTACTCCGCGACCAACGAGCGAACAAGTTCCTCGATGTCAGAACCCACTACCTCAGGTGGGGCAAGAGCTAAGTCGTTCGTCCCGATATCGAGAATGACTATATCAGGGGATATTCTAGTGATTACCCCCATATCCATCTTTCTTAGTTTTGGGACTGTTCGACCTCCCACGCCATGCATAAATATCTCGGCCGTTCCCTGCAGGTCAAAATTTTTGGCTGCCCGCTCGTCGAAACGTGCATGTAGATCACTGCGAAGTCTACGCACAAATGAATGGCCCAAAATGAGTACCTTAGGTATATCATTGCTCGTGGACGAAACAGCCATTGTATTAAAACTATAGAATTCAGGTCAGCGCTGGATATATACCAGTAAAATTAATAATAGGCTACCACTACCAACGTGACCGCAAGAAATGTTGATCGAATATACTATTAGCGTTATAAAGGAAAAACTCACCTGAATATATAGTGAAAATAGTGAAAACAATTACTTCAATCTTCACGAGAAAATCGCAATGTAAAAAAATTACTGCTGACAAGATTAATGACTTGCCTCGACAGCTGACTATAAGCGACTAAACGTAAAATGTTTGAGTGTGTCTATATGACAGGCATTTATTGAAATAACACGTGTCAAATGATTGACCTTTGCATTTAGAAAGGAGGTATAACACTTAATTTCGGAGACGGGATGCGTGACTTTATCGTCAATGGAAAAGGTGTTGGTATCCAGGGAAAGGTTTGTGAAGATTTATTTACTTACCACACAATTTCATATAGGAAAGAAAAGCACTGAATGCATGTACAATATACAATATGCGTGTGCATATACAAAAATGAAGAGCACGACTTCAAACCAGCCATCGTCATTTCTTTTATCTTTTACCTCAACAAAATTGGTGGGACTAATGCAAAGGACATTGCCCAAGGACAAATTAATTGGTTCAATTTTAGTTAAATTTGGATGAAAATTGGATAAAAAGTTAATTAGCAACTGCGCGTGTTGTTTTGATTTGCCAGGCAGAGTAAACTGCTGTACAATTAGCCTGTTATACAATTTATGCATGTACATAACTTAATTAATAGACCCTCAATTATCTATTATCGACAGGACAATATCCAACAGTTGATAAAAAAACCAGATAACTAAGTTGATCAGTCAGTCGATTATGGACTGACGCAGAATTTTGTAACCTTTATTTCAGGCTGTAGTTGCTTTCCAAGCAACGCTGACAACCGGTAGCATTGGACCTAACTACGCCTACGGGGCAATTAAATTCAACGACGTTGCTCTGAACATTGGAAACAGTTATAACCCAAGCACAGGCAAATTCACTGCGCCTATTGGAGGTTTATACCAGTTTACTGCCACATACCTTCAGCGCAATGGCTACAGCTCTCACGTTAGGTTGATGAAAGGGAGCAGTGTTGTCAGTGATATCCATGCAAACCACAAAAACTATGATCAGCTAACGAAAACCATTCTTGTGGCTCTGACAAAGGGCGAAACATTCTGGGTTAAGTTGGAGAGAGGTAGTGCCTACGCTGTATATGGATCCGCTCGATATACTGAATTTGGTGGATTCCTTCTTTCAGCCAATTATAAATGAAACTTTACTCTGCAATATATGCCTCACTCAGTTCACAAAATACGTAAACTTAATTAAATTCTAGAACATCAGTACTAGTAGTGGCATAAGAGACAATCGTCTCACTAATATACTAAATACAGGACGAGTACAGGGTAGCTAGTAGTTGTATTGCTTCAGTCTTTATTTTCAACTGAATTAAATAACGCTTTAAAATAAATTGACTAACTTATTATTGTGTTAATGTTGGTATGCCCGGCTGACGGCATGCATCCACGTAAGCCCGGGGAGAGGATATTTTAAATTACCCCCGGTAACAGGTAGGCAATTTGTCGACGCTGACCAAAAATAGCGGCTCATAACTCTCATTTCTTCTTGAGTTTTCATTTTCGCGTCGAAGAGCAAAAATATAGACTTTCGGAGAATATTTTAGCTGTTTACTATCAAATATGTTTATGAAACAGTTGATAATCTTACTGAGGAAGGCCAACGGTTTCTGAAAATCTAAAGTACGTCGAAATCAGCTTTGGAATAGACTATATTTTCACCGGGGAAACATGAACAAAATGAATATTTACCTCAACACTAAATTTTGCTCGTCCTACAGAGATAGTTGGATTAAAACAGGGTCTCTGTAAAGAACAGACACCGAAACGACCGAATCCGGAAACGACCGAAACCGGAAACGACCGAAACCGGAAATTCCCGCATAACGAATAATTATATTGTTAATGCTCGATCGCTGGCATATCCGCATATCATTTAGATAAATATCGTCCGAATGTCGTAAGTCGTAAAGTTGTATACTATTTAACTGCTGACAATTTTGCAAATCATTTTTAAAATAATCTTATTGCATATTAATTATTATTAACTTCCATGATCAATGCTGGTTTTGTTTAATTTAATAAGAAGTATTATAAAATAGCATTTGTAAATTCTGAACGCTGATTGGCTAAGAGCCGTGTTGATATAACTCCATGTCAACACGGGAAATTTTCCGCCGCTTGTAAATACGGAAATTTTCCTTATCCTTCGCGCTTTTGACATTGCTATATTATAAAACAAATATAAAACATTTTTTCCGTGTTGATATATAGTTATAACTCGTGGAAGTTGGGAAAACTCGAAATTGTATGAAAACACTCCGCCCTTCGGGCGTCGTGTTTCCATACAATTTCTCGTTTTCCCAATTCCACTCGTGTTGATATAACTGTATATCAACACGGAAAATGTTTTATATTTGTTAATTATTATACATTTAATATGTATTCTCGTTTCTAATTGGTCAGAAAGCACCGGCAAATTTTCAGTATTCGGCATTTATTACGTATTTTCCGCCGATGACGTCATCAGCGTCCAATAATTGTTTTTTTGGATCGAACTTGCATCCCAAAAAATAATTATTGGACTCGCTCGTGCCCAAACCCTTGCGCGGCCAAAAGCTTGAGCCTATAAGGTATACCGAATTTCCCTTGTTAAATTGTTAACAGGTATACAACCACAGAAATCACAAAGACAAATTACATTTATTTGTATAAAAATATAGAATTCTCACGCTCACAAATCACTTGTTTGTTTTGTCTCGTCTCACATAATCTAATAATAAACGACCCCCCATCAACATACTCTTAATGTTTCTTTTATGCAAACGTCAATCATGCTTACGTCACTTATATGGGGGGGTCCACTATTCCGTACACACTCCCCTAAAAATTAAAGTTTAATTTTTATAGCTTCAAAACCGAATATCAACGTATATATTAAATGTTCAGTCCTCTTCCACCTGCGTTAGTTCATTTATTTTCTTGATTGCTTTCTTTGCGGCTTGTCTCTGAGGTCTCTTTTCTTTCTCCGATTCCTTTTCTTCAACTTCTTTGTGTCGTTCGTTTGGTGTGCAGTGAATCTCAAGCGGACAGATCAACTGCAGTGGTCGTTCAATAGTATGCCCTTTGTGCAACAGCACAACTCCTCTGACTACACCGTCTTTTCCACGAACTTGTCGAAGCACTTTCCCTTTTTTCCATTCTCCCCTGTTCTTCTCTTCTCCCACTACCAGGACAACGTCTCCAATCTGTGGTGCTTCGACAACCTTGTTATTGACTCGTTGGCTCTCCAGTAAACTATGCACATATTCCCGCTTCCATCGTTTCCATGCATCATCTTTTGCTTTTCTAAGTCTTCTTTGCATCTTGGTTAGCTCGTCTTCTTCATCTTCAACATCGTCGAACATGTAAGAGTTTTCTCCCCGAATGAGTATGTTTGGCGTCAGGACTTGTTCCTCCCCACCATCACATTCTACGTAAGTTAACGGACGGTTGTTCATGTTGCTTTCGATGTTCAATACGACCGATTCCAAACCTTCAAAGAATAGGTGTGATTTTCCCAAGGTTTTGTATAAGGTTTTCTTGATTTCACGAATCAGCCTCTCGTAGATGCCTCCCTACCATGGGGACTTTGCCAGATTAAATCTCCAATAGATATCTTGGGTTGCGAGGAAATCCTGAAGCTTCTCACTTTTTCGAATTAGCTTAGTCCACTTTGCAGTCGCTTTGAAAGTAGCAGCATTATCGGAAATCATCAAGCGAGGTCTTCCTCTACGTGCGATAAATGCGTTAAGTTTTCGCTGAAATTCACCAGCTTCTTGAGTTTTAGTTAGTTCCAAATGAACGGCTCTGCATGCAGCGCAAGTAAAGATTAGAACGTAACACTTTCCTTCTTCCTTTTTGTTGACCTTGTACCTTAACGGTCCGGCAAAATCCACGCCAGTGATCTCAAATGGCTTGCTGGTCTCAGTTCTAAATTTAGGCATGTTACTTGTCGCTGTCGCTCCGTATGGTTTCGTGGAGTACAGTTTGCAAACGTTGCAATTCTTTATCACCTTCTTTACCTTCGATCTTAGTTGAGGGATCCACCAGTTTTCTCGCAAGGCGGCCATTGTATTTGCAACGCCTAGGTACATAATTTGATTGTGTGTATGTGTGATAAGCTTCTCTGCAAACAATCCTCTTTCGATAAATGTTGGAGTATATCCCCGAACTCTTCCCCTGCATTTGAGAATGTTTGTGTTCTTATCTTCGAAGATTTTCCAGCCAGGTGTTTGTAGAGTTGGGTTAATATTTTTCTGAATCCTTATCACCCATGTATTCTTTGCTTTCACGATTTCTTCGTTTCCGATGGGCCCAGATTTTCTTTTCTCTTTACGCCGTTTCGCCAAACAATTGTGCAGGAATCTCAGTGCCCACGCTGTAACTCTTAATGTGCGCCAATACGAACTTCTTTCCAGCAGCGCATCCCATTCATCAGGCTCTCGTTCTTTGGTAAAAAAGACCTCCACCATGCTGGGTTTGCTCTCTTCGCTCACGTGTGTAGTTACTTTAAGCTGGGGTTGTTTGGGCCACTGTTCTACATGTAACAACCACTCAGGACCAGTGAACCATCCGTCTTTTACCATTTTCTCAATTGTAGCTCCCCTGCTGCCTAGATCCGCCAAATTCTCACTTGATGGACAATACTTCCACACCAAACCAATCTCGTTGGTAATTTCTGCTATCTTCTTAACTCTATTAGCGACGAAAGTCTTCCAAGGCTTTCCAGGGTTACTTAACCAGTAAAGCGCGACCATACTGTCCACCCAGATGATGATAGACTTAACAGGCAATCGCAGTAGCGCATGATATAAATTCCTTGCCATGTTCGCCGCCATTTGACCACTCACAAGTTCCAACCTCGGTATTGTGGTGTTCTTTTTGGAAATTCGAGATTTGGACGTTAACAGACCTTTCACAGTTCCTGGTTTGTGCTCTACCACTGCGACTGTTGCTGCACAGCAAGCAAGGTTACTAGCATCTGTAAACAAATGGAGTTGAATGCCTTCAATCACGTCCGATTTCTTAGTTATAGCTCTAGGAACTTTAACATTCTTCATTTGATTGTTCCACTTGATCCACTTTCTTTTCAAGGATTCTGACACTTCAGCGTTCCAACCTTTTCTTTCTTCACAGGCATCTCGAAATATGTGCTTACCCTCAGCCATGGTAGGCGATACCATTCCCAAAGGATCGTAGACTCTTCCTAACCGACTCAAAATGCTCCTCTTTGTTACTGGTTGGTTCTCAGGCATGGTTGCTGCTTCGAATTCTAATGTATCTTCTTGTTTATCCCAGACGTGTCCGAGTATTTTACTTGGGTTTGGCATGTTTTCGTCTTCGAGGCACGCGATGTTTGATTCCCACTTGTGGATTGGGAATTTGGCATCCTCAAGAATTATGGAGCTTTCTTCTTTAAATTTCCTCAAGTCGTCAGTATCGCTTCCAGTTTTCATGATGTTATCAACATATGTATTCTCTTTAAGAGCTGTCACAGTTTCCTCAAATCTTGTCGGCTGTTGCTCAAGGTGGTATCCCAACGTTGCTCCAAGCAGAAAGGGACTGGCTTCGACGCCGAATGGTAATCTTGCAAACCGGAAATGTTCCTCTTTTCCATCGATTTCGAACAGGAATCGAAAAGCATCTCTGTCCGTTTCCTTAACACCAATTTGCAAAAAGGCTTTCTGGATATCTGCCAGAAGTAGATTTGGTGTCATACGCGCTCTGATCAAGATGTCCCAAAGTAGTGGTTGCAAGGACGGTCCAGTGAACATACATTCGTTAATACTGTTAGCCAATGGGGCTGGTTTAGCGCTGACATCAAAAACCATTCTGATCTTTGTTGTTGTTGTTGTTGTTGCGTTTTCCCTGATCACAGGCTTGTGAGGCATGTAATATGTACGTTTTCCTGCTGGCTTTTCTGGGGCTTTTTCTACGATGCCATTGGCAAGCTGATCTTTAACTATCTTTTCATACTCTACTTTTAATGATCGATCTTTACTCAACTTCTTGTTGACATTGGCTAGGCTATTCTGCTCGGCTGTTCGTTAGTACCGTACAATCTGGCTCCAGGAATCCATGGTATACTTACTTCATATCGACCGTCCTCTTGCCTTGTTACACTTTCTCGAAAGTCAGTCAGCACCTCCATCTGGTCTTTCTCGCTGCGGTCCTCAACACCGAGTACATCCAAACTGTAAAGCTGCTCACACTCATTGGTCTCCCGAACAAACATGCACTGGTCGCTACTGTAATCATCTCCCCCATGGATAAGCCAACCGAAAGTGGTTTCTTCGACTACTGGATCTCCATCGTTTCCCTTGAGCACTTGTTCTGTTCTGATTCTGCTGTAAGTTTTATCTCCCAAGATGAGGTGTATTGGATAGTTGCCTGAACGCACCATGTAGAACATCTTATCCTTTGCATGACAAAATTTCTGTTTCAACTGGCTAATGTCCCGCGGGTCTTTGTACTATTGTGAAGTCGCGCATCTTGGAACCGGTTACTTGAATCTCTTCTTGCACAGTTCCATCCAGGGAATTAATACTAACTTGGTAGATTGGCATAGATTGCTTACTGATACCATACAATGTTACAATTTCTCTAGACTCATGGTGAACTGGGGTTAACTTCAGTTTCTTTGCTGCATCCCGAGAGATGAAATTCCTTCCAGATCCTGTGTCAAGAAACGCCCACAATGTTTCTTCGCCTATTTTGACAGGAACTATGGCTGAGAGGGTCTTTTCTTCTACAAATGTACTGTAACCATGTAACACAGCTCTGTAGCTGGTTTATCTGGTTTCTTCTTGTCACACAAGCTGGTATGGTGTTTCGATCCACATTTAAAACAGGCACGACTACGACATTGGTTTCCCCAGTGTCCTGCTCGCCCACAATTAAAACACAAGTTCTTTTCGACGAAAAACCTCTTTCTTTGTTCCATTGTCGAAAGTGTCGTACACTCATCACTCCAATGCTCTTCTTGGCAAAACATGCAATGTGGGTTCTGTTTTCCTGCATTCTTGCGAGTGAACTAATTTCTATCCCTACGTCTATCACTTGGGGGTTTTGAACTCACATCTACCTTATTTCTCCTCAACCAAGCTTGTAGATTTTTAATAAGATCTTCCATATTCCAATCTTCCCACTTTTCATCCACTCTCACGATGTCAGGTTTCATATGGGGCAACTTATTTAGGGTGGTCATAACAAAACTTTGCAACATATCTCCCTGTCCCAAAGTCTGCAAGGCGTCATAGTTATTGCTAAGTTTTTCATAAAACTCCTGAACCTTTTCATAGCTTGACCCTTTGTACGGAATAGTGGACCCCCCCCCCCATATAAGTACTAGTGACGTAAGCATGATTGACGTTTGCATAAAAGAAACATTAAGAGCATGTTGATGAGGGGTCGTTTATTATTAGACTAGTATAACAAAAAGTTAGTGAAATTGCTGCCGTACGTGTATTCGCATTGCAAACTTGCGAAAAAGTTGGCGCCTTGATTACCTTATGTTTGACATGAAGGCCTGGTTACCAATCGCGTCTCAACATCAGTACTAGCCAGTGCACTAAGGGCTCATTCAGACTGAGTGCCCGGCACGGATGCCCAATGTTCAAAATGGTTCACAAAACATGTTGAGCACAGTGCCGTTGTTGAGTACTACCTCTAGAGGTAGTGCCCTTTCTTGGGCACAGTGCCCAATTTCATTTGGAAGCATCATGTTCAAGCTAGGCGCCAAAACAAGTGACAGGCACAAGTGCCGGAGCACCCAGTCTGGACGCAGCCTAAGAGGCATTCACCCCCTGATAACATTCAAAATGGCGGACCGCCATAAGTGCACTGGGTAGGACCATGGCATCAGCATTTTGACAACGAATCATGTGGTAGCATCATGTGGCAGCTGCAATGCTTTGCAGGTAATCCACAACCAAATTTCAACTGCAATGCTTTGCAGGTAATTCACAACCAAATTTGTTAATTGTTCTGAATATAGTACTAATATAGTGATGGGTTGTAAGAGGTATTTGAGTAGTTGTAATGAAATAACTTTGCAACACTCTACCAATAAAAAGTTATATATTTGGCCAGCCTACTAGCCATAGGCTCTCTCTCGCACACACTATGCTTGGTTCATAGGGGTACAAAGGGGTACTTGTGGGTTATTACCCATTCTAATAACAAGTAGGTTTAACTACTGACATGTAATTTTAATAGTTTGTTTGGCCAAGTAAAACAGTGAATGCAATGTTTTAAAGTTAATATCTCATTTATTTCAAATGTCAATTGTCAAACACTTAAACCGTGTGGACAAATTACCAAATATTGTAAACAAACCAAATACCGTAACCTCCGATTATAAGCCCTGGGCTTATATAAGTTCGTAAGCGTTTGTTGATGGGTTTATACATGGGGTGGGGGGTATATACAGGGGCTCACATCAACATATTTATATGATCGAGAAAAGAACGCCTGATGCCAAAAATATAGATCATTGCTTCTCACACTATAACTACAGTATTAAAATGTGCACCAATTCAGGCACGATATTGCTCAATTGTTACCCCCATTAAACCAAATGCAATATATTCTATCACTGCCACTTGATCTATCAGCAGCAGTATTAAATAGAGGTCTGTAATATTTGCAGTTTTATATATATACTGTAGCTCTGAGTCACGTGATACCTTCGTACAATGGCTCTCGTTTGTTTTGATGGCAATTGGCTCTCGTGTTTCTGTTTGTTTGTTTACAATTGATGCAAATTTTATTTGAGTTGCCTGTTGCCACACCGTGACCAACACGCGAAGTGTCTGATAAATATATTGATCAGCTACAAGCGTGAACACAATGATTCCCAACACCAAATATGCACTGTCAGATTTATAAAATCAAACGCGAGCCTATATAAATATAATAGAAGAACAAATCGTCAAATCTCCTGAAAATTCTTCTTAAACTAAAAGGATCGTAGATAATACTTTGATCTTACCTTAAAAAATGACTTTACAAGAAGATATAATTCTTAAAAATCGCAATATTTGCTAAATATACTTGCCAACTTGTAAGTTTCGCCCTCGTGCTAAATCTTGACAAGTCCCGAAGAGCAGCCGGTAGCTTCCGTAAAGACCCGTGGAATATCTTCTACGTCACAAAACGTCATAAAACTGAACATCCAAACATTGCTAAATCCAAATCATTGTCACATTCATATAGCTCGGTAAAGAGGTCTGGGAACAAATCACAAGAATAGGAAGCTGCCTGCGGCAGCAATTATGAGAGACGAGACAAAACAAAACAAGTGATTTGTGAGCGTGAGAATTCTATATTTTTATACAAATAAATGTAATTTGTCTTTGTGATTTCTGTGGTTATATACCTGTTTACAATTTAACAAGAGAAGTTCGGTATATAAGTGGTGCCGTGACCAGGATTGAACAAAAAATCGAACGGTAATTTAAATATTTAACGAGTGATTTAACGACAACAACACATTATTTGGTCATGTAAATACGAGAATTTATCGATTTGTACGACGTGGAACATATAACAATGAGCGAGGAGGCAGCAGAAAAAACAGAAGGAGGTTGAAATAGACAAGGAAATCGAAAAACTAAAGTACTATCTCGAGCCAATTGACGATATTATTGAAGAAGGCGATTACGCAGAGATCGAAGTTGTAAAGAAACGAACAGACGCCATATTTGACAAAGTAAATAATCTTGTTGCAAGTGTACAAGAGCTTAAAATTGATCGAGGAGCTGAAACTCAGAGAGCAATACGACAATGGAAAAAGGACACGAAGGATAAGTACGCGCAATGGGTGCCTAAAATGAACAAGCTTTCGCAAATTCTTGAAAAAAGGCAGAGGGAAATTGACGACGAAGCAGAGCGACGTAAACAAAATGTGCAACGCGAGAAGGATGAACAACGTTTGATCGAATTACGAGCGCGAGAAAAGTTGATGTGGGAGGAAAAGTTCGCCGCTGAGCTGCAAATGACGGAAAGAAAAATCGAAATGGAGAAATCTGCGAAAAGCAGTCTAGCGAAACTTCCTCAACTGAAAATCACTGCATTTAAAGGAACTGCCGCAGATTGGGTTCGTTTTGAGAATGTTTCTCACACAAGTCGATAAAAGACCCATCTCAGATGAAGAAAAGTTTGGATATCTCCTTGAATCAGTTGTACCAAAGGTAAGAGATCGCATATCAAATCTAAAACCAAGTACTTTGGGATATAAAATGGCATGGGATCGACTTAAGCAAGAATATGGCCAAACCAAATCGGTAATTAATGCACATTTGGACGAAATAATCAATCTAGATGCGGTGAAAGGTATACCGAACTTCTCTTGTTAAATTGTAAACAGGTATATAACCACAGAAATCACAAAGACAAATTACATTTATTTGTATAAAAATATAGAATTCTCACGCTCACAAATCACTTGTTTTGTTTTGTCTCGTCTCTCATAATCTAATAATAAACGACCCCCCATCAACATGCTCTTAATGTTTCTTTTATGCAGACGTCAATCATGCTTACGTCACTTATATGGGGGGGGGGTCCACTATTCCGTACAACGCCAAGAATAGTGTGCTGCCTCACTGCGCTCGGCAGTAATGTCTAGTAAAAAACGTAACTTCAAAAGCAAAGAATCGACAATCACTTGTCACGTTTGCAAAAAAGTAATGCTGGAGCAAAATTTCTCAACGCTGCAATGTTTCCATCCGAAAAAAGACCTCGAATAGAGCAAGCACTAAGTCCCGATATGGAGGCAGAAGATGAGCAACTGGATTCATTCACGAGCAACTGGATTCATCCAGGACCATGGGCTAAACATTTTCACAGATGATGTTTGCAATAACGAAAGCAGTGGAACTGATGCAGATGTGACAAGCATTGCGGTTGAGGACGTTTATGATAGCACAGTTGAGGAACGACCAGAGTCAACAAAAACAGACATATTAGAAAGTGAAGTTGACAACCTGAGGACTGATTTAAGCCATCTCACAAGTGCGGTTATCATTGACTGGTTTAAGAAAGCGGAAATCATTGAGTTGCAAAAATCAAAATTACCGAACTCTGTGGAGGTAACCGAGCCGCATGGTTCAAACGTTCAACCTCGAGAAGCCACAGCGTCGGCCTGATCAGTATGATGATGACTCTGTCCTCGTAAAATGTATAAAGGATATTGACATGTTGACATATTTTCCCAAAATGGAATTGATCAAAGAAGATTTAACAATAATTTGCGGAGTGTGCATTCCAAAAAACGAGATGAGACTGGTTTGTCCTACTGGAAGTGCTTTACCTGCTAGGATGTTTTTGGTTAGGAAAAGCATGCTGCCTCGTACCCAGGCGCTTTAAATATAATACATGAAGTATTCAGCACTCTTCCCATCAGCCCCTTTTCCCTTCTGTCGCCACCACAATACTTCATGTAAACTCGGCATACGCGCATCGCTGTTTTTTTACAAAGAGACGCTTGGGTACGAGGCATGTCAAGGGCTTTCAGAAATCTCAAGATCAGTATACATGTATCTCGCCATTTGAAGCGTGATACACATCAAAGCGCAATTTCGGAAGACGAAAGTATGACCATCAAAATGAAAAACGAGAGCAACCGAAACAATGCCATAGCCTTGCTTGTTCCAAAATATACTGCCGTGGACGACCGTATACCGATTATGAAGATGAGGGGTTTTTTGCTGCACAGATGCGGAGTTGATGTAGGAGATATAAATCATTCCTATAAGTCTCCACAGAAATTTGTGGAATCTGTTGCTGAAGTTGTCAAAGATAATGTGAACTATTTTCTGATTGTTACAAAGCTATGCTGATGATCTTCATGACTTCATTTATGATTTATTTTAATCTATAAATATCTATATTTATAATCTATCAATAGTGATCCCCTGGTGAAGACACTAGACTGGAGTGTCAAAACGTTGGGTCTTGATTACAATTCGACTGGGCTTTGTATTCATTTATATTCACCAGAGTAGCGAGCGACAACATGATAAATATTCTACTCGCCGTAGTCAAACCGACTGGGCTTTGTATTCATTTATATTCACCAGAGTAGGGAGCGAAAACATGATAAATAGTTCTACTCGCCGTAGTCAAACGTAAAAATAAAACATCGTATTCACGAAAGTATGTGGCAAGTTTTACATTCTCAACTTGGAGGTTTTAATTTTCGATATAATATATCATTTATGGACCCTCCGCTCGGGGGATTCAGCGAAATATTACCCTCCGTGATGATATTTCCCTTGGGGGTCAATATCATCACTTCGGGTGATATTTCGCCGAATCCCCCGAGCGGAGGGTCTATAAATGATAATTGTACGTAATGTGTAATATGCAACCTTTCTTGTTGATTATAGAGATCATGTTTGTTGAGATAGCAACATCTTTGTTCGTAGTGTGGCTTGTCTGGTACTTTCTGACCACTTTCCTAGAGAGAAGAACACTGCCACCTGGACCATTCCCTTTTCCATGGATTGGAAACTTACCAATCTTACTAACAAACCCCAACAAACCACTGAGAAAACTGCGGCAAAAGTATGGAGACATTTTCACCATGACGTTTGTCACAGGAAACACTGTTGTCTTAAACACTGCGACCCTCGCGAGAGAAGCGAGGCTGACAAGAAAAGACGATGTTTTAGGCCTTTTATCTGAATGTGTTTATCCAATGGATATCATAGTGGGTCCAAATGACCTGGTTTACGCAGACTATGGTACGGTGTATTTGTTTCGTAGGAAAGTATTTAAGTCAGCCATGCACGTATTTGGAACCGGAATCGAGCAAGCAGAAGAATATGTAGGATATGCAGTAAGATCTGCTCTTGATAAAATTGAATCACTGAAGGGTCAGCCGTTCTCACCAAAGGACCTTGCTGCATCAGCAATTCTTATTCAGCTTTGGGAATGGATCACGTCCAAGAAGATATCCTTTGATGATCCGACCATTAAATCTCTTTTTGAATTTCGTGATATACTCGTGAAACAAAGTTGGCAAAGTTCCCTGTACGAGTTAGTACCATTTCAATCCTATCTGCCCACAGAATTTAACCGAAACATTAAACAAGCTCAAAATATTAAAGAGATGATATTCCCCCCGGAGTTCAAAGCCCATCTGAATAGCTACATCCCAGGTGTTATACGTGATATGACAGATAGCTTCATTAGTGCTTACGAAAAAGAGATTGCAAAAGAGAGTGGTAAGGATATTGGATCGATAAATGATATACCAGGGTTAATGTTGGACGTTGCATTAGCTGGTTCGGATACAACATCTGCAACTGTTACATGGTTTATTTTGTACATGGTTTTACACCCTGATATTCAGGAGAAAATCCACGCCGAACTTGATGAAGTAGTGGGTAGTGACCGCCTACCACGCTGGCAGGATGCTAAGGACATGCATTACCTGCAAGCCACCCTATGTGAAGTTCTACGACGGTCAAGTCCAGTTCCCGCAGCTCGTGCAAACACAGTCCGTGATGTAACAATAGGGGGTTATCAGATTCCAAAAGGAACGTTAGTCGTTTTTAATATCAGTGAAATTCATCTAGACGAGCGTGAATGGTCTGAGCCTGATAAATTTCAACCTAAACGATTTCTTGATGCCGATGGCAAGTTTGTTGGTTGGACCACTTTCCATGGTTTTATGCCATTCAATCTTGGTCGCAGAGAATGTGTTGGTATGACATTTGCGAAGATAATGATGTTTACGTTCACTGCTACGCTACTACACCAGTTCAAGATTGAACTACCGGATGGAGCGGGCAAACCTAGCACTGAACCTCCAGGCATTCAAATTATTTCATGTCCAAAAGATTTTCAAGTTGTTGCGAAGAAACGAGGTTGATTTTCTAAATTAGAACGTGTGCAGAACGCAGAGGAACACAAATTAAACTGCTGAAGTGAAGGACACGTTCCTGGTGCGCTTTCTATTTGATAATTTCTGTATATTATAGTGAGTTAAATTGCTTTCCTGATGGCTGAGGTCTTAAGTCGCTCCTTTCGGTTTGTGCCTGTTCATTCGTTTAAGCCGGTTTTCCACTAGGCGAATTTCTTCGTGCGGAGCCACTTTTTTCCTTTTTCCATTACCAAAACCGCGGATCCTTCCTCTCACCCAAAAAAGTGTAGCGTTTTCGTGTCAAAACATTCAGGAATGCGACTACATTCCTAAGCCGTGAAATCGACAATTTGGAAAACAAGACACGTTATTTTCAGGAAGGATCCTCGGTTTTGGTAATAAACGATGCCGACAAAGGAAAAGCTAAGGTCACTTCGTGCGAACAAATTCACCTAGGTCCTAGTGGAAAACGGGCTTCATACGAACAGTTCAGTAATTTTAGCTCATTTTAAGGCCAAGGTTGGAAAAAATAGTAAAAAGCTAAAAATTGTTAGATGCAATCATTTAACTATCCTGAACAATATATACTAAAAGTCCCCATGTATCCTCTTGGAGCTTTCTCCATTATGACAAGGTTTTTTTCGATTTCCCTTTACTCCCATATTGTTAAAAAACGTGAAATTTCAAGTTCACTCATTACAAAAATGACTCGCATCACTAGAAAGCTCATAAAAACTTATATAAGACATTTAAACAGTCACCTAAATTTTTCAAGCGGCTTTCGAGTTATTGCTGTTCCAAATGTGAAAAATAGGCCAAAATCTGGCAAAACATCCTGGGTACTAGTCTGACAACACGTTTCCTGCTCATAACTCAAGAAGAACTTGCAAAATCAAGCTAGCCGTTTAAATGTCTTGTATGTAGTTTTTTGTAAGTTTTCTAATGATGTAACTTATTTTTCCTATAAATGAATCTGAAATTTCACTTTTTTAACAATATAGGAGTTCAACAGGGAAATCGAACAAGAAACTTGTCATAATGGAGAAAGCTCCAAGACGATACATGAGGACTTTTAGTATGTTATCAAGGTTGCTGAAGAGAATGCATACGCCAATTTTTGGCTTTTTACTAATTTTTTCTGAGCTATTTTCTATTTTGATTGTACTAGAAGTGGTCTTCGTAAATAACGAGATTTTTGGGCATGTCGTTCGATAGTACTAATAGTGGATGGAGTAGACATGGGTTTCTTGTTCAGATGAAATTTTCGAACGTAAGTTTCTATACACTTTAAGACCTTAAAGACTAGTGAGAGAGAGGAAGTTTATTAAAAATTTACACATCGCAGTCCAAGGACTGTCAATAGACCTTATTCATCAATCGTGATCGAGGCCTCGTATCTTAGGTACGGGGAAAAACGCGGGAAAACTGACAAAATGTTTTTTTGCTGTCGGCTATGGCAGCTTTTTTTCGAAAATATTACGGCTTTTTTCGAAAATATTATCTATAAAACTGAGCTTGAAAGTTGAAATAATACTTCTGAGAAAATATAACATCATGTTATAAGGATGCTGAAGTCAATCGAAATGGAAACCTTTGAATTATTGTCGTAGTTTGTATGGCCAAAACAAACAACCAACAAGGCTACAAAACGCCTACAACACCAAAATCGTAAAAATATGAAACCATTGTTGAAGAAATAAGATTACAACTCACTCCGGTAATGTTGCCCTCATTTTTTTAAACTTGTAAGCTGCTTGCAGAATGTCATTGAGCCACAGGCATAGTTCATATTTTTTCAATAACATTTGACGTTTTCTTGTGATTTTTGACCTCTTGTTTTCTTTCATATTAATGTCAAATTCCAAACATTATACTTTCATTCCATAGTTGTCTTGCTTTTTCACGGAATAACCTATATATTGACGTTAAAACTCAGTAAAATACTGTTTTTCGCTTCTGGATAAACACCGTCGCTACATTGTCATTTTCCAAACAAAAAACGGGAGGAAAACCGGTCGTTTCTATAATATACTCGTTTACAGCTTTCGTTGTGGGCACAAAGTCTTAAAATACACACAAAAATCGTTATAAATCGAAATAAGCAACAAGAAACAAGCAGTTAAAGTCGAAACAATAGCATCTGAATTTGGCTTGTCAAGCAGTTTTCCTTGTTTTCCCCGTATACTAGACATAGGGCTAGGATACGAGGCCTCTATCACGATTTATGAATAAAGTCTATTACAAGTAATTTAAATCCTACTTCTACTAAACTATTTATTATGCATGCAATACTAAAAGTTTACGTTAGAATATCTATGAATTCTAGTAAGAATATCTACTATTACTAACACCAATTAAATACTATACTGACTATCTTTGAGCTTTTGAAATAGAAATTTCATCTACAAGAAACCTATCTACTCTTGGTAAATAACTCTATGCTAGGCGCTCCACAATAATAATTTTCTATAATTAAAACGTGTGAAACTTGTGATGGTATTGTTTATCATTAGACATTATCTGGCCCTGTAACTATTCTTGACACGCTGTGGTTTCCCCACAGGCTGCTCCATTTACTGTTCTAGAACATTTAGAACACTATTCTGGAACGATATAAAATGGAGTGCACACGGTGTCCTGGAACAGTGTTAAGTTTATTATATATGCGTGCAACCATGCATTACTATATTAATTAGTTATTCGCATAATAAAGCGTATAATGATTCGCTGTTATTTGTACATCTACGTATGCTTTTGCAACGTTTTTACTCGTTCATTTTGCCCAACCCTGGCGTTCAAATAGCATATAATAAGTATATGTCGAAATATAGCGGTTAACCCTTCAAAATAACGCTCTATACAGTGTGCATTGGACACACAAAATATGTCGCCTCCATTTCCAATCACGTGAAAATAGGCAGTGTCACGTGTCTGTTCTGGCTGCCCCGACTCGAAAATCGGGGTAGTCAGAACAGTCATGTGACTGTCTTCTGTTCCATGCCATTAGTGTTCCGAAAATCCGGAGTACAGTCTTTCGCGCGAGTTATGTATTGTCGCAGCTCGATCTCTTCCGAAAATTAAGGCTATGTCTTAATTGTAAAAAGCGTTCAAAATTAAGACATTGCCTTAATTTTAAACATAACCCCAACCCCCACCCTAACCTCTAATCCTAATCTAATCTTAGTCCAACCCTAATCCAGTCCAAATCTGGCGACCTCTTTTTTTTGGAGATGTCCTACCCCTGCGCGTCCAGCCTCCCTTATGTATGGCCAAAGAGTAAAGATATAAAGAGAGTTCACCACTGAGCTATAATATATCTGGAGGAGGTGCTCCTATCTCTCTTCAGTCAAACAAGTGTCGCCAAAAACATGGCGGATTTTCAAGGATTTTCACGTTTGCTGACGCCAGAATGACGCCACTGGTCCTAAATCCTCGTGGTAATTACCACTGAGCAAGGCTCGGGTCTAGCTATTTTGCGGGCTGCGGGTCAGTTTTTGCGGGCTGCGGGTCAGTTTTTGCGGGCTGCGGGTTAAAACAATTGCGGGCCGCGGGCCAAATTGCTGGCCTAACTGATTTTTTGTTGCATACCATATATGGCATGCAACTTTCATTGGTGAGCGTACTGGTCACGTGGCAAATTCGTAAAATACGACAAATACCGAGTTTTTCCGACGAGCATTTCATCACTCATGCTCGATGAAAAGCAAAGAAAAATGTTTGAGTGTTCGCGGGAAATTTACATAATTGAGCGCCTTTAAAAATAGATCAAAGTAGATAAAGCTTTGCTGGTTTTAATTTTCCTTATATTCTGTTATTTGTTGTGATTCTGGAGCAGTTGTGCTCGCAATAAAATATTAATCATAAAATGAATGATTATTTATCAGTCGTTTTTACTAATATTTATATCGTGAAGCCTGGCTACGCTATCAAAATACTCAATTTTTTATATATGCTCAATATATACTATATTGTGTGCAAAACTTCAAAACTACAGTACATTTTGTAAATAACATGAAATATATTAAAATATCAAACAAAATTCTCATTATACTATTGAAACTTAATACAACGAAATAGTATTCTACGTCGATAATTTCAATCATAGTTTAATAATTATTTTCAATCTATAGTAATTCCGACCGTTTCCATGGTTTTTTTTATACTTTCGATAAAGCTACAATAAAGCTAAATTTGTAGGAAATAACATTATTTAGTTATAAAATAGTATAAAAGGAAATTCAACAGTCAATCGCTTTCGATAAAACCTTGACCTTGTTTATATTACCGTCGTTTGCAACTGACGATGAACAGTCGCTCATAAAAACATTGCCTATTCGCGTGAGAATCTTAAGTTTTCTTATTTTGACATAATAGCTATTTTTCAATAAGTATATTGATATTAAACTTATTGAATCAATATTTTAAGTTTCAGGCCAGTTGTACCAAAAGTTATAAGCGGTAGCGCATTATAACCAGGGCACAGAAAGGGTCATACAGAAGCCCAATTTCTTGGTTTTTCCTATGATTTTCCAATGATTTTGGCGGTTAGCAGTTTAGCACTTTTTTCCAGCCAGCAAACCGCCCTATCGATTTTCTAAAGTCGCTTTTTTGCATTTTTTTACTAATTCGATTAGGGTTAGAGTTAGGGTTGGCGTTAGGGGTTAGAGTAGGGACTAGGTGTAGGGTTTGTGTTAGTTACATAGCCATTTAAAGGCCGCTTTCCACTTCAACCGTATCGTACACGCGTAAAAACGCTCAGGTTGATGCAATACTGATGAAAACAGGATTGAACAATGTTTTGCTGCCCACATTGTTCATAGCTGTCAACAATATTGAACAATATTCAGGCTCAACAATAGTGTTCAATATTGTTGACAAGTGTTAGAACAATGTGGGCAGCAAAACATTGTTCAATCCTGTTGAGCAGCGGGCTCGGCGTTTTTTGCCGTGTACCGAAACGTAGCGTATTTCTTTGTTTCCTGAGCGCTAGAGTGTAACTAATGATTTCAACACAAAAGAAAATGCTACGATACGGTTGAAGTGGAAAACAGGTTTAACACCTCTTCTCTCTTCCGAAAATGACGTCAGGTCAGTTTGCTGGATGGAAAATAGTGCTACTATTAGGATTGGTGTACAGTTATCCCGGTCGAAACAGGTTTTAATGTCTGGTACGACTCATAAACTGAGATTCCATGATATTACAAAAAGAATGCATTTAAGGAAAAATTCGTATGCATATGATTACGAATAACATTAGACATAGAATATAATAATAATAATAATAATAATAATATATAAAGATTTATACAGCGCTTAAATTATATAAAATATTCCAAAGCGCTTTACAACAATGAGGTTATACTATATACAAGTAGCTAAAATATTAAGAATTAAGGTATAGGTGTCTATAAATCTAAAAGTTAGAATCGAAAGCTTTCTTAAAAAGGAAAGTCTTTAATTGAGATTTAAAACAGTCAATTGTTTTACTATTTCTAATACCAGAAGGTAGCATGTTCCAAATTGACGGAGCTGCATGCACAAATGCTCGATCACCAAGAGTCTTGGCTCTAGTTTTTGGGATAAAAAGTAGTCCCTGATCATCAGATCTCAGTTGGTAACAGCAGTTCGGTTTTTCTAACAACAGTTCCATAATGTAGCCTGGCGCCATCCCGTGGAGGGCTTTATATACCAGAAGTGCAATTTTAAAATCAACGCGAAACTTGACAGGCAGCCAGTGAAGGTGCATCAGGACAGGGGTAATATGAGCACATCTTGGTATAAGACACGTCACTCTAGCAGCGGCATTGAGAACTCGTTGAAGACGCTGAAGTTGGTATTGGGGAATGCCGAACAAGAGAGAATTGCAGTAGTCCAAGTGTGACGTCACAAAGGCATGTACGAGCGTTTTAGTTGATTCGATGGAAAGAAACTTCCTTATTTGTCGGATGTTGTACAAGCCCCTAAATGCTTTGCTGCAAACCTTGCCCACACGGACATTCATCGACATATGTTCGTCAAACCACGAACCTAGATTTCGGACTTCTTGTACAGGTTTTATATCAGCATCACCAACTTCAATCGAGTCGATTGTAACCTTAGACAGCTGCTGGCGAGTTCCAATTATCAAGAATTCCGTTTTAGTGTCATTGAACATTAATTTATGTGAAACTTACCAAGCACGAACTTCGACGATGCAATTATTAATAGTTTGAATAGCTTGGTCTTGGACAACGGGTGACTCAGGACGGAAAGATAAATAAAGTTGAGTGTCATCTGCATACCCATGGGAAGAAGGTAAGTGCCTGTTAATAATCTGGAACAGTTGAGACACGTATAATAGGAAAAGGACCGGTCCAAGACAGCTTCCTTGTGGTACTCCACAGTTCAACGTAAAATTGGCGGAAAACTTTTGCTTAATATTAATACGCTGCTTTCTACAGGAAAGAAACGACTTAATCCACTTTAAGGCATTTCCGATCACACCAAATTCTAACTTCAATATATCCATCAGAATTTCATGATCAATGGTGTCAAAGGCGGCACTCAAATCCAAGAGCACTAAAAGAGTTACTTTCTGTTGGTCCATGTTCATAAGGATATCATTGTGGACTCTTAGGAGAGCTGTTTCGGTAGAGTGAAATTGACGATATGACGATTGGTTGTTAGGAAGAGGAGCATTATCAGCACAATGCTCAAATAACTGGTTAACAACTGCTTTTTCCGTAGCTTTAGAAACGAAAGACAGGTTACTGACGGGCCTGAAGTTCTCAAAGACTAGATCAAGACCGTATTTTTTTAGAATTGGAATAAGAATGGCAACTTTCCATGCTTCTGGGACGTGACCTTCACTTAACGACAAGTTGATCAATATACTTCAAAGACAGAAAATTTTGAATAATATTGTTATTTTCTTTACATTTTGACAATATTTTTTTAAAAATTCGTCAGGCCCGCAACTAGACCCGCGGCTTGCAATCGTGTTAGCATTTTTCTGCCCGCAGCCCGCATTTTTCGGCCTGCAGCCCGCAATTTTTGGCCCGCAACCCGCATTTTTGGCCCGCAGCCCGCAATTTTTGGCCCGCAGCCCGCAATTTTTGGCCCGCAGCCCGCAGTTTCGGCCCGCAGCCCGCAACCCGCAGAATAGTTAAACTCGCAAGGCTCATTTTGAGCCCGCCACCACTTTGACACAGTGAACTGTAAATAACCTGGAACGATAACTCAAGTAAACATGCCCATACTTGCCCGAAGCCAAGATGGCGGCCAGTAATGCGTGTTTTTTGCGTGGCTATGTCACAGAATAAGGTACACAGAAGGTCGACTCGAGTAACGCTGCCACGCCATGATTCATCATCAAAATGCTGACGCCATGGTCCTAGCCAGTGCGGGTTTGAGAGGCATTCCCCCCCTGGACATCCGCCATTTTGAATGATATCAGCGGGGTGAATGCATCTCAGACGCGCACTGGCTAGGACCATGGCGTCAGCATTTGATGACGAATCACGAGTTACGCCAAAATCATAGGAAAATCATAGGAAAAACGAAGAAGTCGGCCTTCTGTGTACCTTATTCTGTGGCTATGTCACGAAGTGTCGGTCGGCAGAGAACGCATGGTAATGGCGCGATTTTATTTTATATTGAAAGACCGACAAATTTGGGTTTTTTTATTTCAATTATATAAGATATTTGCATTCTTTTGACAGCAATTATAATACGAAATATATTTCTTGGTAATAAGATACAATCAATCGTGTATTAAAGTTATTTTACAAGGATATCAAGCGGCATCGTTTAAATATTGGTGACTTCAATAAAAAAAGTCGAACGTTCCAACAGCGACGAATTGCTTCTGTTTCAATTATGTTTGTGGACTCCAGTCGACGAATAATTGATTACAAGATAAGTATTGAATTATTTTTACTTTTTTCATGATAACTATTGGTTTTTAAACAAGATCAACTTGTTTAAACGAGGCCTGTCATGTACTGGGTATTCCATTCTCAATTCTGCACAACAGACTCGCTGCAGTGCTTGCCGTACTGTGAAGTGTAAAACAGTAAAGGAATCGCTCGTGACTCATGAAGAAAACGTGATAGAATTAGTTTATAAAAAGTAAATATCTGCTTTTAATAAAACTAACTAGTTAAGTAAGTGGTACATCTTAATTATAGTATTTTCTCACGATTTCAATGACATAATTTTCGACCAGATGACAAAACTTTCACACATATTTATGACTATTTTATATCACACCGATTTTATGATGAACTCTTCTTGCAGTCTGTCAATAAATTGTGACTTGCGCTCTGCCAGCCAGATATGGACTGGGGCGATATGAAAAACACTCATTTTCCCCCGAAGATTTTTTACATGTTTAATCTGATTTTAACTTTAAAACAATAAGTTTCTGGATGCTCGGAAATGAATTTCTAACAGTATCTAAGCTTTTCTCAAATAACTGACGCCAAAATGTCTCCGAACCCTTTCTGGAAAGTCTACTAACACAGAAAAACTAAAAATTTTCGCGCGGTTTTCTCGTGTTGTTCGTCTTGTACGTGTGATATTTCTGTTGTTTGGTAAGCATTTTTTATTTTAAGCACATTTATTTAAAGTTCTTTTGTCTTAGTTTAATATAAGGAGGAGTTGGCAAGTGCTTAACAAAAAGAAAAGGGCAAAATTTATCGATTTTCAAAAAAATGTTTTGACGCCATTTTGTAAAAAAGGACTGGGGCAACCTGCAAACTCATCACTCATGAGGACCCGCACGCCTATAAATTGAATTATCTTGAAGGTGTTGGTCACCACAGCATTATTAGTCGAGGTGGTAAGAGTGGTGACATGTATAATGAATTTATAGTGAAATAATTTATGCGTGCATGAAATTTAACCCCATACAGATATGATGTAGCAAATAACTAACTGAGCTAACATACAAAGCAGGTTGTCATCACCAATTTATAATAATGTTAGCAGACAATGCCGCGCAAAGTTCAAATTGCGCCAAAATCTGGTCTGAAGAAAGAGTGCATTCTGCTTGATAATCGTGTTTATGGATTCAGTATGGAGATCAAGATCGAACAAACTGGCAATATTTTGATGGGTGCTTATTAAAGATTGATGCGTAATCAGTTAGGTATAATAGTCAAAAAGCTGTAGGTATCGCACCACTTAATCAGTTATTATTTGCTTTAGTATACAGTATGTTAGATACGCCGGGTACCATGGATTTCAAGCAGGGCTATCACAACCGCGAGTTGATTGTAATATGTTCATTATAATATACTCATTTCTATATTTTGTTACATGGCAGCAGAAGACAAATAATATTTATTTACATATATATACAGTGGCTGGTATAATACAAGAACCTTATATTATATTCATTTGTTCTTCGCATGACAGCGCAGTGCGGAATGCAAAATAACTATAAGCGCATACATATTATCTGAGTAATGAGTATTTATATATATATATATATAGGGGAAACTCGTGCGCCAGAAAGATGTCCCATCTTTTGCTAGCAGGTTATGAAGATGATCCATCTTTTCTTAACCAGTGAAAGCTTAAAAAAGTCCTATATTATAAAAACTCCTTAAAAAAGTCCTATAAAGTCCTATCACGCTAAGTTATAGATTAAAGCGGTGCATGCAGCGATAGCGCTCGGTTTTTGAATAATATCTAGAATACTTTTAGTGAAAACTCTTGTGTCAGAAAGATGTCCCATCTTTTGCTGACAGGTTATGAAGATGTCCCATCTTTTCTTAACCAGTGGAAGCTTAAAAGGAGTCTTATATTATTCTTTACATCACGCTAAGTTAGGGTAAGGTGGTGCAGCTAGTGCTATAGCTTTTTGAATAATATCTATAGAATACTTTTAGTGAAAACTCTTGTGTCAGAAAGATGTCCCATCTTTTGCTGACAGGTTATGAAGATGCCCCATCTTTTCTTAACCAGTGGAAGCTTAAAAGGAGTCTTATATTATTCTTTACAATGTGCTAAGTTAGAGTAAGGCGGTGCAGCTAGTGCTATAGCTTTTTGCATAATATCTAGAATACTTTTAGTGAAAACTCTTGTGTCAGAAAGATGTCTCATCTTTTGCTGACAGGTTATGAAGATGCCCCATCTTTTCTTAACCAGTGGAAGCTTAAAAGGAGTCTTATATTATTCTTTACATCACGCTAAGTTAGGGTATAAGCGGTGCAGCTAGTGCTATAGTTTTTTGAATAATATCTAGAATACTTTTAGTGAAAACTCTTGTGTCAGAAAGATGTCCCATCTTTTGCTGACAGGTTATGAAGATGTCCCATCTTTTCTTTACCAGTGGAAGCTTAAAAGGAGTCTTATATTATTTATTACCCGACAACGCAGGCGCGGGCGTAAATTCCGTAAAATAGCTAAGACAATGGTGTCAATGCAGCTATTGTTTTTGGAATAATATGTAGATATATATCTTGGTGAAAACGGTAAAAACGTTTGTTCCAGATTCATTTGCGCACTATAGGGCCTTGGGAAAGGCGGTATAAGTGTATAAGCCATTGAAGCCGCCGCACTTTTATACTGCCAAGATCTATAAAGACGGCAAATAGGTTTCGACGTTTCGATATGGAATTATCATGCCATACTTTGAACGTAAACAAAATCTAGGTTGAATATTATTCACGCTATTCGATCTCTAAGATATCAAGGACGTTTTGTTTTACCGCATGCTCGAGTATTATTACACGCAGCCTTATTTCACATTATACGCTATAGTATAGCCTGACCATAAGTGACTTGTCAACAGTCAGCATCGTAAATATCATCCTGACATATTTGTACACTTTTATTTTAATGCATAACAGAAAATTAACTTATTATTTGCTTGGTTTCACACTGCGTTTAAGCAACTGAACCTGGATTGATGACATCTTATAGCGGTAATTAATAATGCGATTAGCGTTGCTCGTTTCCTGAAGTTGCAAACTCAGTTTGCAGATCCCGCTGTTTTTCAAAACGTGCGGGTCGTCATGTT